AGTCTACTATGCGAGTGTCTTGAGTTTGACCCTGCTGAATTATTTACACTCAATTCGACAACATTTTCATCGCGTCCTCGGTTTAATGGTTTTCGCGTTAATATATTGCTTTTCTCTTCCTTCTTTCTAAATAGCGGCGAATTCTTGCATAGATGATATGTGTGCGCCCTGACACCACGACAAAAATTCTCTTCACGAACTGTCCCACTGCATTCACAGTTAAGCAAGCCTATGGAAATATTGTGCGAGTAGAGACGTTCTTGGGCAATTTCACAGGAGCGAGTACATTCTGTACCAGAAATGAGGTGGTTACACTTGATATAGTAATCCTCCATAAGATCATTGCATTTTGAGTCATTTTCGCACTTTCTGCTGAACGTGGCACAGCCGACCAAACTATCATTCATACGATTGTTGACACATTTGCCAGCTCTTGCTTGGTACGTGAGACATTCTGAATCACGCTCACATGCACAATCCAGAAAGTGTTTACCGAGTCTATTTTGACCGAATAAATCTAAAGCTTGTTTGCAGCGTTTAGTACAGCCAAGCCTGCCCTCTCCAAACAACAGTTCAGGACACTCAAGTTTTACGTTGATCAAGGCTGCTAAGCAATTGTACCTGCTCTGGCATTTACTAAACAGCGTAAAACAGTCTTTGGTGCCAGCCATCGCCAGTGTCCTGCTAACCACTACGGAAGTGTAAACTATAAACCAATACAAGCAAGGCATATTCAAACTGATGGATCATAGACACCTCAAGCGCTATTTGTTCCGAAGTCAAACGAAATCTCCATACAGTGTTTACCTTTATGACAGTACGGCTGGTTCAGTGCTCAATAAATGATTGACGGTCGCTTGTAAGGTACGAAATGAATAACCCGGTGATAAAAACTCCTGTGGTTAAATTGCTATTGTTCTTCCGCCTCCTGACAACCTAAATGCCACTTCTAGGCATATCAATTTTCAGCTGAAGGAACTTGCCTCCGCATTACTTGGGCATTCCACCGCATCAACAGGTATTTTGAGAACTTCTTCTGAGACAGGAAGGAACTAGATGAAGTTTTTTAAGTTCAATATCATGATAACAAAGAATGGTGTAGGATTTCGCTCTGCCATTCAACAATGGATAGAGGTCTAACTGAGATAGATATACCTATGGGTTTTTCAAAGCAGAGAAGAAACTGGAAGGGTAATACGTTTTAGACTAGGAGGAAAGGAAGCAAGAAAAATGTTGATCGTGTTTACTTAGAAACTAGGACCCAGTGACGGGGCCAGCTATTACAGAGTGGGATGGTAGAAGGCGCGGTCAGTGGGACCACGCCCCTTTTGTTTCGTTTCAATTATCTGTACCAGGTAAACTATCCTTAGGAAATTCTATCCACCCCTACACAGCGCTTTTTAATCCGTTTTTAGAAGAAGTATGTAGACCATGTTTCTAGAAAAGTGGGGGAGGGGGTGAGGTAATTATCCCCTATACCACCCCTTGGCGCCGCCACTGCTAGAGCCTTTGAAAAAACAAGAGGCCTCCTGAATTGAATACCTGTAAAATAGCACGAAGATACAATTGGTACTTGTTTGCATCAACAAAATGGACTAAGCCACCTCCGCCCACCCCTCTTGTCCGCCATATGCAATACGTCCCTTGTCAGCTCTTACTTTGATAAAGATTCGAAGTTCAACTTTTGAGTGAGCCAATAGTTTATTGCAAACCAAACCGAAATGCTTATTACAGGTAATGAAAATGAACATATAAAAATAACAGGGATAAAAGGCAAAATGCTTTCTGTCTGTCTATTGCGTTAAAAAGGAATTTGTCGATAAAGAGAATGTTAAAGGGCTCTGTTTTGGTGATCATGAGAGATTGACTGAGATTTACTGAGATTAATCAATGTATTTTGCAGACTTAATTGGCTAAGATGTAAGGGAGGATGTTCTAGTTATTAAAAAAGTGAACATTAAAACAGTGGTTTTTAATTGGATATTGGCTAAAAATGTTTTAGTTTCTTTGCAGTGGTAACTTATCCCTTAAATCTACTCTGCTATATTTTTAATCAAAAGTCATTTAAGGAAATTGCTCACTAATTTTTTCAAAAGGAACGGCCCATGATTTACTCTTCAAGCTTAACCCCTGCGTTAAACTAAAATCGACATTGAAGATAAGATCCTTTTAAAACTGTCAAGTACTAATGTCCATGTATTTCATAAATTCATGGTGTTTTACATATAATTGAGATAGCAAGAGTTTGGGAGCATTTAGCACAAGTTATTTACATCATTACAAAACCACAAAGTGCAAATTGAGGTGGAAAAACACCCTAAAACCTGTCAATATCATGTCCAATTTTAGTCCTTAAACTTTTACAATAGTGTCTGGAGCTCTTTATGTTGTCCATACAAAAACATTTCCATTTGGTTAAAGCCTGATTGCTACGTCTAAAGGCTCAGGAGGTTTTTCTATGAGAGAAGTTGATGCACCCCAAGAGCAAAGGAGAGAACCGTTTTTGAAGCAAATTTACTATATTGCCAGGCCCGCCGGAACCGGGGGCTGGGGAGGGGGGCTGGAGCCCCCCAATAATTGTCAGACTGTAGTATATTTCCTTTATAACAGTGTACTAAATGAGAAGGAATACAATGGGCAGCCCCCCAATATGAATTTCGTTCCGACGGCACTGATTGCTACTGCTTAGGGTCCGAGGAAGCGGGGGAGCTGAAGGAGTTTAGCCCTGGAAGCCATACAGTAAATCATTGTACTCTTTTTGAGCATTATTAGCCCCTGCAAACTCAAAATTACAACGTCCTTGTGGTAGCCTGTCCTCCAGACCATCAATCTGAAGGAAGAGGGGTCTGGGTTAGGGGGAAGGAAGAGGGGTCTGGCTTCCCTCAGGTGGGAGGGGGGTCTGGAGCATAGGCTACTTAAGATTAGAAATCGCAAAGTAAGATTAGAATCCTGTCCTGGTCTACTAACATTTCATCTACTTGTGTTTTGAAAGCAATCTCCAATGATATCTGTTTCAAATTCAAATTTCCTGAAATGTGTTCTAACATCATGTTCCGTTTAGTCAAGTTTTTGACTCAAGGTCGTAGCGCCCATCACAATAGGGGATACAAAGTTGTGCAGTCACCCTGAGTAAGAGAGTAAGCTTTAAAAACCAGGTTAAACAGTTTTGTTTTTTGACACATACAGCATCTGTTCGATGAGATGGTTGAATCAAAGTGAAAATTACTTGAAGTAAGACGATCCATCAGTTAGCAGACTATCTTGCGGTTCAATTAAGGTGTGGTCTTGTGGTTTATTTTTGGATTTATAGAGTAACGTAGCCAAGGAGCCAAGGTTCTAAGTTTGAAAGGAATAAATCATAGACTTGGCACCACTGTCTATTGAAAGCAGGGCAGGCGAAATAGTTTTGAAAGTGGAGGGGCCAAAACAAAGTCTTAGGAAAGGGCTTAGGAAGGCCGCCACCGTGGTTGGCGACAAAAAAACGTTTAGAATTATGGTGTATTAGGGATTGCCAAAAACAGTATCTGAAAAGTATTTAAAATATCTAAGTTTGTTTCATCAGTACGTCCCATAGTCTCGTCTATTTTAATACGATTGTAATATTGACTTTGCAATTGTGGGGGTTATGCAGCATGACTATTTTTTAGTAGTACCTTCCTTTTCGGCCCCTTTTCATTTGATGGGAAGACCATTTTCGCAGATGGTACAAGCTTACTATGAAATTTCTATTCATAGCAATCTATTTAAAAATAAATTATGAATTATGTTAAAGATAAAATAACTTATGTCATTTTTGTCATGCAGGTTATTTCAACTTAGTAAGAGAACACATTTGACGCAGTGAAAGACTTTTTTTTAAACGGGCAAGTAAAGAAGAATTTGGACCGCTTATGATCTGAGGAGTATCAGACGAAAAGCTTATATGTTACGTATATATTGTATATTTTACGTATGGTTTAACATAATTGCTATCTTCAAATTACCTTTTAAATTTTAAGCTAACAAAACAAGGATTAAATTTACAGAGCAGGATAATGTCGTATGAAAATTAAACGAATGAGTAACATTGAGTAACATAACACTCGAGTATAAATTTAACCGATCATAGCCTTTCAAACTAATTAACCGAAATTGCATTTTTGCTTTAGTCATCTGTCACTAATAATCATTTGATTGCCCTTTTTGGTTTTTGCATTCCTCTAGTCATCTGTCATTAATAGTCATTTGTTGCCCTTTTTGGTTTTCTATCGAATAGACAACAGGACAAGTCCTAAGAGACTTCTTTGCTCGTATTAGATCGCTGAAGCTACGAGGTTCCTTTTTTAAAAGCATATTCTGCAGAAGCAACAGCAACTAAACAGGACCTTTTAACATACTAACTAGGGGACAATTGGCCCTGCAGCCTCAATGACATTCTATTGCTCTGAACAATAGGCTATTGTCCTTCTCCTAATGATAACAAAGGTTTGCTCCTAGAAGTGACAAAAGTGAAATAAAAGCTGGCCTGAACTCAGGACCCTACTATGTGTTTAGAAAATCTGCTTAGAAATCTGGTGTTTTGATGGATGCCTGAAAAGACGGATGTTTAAGAAAGTAGAAATCCGAATGAATCTGCAACAAGTTTATGCAAGCCAGTTACTTCAAATTAGTTCTCAAGAAAAGGATTTTTACCAAGTAGATTAATGCGTTGTCCCAAAAAGTTATTTTGAATACCCTTAGGGCATTCCAATCGATTTTGCCCCCAGACGAAAGGGGTGGCCGGAGGTTTATGCCCCCCCCCCCACTTTTTTGCAAAAAATAGAGCTTTTTCAAAATATATTTTGATATGGGTGTTAAATTTTCCCTTGCCACCCTACTTTCAAACCTGTGTCGGAGCCCATGCCTTGGCTAGAGCTGGGGAGTTTTAGATATTTATCAGATATTTACCACTAGACAAGCTGGGGAGTTTTAGATATTTATCAGATATTTACCACTAGACAAGCACAATGGTCCAAAAAAAGAGCACAATGGGGAATATGGAGAAGAGGCCAAAAGAGCAAAGATTCCTTCTGCACGTGACATTGAAATTTGGCGGGAGATGCATACAGCAAAGATGGAGTTTCTCAGATTTCAATAATGTCGATTTGGAGATGGACAAAATAATATGGGCTAAGTTTCATCGTGGGATTTATTGGCCTGGGGAGGTAAACACATTACAAAGATCTTCCTTTAACTTTTGATCATCCATGTTGATCGTCATGATGCAGCGAGAACAGAAGAAGTAGGACTGGTGTTCTTAGGCCTGTCTTAAGGTGTAAGCGTCTGTTGAAGAATCTGCTAGTTTTGGCTTGCAATGAAAGAGACTTTGAAGTTGATATGTAGACATTTACTCTGACGGGGCTGATCTAAAGAAGGGCTGATTTAGATTTTTGTTTGTTTACAATACTATATAGAATCAACAATTATGATTATAAGAGTTAGTCTGAAATCAGGTGGAAGAAAATGAACGAAGACAACATTTAGTACGTGGAATATTTTGAACTCCTACTGAAATCAGAAATAGCAAAAAATGGGCAAGGTCTTGGCAATCTATATTGAATTAAACTTGATAACAATATATAAATAGTACAATCTATTTCGTTAGGTATAGTTAAATGGCAGTTGTTCCCTAGTTTCTGAAGTTGATTGATTTAAGTCTCTATTTTGGAAAGGGTCTTGTAGTGACTCTACTTAGGCCATTTTACACGCACTTCCTACTTCTTCATCGATCATGCCATTGCCATGACTTCAAGTTACGTCATTCACTGCATCACCCAACCACAGGACATTCCCTTCACCATTGTTTACACATTCACACATCTATGTCATGCTGATTTCTTCCCAAGTTTAGATCTTTCCTTTTCCATTGCAGCATCATTACATCATCACAACACACTATTATGCAGCACATTTAATTTGTATATAAGTATGTTAATTTGTATGTTTAGTTCAGTTCACATCAGAGTTACACAGGCCACACGCTGTCTCTCTCACTGGCTCCGTGTTCTCTGCACGTTAAATGAGATTCGGAGTAACATCAACGGTGGAAAGTCACAGGATAAGATAGGAACCATTGCGATTCATGCTACATTAGTATCGTTCCTATAGTCTTTTGCAAAATGTGTCAAGTTTGGTTTTATTTTAGAATAGAGGCAGAAACCCCATGGGTCAGATTGCTATGAATTTGTCTGATGTTTTAAAAAGTTTGTAGAAATATGTTGCTATCAATCTTTGGTTAAGTCTACACACCAAGTTTCTAAAGTCAGTCAGCCAATTCATTAAGATCCTATAGGCACACAACAATGTATCTTATCTGTGCCAAGTTTCTGTTTGTTGAATAAGGTCTATGCATGACCCATTTAAAGAAACTCAGCCTCAAACTTTGTTATTCAGTCTCAAGGGCTAAAAAGGACAAGTTTTAAGAGTAAGTTTTATGTTGCTGGCTATAATGCCATCGTGTTTCAATGCTAAACCTTCAACTTTCCTTGTTTTCTGACATTTGGGAGCCTATATTAAGAACCTACACACTGATTGTAGGATGTACCTCATAGCTTAAGAACCTACACAGGCTGAGTTCAAAATCTTAGGAACTTTAGTGCAGGTTTTAACTGTATTGGAATACTCAGTAAAACTATTGAAAAGGCAACTTAAATTCAAAAAGGCCTTATTATCACACTTTAGCCCTAGTATTCATTCTGAATAGTTAATATATTTTCATGTCATCTTAAACATACCAGAACTGTGTATATACATGCATATATACATACCACAATTATTGATAAAACCTGCTTCATACTGAAAATTATTTCAGATTATAATACATTTTTATTATGTTTATGCCAAAATAACCTGGTTTATTTTCTTTATAGGTCATCGAGGAACTAGTTGAGGGACATAAAGTTGAATTTGTCCATCTATTTGATAGAAATGAATGGTAAATCATGTTGCATTGTAATTTTTTATTATTATTTGCATGTCAACAGTGCTTTTTACAAAAAATCTTTTTGTGGTACAAGATTTAAAAACGGCTTTGAAAATAGCAAACATGTTGTGTCATACTATGCTTTTCATCTACTAAGCTGTCCAGAGTATAAAACGTCAGAACATAGATTGACAACTCTACAAAACTGCTATTTACTGGTGCTATTTAGAGTTGCAAGTTATGCAGCCTTAATTTTTCAATTTTGGCCATTGATAAAAAATGTATATAAAAAAACAAGTCCTGCTCCAGATGTAATGTCCTTACCCCTCATTTGTTAGGATCTAGATATTCATTTATTTCATGTTTAGACATAGTTCAGCTTCAACTTCTTTTTCTAATGTCTTTAAGGCTCATTGGAATGTTGAAAAGTTCTGAGTCCTTCATTTATTAAAGACCTGAGGGCACACTCAGATTAGTAGATATCCATGAAATTTACTGAAATTTACTTTTGAAAGCATTGAAGTAAAAAGCTGGTCGCTAAAAATAAAAGTTTTCCTTCTTTCAACAATGATATTTTAGTGAATTTGCAAGGGTTAAAGAATATAATAATTTCTGGGTTTTTACTCTGTGGTTAGGTTCCTTTATAACGTTGCCACATTTCCAACCATTTCAAACAACAATACAAGTAATTGAATGTGTATGTTGCGTGTAGTGCTTGATCTAAAATAGTGATAATATAGTTACCAAATAAATTGAGTACCAGAATGAAATAAAATGATTTGATTGTTGAAAATATTTATACTTTAATAATCAAAGTATTTTATTTCATTCTGGTACTCAATTTATTTGCTAACTTTATTAACAGTACAACTTATTTTTACATAATTTTGAATCCTGATATCACTTTGGATAGTGCTCCGAAATTTTGCATTAAATCCTAAGGCACTTCAGCTTTGTTTCGATTGTCTTTTTTATATCTGATGTAATATCAAATTCACTATCTTATTTTAGTCGTCGAATGTCTAAAAAAGTAGGTATTGCTTGCTGGAACTGTTCTGAGAAAGCTAACTTTATAAATGTTGGAGAAAGTAAGTGTAAAACATCAAGATATTTTGTTTAAGTTTTGTCACTTCTTGTGTTTTGGTTGCTAATTTCCAAATGATGACGATGATGGTAAAGATCAAAATTGTTGGTATAATTCATGGCATAGATCATGGACAGTTGATTGATTATTATTCTGAACTACAGGTGGTCCAGAAAATTTGGTGAATAAAATATTGCAAATGTTGTCCCATTTGTGTCTGATCTTTCCAATATAGCTAAGGGGAATCTTGTAATTGAGTCTCATTTCACCATCACTTCAAGCACTGTGAAAACTTTTTCTGAAAATATTTTTCTGTGAAGTTGGGAGGCCTCTGAATATTAATTGTTGTTGTCCCTATTAAACGCAGTTTTGGTTACTTTAATGTTCTTGGAAGGTTACATGAGTGTCTACAGTTAAATAGATCACACTAGATTTTCTGGGAAAGTTGATTTGACACTTGCTATTGACACTTGCTATGATGTCAATTTTATGTCTCTTCCGGTACCCATTGCTATTTTGCCATCCAGCTTGCTTTTGTCTGCATTTTTTAACATTAGTAATTAATTTAATGTTAAGAAATTTCTATCTTTGATGTAAATGATGAACATAGAAAAGTTTTGTTGACCTTAATGCAAGATTTCTGTATTTTCCTTTACTGATCAATTCTATTGACAAAAAAACCCTTCAAACAATCATGATTATTTCTTTTCAGATCTCAAAATGAAACAGAAATGTCTGTCATTTAAAAGGGCTGTGGAAGAGGCAGAAAAGCAACATGAAAGTAAATAAATGAAAATGCTATTTGTAAAAGTATTTCACTTAGAAAAATGTGCCCCAGTAAATGAGATGATAGGAGCTGTGCCAAGGGGGGGGGGGCAGGGAAAAACTTGTAGGTGATTATTGATCAGACTTTTCCATTCTATGCCCCTTCCCCACTTTGAAGTTTTAGGCTCATTCTTTACTGGTGATATATTTTCTTTGAAGATATCTTTCTGCTAAATTTGATGAACACATTGTAAATTCTGATTCTGTTGGTACAACAATAATTGCTTTCCGTAAACTTAGGGTTTTGATGGAGCTCCGACTTCAAATCTTTGTCAAGAGAAGTAGTCATATAGCTTAAAAAAGTGTATTTAAAAAGTTTAATTTTATTCACTATTGCATTTGTTCTTCAAGGTTCTTCTTCTGTGAAGAGATCTCTGAACACTGCTTGTAAATTAAGGTAATGTTTTCTTATGATTTTGCTTTGCCAATAATTTTAGCCTTTTGTTTTTTTCCAGTTTTCAATTTTCTCATTCTAGTCAACAAACAAATTATTTTAGTTGTGACGACGATTTGAGATTGCAACTTCGAAATTTCTGCATTTGATATTTTGACTGAAGTTTAGTAGCTTGTGGGTTATATAAGCAAAACGTCATAATATTTTTGATTTTGATAATTTTGTGCTGTTCTTCAAATAATTTATCTTGATGGTGGTACACAGCTATAATCCTGTTGAAAAATAAAGGCGATTACCATCAAAATCTGTCACATGAATGTGTCCAATAAAGTTTTTTCCCTTTGTAAGATTTTTGGCATAATTCGATGTAATGTCCTAAGAAGGAAATTTTGCTAATTTGAAAAAATGCATTTACAAGGCATTCTTTTCGAAAAATAAAACATCGGATGATTCTAAACTACTTGGAAGTGATCGCCCCCATTTAGCCTAAACGTTTCCTGCACTTGTTTCTTGGATTGATGATACCACCCACGGCATTTTGTTACCACGCATCGCATCGCCATAGAATAACAGCTGTTTCTGTTGCTGCAAACCGATTTAAAAAGAAGATATAGCCCTCTTTGTAAGTCTAGGCCAACGGTTTGGTTTTGTGAAGTATTGAAGAATTACCTTCGCTTGTATATGGCCTTGTTAGTTCAATTTCAAGCATTCATTGAGTTGTTGCGTTTTGGCAGACTGTGATTAAAAGATATCCGATTTTCTTTCACTATTGCAAAATCTCTTGCGGCCTTTTTTGCTGGCATTACTTTAATCATTGGTGGAATGAGACTGAAAGTAATACCAAGGAAACTGAAGATTTGTTTCGGCATACCTTCTGTTGTTATATTTGGCATCTTCTTATACTTGCCTGTTTTATGTCAATACGATGCTATTTCTAATAGATTTATAGGTTATCTTCGGCTCGTTTCAACCTATCTTAGCTGGGCAAATCTTAAAAGCTTGGATAGTCTAGTCTATCAAATGTTAACCTCAACCCTGAATTTCAAAGGACTTTTAAAGTTTTCGTTAACCTTTTATATTCCACAATTTTCCCCACATTTATTTGTAATATCAAAAGCGATAATATCGGCAAAGTTTAGCGCGTAGAAAAAGTCCTTTCAAATTCTCTTAACCGGTGTGAGTCTTGAAATCATGATTGTATCTTGCTCTTTCAAACCTTCTTAAGCTAAAATCTGTTGCAATGGGTGAAAAAGCCCTCAGTTGTGTGGAAGATACCTTTTCATAATCAAAGCTGTTTTTATAACCTCATATGCTTGTCATAAACTTAAGCGTTGTTTGGAGCTCATTTATAAATTTTGTATCCTAAAGCTGTGATGTTGAGTTTAGATTTGTCTGTGAACTTTGATTATTGTTGTGGTACTATTTGCACCTCAATTACTCAACGAACGAAGTTGAAAGTGTTGAGGATCTGGCAACTCTCTTTGCGCTTCTAATGGAAGTCTTGAAGTTGATCATTAGATGGTCTTATCATTTGTTTCCTTGAGGGCATCGTTTTATTCTTTCCGAGCCAGCATTATTTCCAAGTCAGTCAGGTTAATGTAAAACGGGATATTCTTCGAAGCAGATGAATTAAAACGTTGTTAACAGGGTATGAAGTTGTCGGTACAAGCAGGAATCATCGCATAAATCTAGTCAGCATGGTAAGGAATTGTTGGAAGGTGTTTCTGGGGAAGACAAGTAGAGTCCTGTATAGTTCCAAAAAGATGCATTTCAATACACCATACAATATATATCATATACATGCTTGATTTTGTACATCTTTTCATTGACGTCATCAGAAGGCTGCCATATATGTCTGCCAGTATTATATGCCAGGCATATATGCCAGTATTATGCCTGCCAAAGGACCGTGAAACACCCATTCTTTTGTTCTGGTTTTGTTGTTTTTGTTCTAGAATAACGTGTCGTTTCCCCTTTCCTTCAAAACAGCATTTGAGTTCACGTGCTAGTCGCCAAGAGGAGAGAGAATGAGATGAGAAGTAAGCGTATGGATTCGGCACCTTAAATGAGCCCCGATGTTCTAATTCAATTTGGAATTATCTTAAAATCGTGTAATCCTTTAATTCTGCATTTTATTCTCCTTGTTAATAGCACTTGCAAAAAGAGTGGCCATAAACGGGAGTCTGGCAGCGAACCATATCACCTGAGCGATGGCAATGCTGACCTCCAGTACAGCAATGAAAATAGCTGTGAAAGTGAGGGAGAAGATCTTCCTGCTGCTTTTACGCCAATTAAAAAGACGCCAGGTTTACTTACTTTTTTCATTTGCTTTAATTTTCCTCTCAAATCCTCTTATATTCCTTGTATCTCAATTTTCAAATCCAGTATTAAAATTAACAGGTATATTAATCTACTTATGAATTTCGGGGATGATTTTGTTGTCTTTTTGACACAAAATTCAAACCAGAGCTTATCTATAAATCATTCCCATCCATTTATCATTTAACCATCTAGATGTATTTTGATTCTCCGTAAAACCGCTAGTGCTTTTTTTAGAGAAGTCACAATTTTTTCGATTGTATCAAAAGTTTAATTGATCAAAAGTTTAGAACAAAAATAGTTGTAAAGATTTTCCCTAAGTTTGTGGCTGGACTGTTCTTACTTTTCTCCTAATTGATTACGGGAAAGTCGGAGAAATTAAGACAGGTGACATATTTTACGGCAGAAAAATCTTTGGCTGTTTATAATGCCAGTATTGTTTCAGCAAACAACATACCCTGTCATAAGAATTTTCATTAATAATAATAATAATTCCTTAATGCTTTTGAATAAATTCTTGTTTTATTGTTCTTAACAACTTTGCTCTTTATTTTTTAAAGTACCATTGCCACAGTTTGTTCTTAATTTGCTCTTAAATGTTGACCAATTTCGAAACAACGAGATTGTTTTTAAAAAGAAGAGTATATACCAAAGTTTCTTTCAATTTGTTTATTATTATCCTGCCGTAGGAATTCGGCAGTGAAGTTAAGAATTCTGTGACAAACGTTCTGAAAAGAAGAGTGAGGTTTATTAAAGGAAATTTTCTGGCGTTACTAGAATATTGTAACTCCTGCCACATATAAATGTTTTTAAATACCTGAATATCCTGAACTTTGCTTCTTAGAAACGATGGCAAGAGGTGATGTTGTCTGGGCGAAATTTAAAGCCGAACCATACTGGCCAGGAGTTGTGAGTTACCTTGCTGTTTTGTTTCTTCTCCACAACGATGAATGCTAAAATATGGAATGATATATTCATATGCAATAAGCATGCTGAAGCAAAAAAACAATTGAAAGTTTATTTAATGTGTGCGTAAATGATTTTAGTCGAAAATATTTCATCGAGTATTCTCACTTATTTTCTGGAGGTATCGACTAAGAGCTGGTATAATCTGCGTCACAGATCGAAGCCATTATCGATATTTGATATGATTCATGTTTTACGGTGTGATGCAAACCAAAATTTATACGGTATTCAAAGAGATATGAATTGTCTTTAGTATATGAAAATGAAGTTAAATTTTATTTTCAATAAGGTATCTATCAGAATAAAATCATATATTATCTTGTTTGTCTTGGAAAGAGATTTAGAAATTAGGAGATTGATGCGCTCATTCTTTTATAAATTGCACCCAAGATGATCCATATGGCTACTAGAACTGTCTAAACTAGGTTTTCTTGATTCCGGAAGAATCGGTACGCCTATCAATTCTGAAAGAAAATTGCAGCTCAGAGCGTGTTTATTTAAGCCAAACGCTGTGTTAAAAGTTAGCATATAACGGTTAGCACAATTTTTTAGATCACTATTTTGTGGATATCTTTTATTAAGGGCTGGCTAAACGAATAAAACGTCCGTACAACATTATTCAACATTGTTTTACCCATATTGTAGTACCAATATTGTTGTACCAACATTGTTGTATCAACATTGTTGTACCCATATTGTAGTACCAATATTGTTGTACCAACATTGTTGTACCCATATTTTTGTACCCATATTGTAGTACCAACATTGTTGTACCAAGATCTGGCCGAATCACAAAAGTGTCAAAAGATCTGTGCTGGTCAAGTGCTGCCACACAGCTTCCTTCAGTTACTGCGTTGTATTTGGCGAATTTTAACCTACTGCGCTTGCGCGAGCAAATGCTTTTAGGGATGGCCAAACGAACGCAACATAGTCGATGAAAGATAAGAACAAAAGAGATATTTTACGAAAAGTTTGATGATAAAATTTGGCAAAATATCATAGAACATCATAAAACATCGCAAATCATCGTAAAACATGGCAGCCAAACGAATAAAACATGTTTGATGCAACAATGTTGAATGATATTTTACGCCGGTGTTTTATTCGTTTGGTCAGGGCTCAAGAAGTTAATAGTTTTTCAAGTTAATTTTCTAATAAATTTGAATTTTAGTTTCATTCCATCGTGAAAGGAAAAAAGCCAAAAGTTTGGGTGTATTTTTTTGATAAAAACTGGAATATTGAAGGAATGAACCGCGTAATGTGAGTTTGGTTTCAATGCCTAGCCTTTTTATCAACCTTACTCTATTTCATCAGTTTTAAATAAATCTAGCTTCCTTTGATATATTGAAACACTGCATACAATGAAGTACAATTTTATGTACAGTGCAATATATTGGAACATTTCTGCAAGGAAAATGAAAATAAATTGTCGAATTCTAGATGTAAACATAATCGAACATACCAATTTCCAATTTTGGCACAAAACCATTCAACTTTCTTTTTTCCTATTAATATATATATAAATTCACGACAATGATTTCTATGCACGCTTCTAGTGATAACAATTTAAATTGAGAGACGAAGATTTCTTTAGCAATTTTAAAGAGTCTATTCTTATTCGTGTACCTGAGTGGAAGAATTTCATGTATTTCGGTATTGTATTCCATTGGCTACTATACCGAATATGTTACTAGAATAAGAATATTGTCCTTATATCAGTTTGGTTTTTCATATAAAAAGCGCTTATCATTTTATAGCATCCAATGAAAGCCTTAGTATATATGCTAAGCTCATTCCATGCAAAACTTTGTTTTCTGTAATTTCTTTTTTTTGGCTTATTTTAATCCTGTGTGCCTTCTGCTTTCCTAGAGTCCTCCCTTTTAGAAATTGTTTCTACAATCAGAAACATATTGTAATTAATCTTCTTGTAGTGGCTGCAAAATAATAACAATAACTATGAAATTGCAAGTTATGTTTCGCCACAGTAACATTTTAGTAGTGACTTAATATTTTAGTTAGTTATACGTTGTATTTTACAGACTTCCGATAAACGAAAAGTTCGTGTTTCCATTTTGCTGCGATGAAGATAAGAAAAAAACTTTCTTGGTAAGTCCATTTTTCGCGTTTTTTGAGAAACCGAGGTAATTAACCTAAACAGAGAATACCTTGTAGCCTGTCAGTTTCAGTCAGAGCTTTGAATTGATTTTTATGGAAAATCAGTAAAGCATTTACATAGTCAGGACGTTCCTTGTAAGGCGATGAAAATGGGCATGATGTGAGCAAAACGCATCTTTGTCTCTGTCCAAAACTTTATAAGCCAAGCCAAAATGATAGTGATCCGTCAGCAAATCTTTCATTACCATATTTAACCGATTTGCCATGTGCAAAATATCTTTCATGGTGTTCTTTGAGGTAAAGTGGTCGAAAGTAAAAAATTATAAAAAACAATTTTTTATGACGCCTCACTTTAGAACTCAATGTTTTGTTTTGAAAGACTTTTGAAAGCTTAATAAGGGCTACTAAACGAGCTTCATTTTTTATTCTCAAGAATTTTTTTATTCTCAAGGCCAAACATTTAATGGTTTTTTATTTTTGTTCAGATGAAGCCCTGTATGCCGGGGCGAAATATTAGCATTCGTTTTATTTAATTTATTTTGAATTACATTGGATGTTCGCCGCCGATTTGCTTTGTTCCTGAACTTTATCTTCGTATTTTTACTCATTGCAAGATTCACAGAATCCGGCGGACAGCCTATCCTGCGGTTCTTCCTTTTTACACATTTAATGTTTGTTAACGCATCTATGTAACATATAATCTACGCCTTTATAACCAAACAGAATTTGCCGATAGTAGCGACTTATTTTGCTTTTTTGCGTCAAGGGAGAAAGGTATTTCTAAGGTGATCGAAATTAGATAATAGGCCTAATAGACCTGTTGCTGCTACCTAAGGACCAGAAATTAGAGTGTATTTGAATTTTTCTAAAGTTTCGCATTTGATCAAATGTCTGTGTCTTACAGAATAGATATATTTCTTGCAGGAGGAGGGCACCGCTTCAGATGACAATTTTATGCAGTATGTTAAATTCGCTGAAGAGTATTTAGCAAGCAAAGGTGTGTAGTTCATTAAGTACAAATCATAAAAGCTGTAACATATTAGGCAGATTTTTCTAAAGGATTAAGTAGGATTTTGAAACTTCATCTTCAGAACCTGCTTGTGTACATTTAATTGAAATGATGAGTAAAATAGTAATAAGAAATGACTGAGATAATTTTGAACCTTTCCATTCATCAACTGCTTACCCTAACATCACCAGAACCCCCCCCCTCGCTGGGAACAACATGTAGGCAGTTGCAACAATATATACGAAGAACTCAATATTTTGCAGATGGGAAGAGCAGGGCTGAAGATAGCAGTTGAGTTTGCATCTTTATACTCCTTCCTAGGCTAGTGGGGTTATATCGAGGGCTAAATGTCTGATGTGAAAATTCTATTAAGTAATGTCACAGGCTAAAGTTTTTATAATGTATTCAGGGAAGTACGTTGTATACTCACGAAAGGGACAGTCAGTGGCACAGTGGCTTTAAGGCAGAGAGGCTACACCCCACCTTGAGCAAAAATATTTTTTGGAACATTTCAGAATTTTATTTAGTTTTTCGGATTTTGTAGGAAAATCATGACTAAGTCCCAATAACATTTTACTCGAATTGTGTCTCTCGGGACCGAGGCTAGTTTCTGCCCCTCATATTAATGCAGCCTCGTACTTGGCTGTGAAGAAGCCAGGAACCTAAAGCATTTTTCTTCCTTGAGTATACAGAAATCTTCTCGCAAAACAACAAAACCTATAGCCTTATAAGACAAATTTTTAGATGGCCAGCCTCTGGACTTTTCACTCCAAGGAATCCTCAAATAGCTTTTAACTTGCCATATCTTAATGTGGTCTTCTTTTAACCAGCTGCGGGCAAAATCAACGACATCTTCGAATACGAGAGTCAACCTGGTATTTAGATGTTATTTTCTTTTTTTAACAATTTTTAGCAGCCCGTTCTTTCATTTATGTATCGAAATAAGTTGAGAAGTTCCATTCTCATCCAAGAAAATTATTTCTTTTGTTCTCGTTTGATCAAGGTTTTGCTTTCTGCAATATTGTAAGACATCGAAAGAAAATATAAAAATAAAATTATTTGTCATTGTTCGAAGCTAGGGATTGGAGGCTTTGTATTCCAGTTTCGTAAATGAATATATTTTCATTAAACTTTTTTTAGATTTGCATATTTAAAACTTCTCCGTTTCAGTTCCTGAAATCCTCAGTAAGATAATTTTATGATTCAACTATTTGAAAATAGCACGGAAAGGCGGACAACTGTTAGTTACCGTATCTTAGTTAGATTATAGAATTAAGCTTACTTACGAGTGCTACAGCAGAATGAGGATATACCTAACAGAACGGGAAATAAGTACTAACAAAACACACGGGGGTACCCTACACAACCAAAGGCTTATTTGATTTAATTACCCGAGTTATTTTGAACCTTCTCTATTGGAGTTGCTCCTTAAAAAGCCCCTTCTAATCCATTGAATTGGATTTTCTCAACCACGTATATGGGGTGACTGCTAAGTGAAATGTTGGATTGTTATAACAGGGCTTAAAAGCAAATGGAAACAGAGTGGTCTGATCGAGGCCTTTTTTAACATACCTACTAGGAGGGGCTGGGCAATTACGTAATAGTCTATTGTCCTGTTCTTTAAGTAAGCAAAGTCTTGCCCCATTCTAATTTCCCTTCGAAACTGCTATGGCTGGTGGAATTTGTCCATGACTCCACCCATCGAACTATTTGGAGAGGTGAGACACCGGCTTTTAGAAATTTCCTTGTCAAAAGTATAGCTACAATGAGTCAAAAGTTTGTTGGCATTTGGTCACTTTTAAAGAAATGATTTTACCCTTTTACCCTTTAAATCAACCAAAACGACCATCTTTTCTGTGATTTTCTGGGGTCGTTGTCTCTGGAAATGGGGCTTCAGACCCTGAGTTTTCCCCATATAACTCTGACCACCCATAGTGACAATTATTCGAGCTTTCGGTATCTAATACGTTTTTCTTCAACGCTACCTTTTATTTTCCCAAATCCAAACTTATTTTGGTTTTTGAATATCAAGTATACCTGTCCCCTTAGTGAGTAAACACACATATGCTAGGAACAAAGGAACAGAAGAGAGCGCCCGTTGGTACGATTAAACATGTTTTAACAGGCTAACTTGATAAAAATCAGCAACAAATCACTCTTTGTGTATTAAAATGCCGTAAGACTCTCAGCCTGCCACTTTCTTGTGGTAATTAGATGCTGTTGCTTGTTTAAAACCTCGTGAGTCTTATCAGTGTCATTTATTGCCAAAAAATGTTTTTCGAATGTTGTTTCCTCTTGATCGACTTTTCTTCGTCGCATATTTATTTCCTTGTTGTCAAATCGTTGTGTGCAACAAGCATGGAAAAATTAATAATGAGACCGAATACTTTTCTCATTTTAAAACTTCTAAGCCGTTTAACATGGGTTGAGCTACCAGCTCAATTGAACGCCTATGAAAGTGATATCGAATTCAGTCCCATGTGAAAACAGGATGAACTTGTCCCCAATGCGATACTCTTGTCACTCTCTTCTTTCTTTGAAGGCTCACACGCATTTTTATGTATGCCACACACGAATCTTCTCATTTTTTTAGTGAAATTGTTTAAATTTAGTTTTTGCTGTTTGTTTTTGTTTCGTTTTCATCGTATTTCTTTGCTTATCATGTAACTATCACAAAAACCTCTTTTATATTAAGTCTCCACCATCATATCATTAGTTTACTTAGGAGTTTTCTGCATTATTTTAACCACGACAAACCCTATTTTGAGTCTCGTTGCTGAAAATGGAAGACATTGTAAGATCGACGTTCCACTTATTAAGAAATCTCAAATTGCTCATTTTAAGACATTTCCAGTTGATAATAAAATTGATTAGGCCTTGCAACGTTCATGGTCGCTCTGAAAATCCTTTTAATTATCCACAATAATGAACGTCGTGGTGCTGATGCTAAATAGATATGCGCTTTCCAACAGAAATATTTGTTAAGTTTACAATGTTTGTGATCCTCGCTTTACTACGAAACTGATAGGCCTGGTAAATTTCGGAAGTAAACATTAATTAAGATCTATATTATTTTCTTTTCTTTTTTACTGTAAAATGTTCAAGGGAAGACAATATTTCTCTTATATTCGTTTTCAAGACCTATTTTCATCATCTCTGCAAATTGGCACTAATAAAGCTTTCTTTGGGCTCCTTTAAAAAATTTAAAAGTTTTTTCAAATATTATTAAACTTTCATGGGTCTCTCATGTAGGTTTCTACTAGGGCCAGGGGCGAAAACAAAAATTTTTCGGAGGGGTGCAGAAATGATTTTTGCCGACAAAAATGGTGTTTCTTACTATAAGGATAAATACTCTTATATGATGCTTTTATTTGTTTCTGTTTCCAAATTCAAACTTCAGGACCGCCCCCCGTACCCCCTTTGGTGACGGCCCAGTCTTCAGCCAACATAAATTCCCTTTAAAGCGTTGACCCCAGCTGCTTCTCAAAGACAGTTCTAAACAAGGATTCAATGAGATATTTATCTAAATCAACCAGTTTGCTATAAAATTGTCGATCGCCCTTTTGTAGATGACGAAAGTGACAACAATTCGTTGGAGTTTCCACAATCAACTTCAAAAAGGCGAAAATTGGAAGTTGTGAACATCACACCTACAAAGTCACCGACAAAATTCAAGGACCTAGTCACTGGCAAGTCCTGGCGCACTGGAACGTAAGCACCTTTCATTTTAGATTAACATTCTTTGCCAATATTAGGACGGGATTGTAGCAAAGTCCTTTATTATGCCTAATAGAAACCATATTTCTAGGTTAGTCTACACTTCCCAGACCTAGGTATTCTGACCTACCTTGAGATCTTTTTGTTATTGTAGTGAGACTCTTTGTAAATTATAGACTATGATTGATCGGATGAAATGAAGACGCATAAGTACTTTGCACCTTATCATGTGGCCTCTGTTATCAATGTTTTACAAATCAAAAGTCTTTGAGTTATGTCCTGTTCTATGACCTATTGGCCCTGTTAATGTTAAATTAAGGTATTAAGTTCCAAAAAAACAAAGTTTTTCCACAAACCATTTCTAAACATGCAACAATGGAAGTTTGTCTGAAGGATTTTTCTTCGCAGTGGTGTAGTGCTATCAAAATAACAAGGGGAGCTTTTTTTTCACTTTATTAAATGTTGGTTTAAAAAATACTAGCTAATAAACAGCTAATTAACACCAACTTGTAACAATAACAAATATAACTAAGAAGAAATCGCGATGTTTACAAGTATCCAATATTAGAAATAAATGGTGTGCGAAGTCTACACGAGCAAGTAAGATCCGTCTGTTTAATTTGAGCTTTGAATACTTTACAATTTTCTGTCGATCGAATGTCTAACGGTATAGAATTCCACAATTCATTACATCTATAGTATATTGTATCCAGCCCATAAGTAACATATTGTATAAGCTCTTGCACAAAATGTTGCAAAAAACAATAGCAAAAGTAGAAATTTGCCAATTTTTGGCATCAAGAAGGGGGCTCAGCACCCCTAAGCCCCCCTAGCACTACACCCTTGTTTCTTCGTCATCTTTCTAACACTTTCTATTTCAATTATACCGTTGCTAATTCAGGCAATCAAGCTTTTTTACTTGTTAGAGAACGGTGGTGATTTTATTTCTCAGTTGCCCTGTTCCAGTTTCCAGTACTATTTGGTTTTGCCTGACTCAGTTTAGCAATAAATATGATTTTCAAAATCGTAGAATTACAAAAAGGTGCGACTGTAGTATATGAAAGGAACAACACCGTTCGTCCGAAATCGTGTCATCTCGTCTTTTATCGACTCGCTGCCGTAAGATGAATGATCTCGGATAAAATTTGTTGCTGCAGGGAGACTGTGCTTATTGTTTAAACCTTGCGTGATCATTTTATGATAAAGGCTTTTTGATAATACAAAATGCAAAGAGGCTCAAATCATGATTTTGCATAGTAGCACCTGATTTGACACCAATAAGTCTCCTGACGTAGTCTACATGACCTCTTGACCTCCCAGACGTCTCCATTCTTCAACCGTGTCGCTTTCTGATGTCGCGTACTCGATTTTATTTCACCTTTTTCTTCAAAGGAGAAGCCAAGGTAATTAATAGTTTTCCACTTTTTTGAAGTAACAAGTATAGCAAGTTGTAAATATGTTACGTGCCCATTACCACATCACAACTGATTGACGTCATAGGTTAGTCAGCTGGTGCACCAGAAGAAAGCTTAAAAGTTTTATCGATGTCAATAACAAGAAGTCACGCTTCCCCTTGTTGGTTTTCGAACACAATGAAATCATTTTCTAATTCCTTTTCTCTGCCTTGAACGGTTGGTTCAGTTTTTTCACTTTCTTTCAGCTGATGGATCAGCTTCTACTATTTAATTGGTTTATCGTTACCTACCACACCCAGTCTTAGCCAATCATGTAACGATTTCACTCAATCGCCAAAGTCATGCAGTTATCCAATTTAAGTATCAATTTAACAACATTCCACCTTTACTTCACCTTGTCACAGAACGTATTCTTATTCTGTGACCTTGTCCCTCTTCTCTTATCTTATGAACCTTATATGAAGCCAAATTTTGGTACATCTCTACTGACAAATACTGTATTTGTTTCCATTTTCTCGCGCACTGTGCAGAGATAACATTCTGGTCAAAAGGATAATGCCAGATTTTCTCCAAAAGACGATATAGCTGAATTTTCCCACGCTACCGACACCAGCAACAACATTAGATATCGTTAAGCTCTAGCATAGCATTATGATATTATGATGACGATTAAAATTTCTTTTCGGAAGAAGGGGATTGGATTTCAGTACAGAACTCCACTAATTATTAATTTCAATATAGTACTTCTAGTGTATTTGCAATCATGAAGTCTCTCGATCCAACTCTGTTTAACATCTGAAGCCCACTACACGCAACGTAGTCTCTGACCTTTTTAATTCTTGGGTTAACAACTCAGTGAATATTCACAGGGTGACAAGGGAAACTGATACCCTATATACTTTCTCCTTGTTTAACTTCAGCAAAATGTCACCAGGAACTACGTAAATGTATCGCTTGCTCGAATTAGTAAAATTTCGATTTTCACGAGTTCGAGCTAGACAGAGTCTGCATAATTTGTTTAAATGACTTTAGTGTTTCTGTAGGAACACACATGATCGCAGACCACATATAGCTAATTAAACTACATATATTTAGCTAACTAGAAGGCAAAAACTTTCATTTTTCTTATCATTTGGTGGTGCTTATCTTTTTAATTTTCACAACAATCCATCTATTGACTATCTCGCGGCTTCAGTTAATGCCAAATAAACCTAAATTGCACCCTTCTATCAGTGGCTGCGGTGAAATATTCTTTGCTCCATTCATATCAAATTAAAGTATGATTACATTGAGCTTATATTTATCGAATGATCAATGAAAAATACATCTTTTGTAACTCTTACATAATCTACTGGGCTGGCTAGATATTTTGATTCTTTCATTGTTGATTATTTATACTTTCAGTACCGTGAAAATCTAACATTTGACCGCTATATGATGCTGGTTGGGACTGTTTTTACTTTTGCGGTACCTTCTTCAATAACTTTCTTGTGTAGTAAATGTGTATTATACCTATGTATTTGAACCCACCACCCTATAGGCCATATTTCTTCAAATATAAACCTACAGAAAGCAGTACTTTTAGAAGGATGTATCATCGGATTGATGCAAAAGGTGGGCCTTTCTGCACCAAAAATAGGGTAAAATCTTACAGAGGGCTACACTTTGCCCCCCCCCACTCAGCAGCAGCTGATGCCGCCACGTAATACCTCTGATACCGCCATATCTAATGCTGCCCTCTAATGCCACGTAATACCTATAATGCCGCCATATCGATCAGGGTTATTGACAACTGGGCTTTTTCTCTTGTGCTTTTCTGTCAAACGTCTTATTAAATGATGCTACCATGGCGTCAGAAGGCTGTATATGCACTTCAGTAGTGGACAATCCCTAATATTTTGTGTTTAAGCCTTAATACATCCATGCTACGTGGTTTAAGTTTCTCGATAGCAGAGAATGGTTTATGCTTATCGAGAAATTGGCACGATGGCATTTCCTGTCGTATCATCTTGTAATGGGTTATGTTTTAGTGATATTTTTAATAAAGTACATTTCAGTTAATTCATTGCACCAAATTTTATGGTTTTTGTCTAAATTGCAATAACTTACGTTACAAGGTATGTTTTGTTTATGTTTGGCTCTAATGAAAAATACAACAGTATACTGTTCACCTATCTCCATGTGCATCTTATTCCTTTAATAACTGTAGGATATGTGTGGCATGTTGGCCTATGTGAGACCCATTAAAGCTGCGTTTTCTTTGACAAAACCTATCCTAATACTCAATGTAATAACTGATTTCCTAACTTTGCAATGCCAGTTTCATAAAAGACCTGATTGTGCGTCGTACAGTATCAGTCAGCGATGCAACTTTGAATTTGAAATAAAATTGTACGTAGAAGGAAAGGGCGAATTACATTAACGAAGTTTCGAGTATTTCTACGTAACGACGTTTCGACATTAACGACATTACAATGCTCAAAAATCGACCATGCAGTTCCCCCTTTTTATTCTACATAGATTTTTTTTTTTAATTCAAAGTTATATTGTTTACACTGTCAGCTATGGTAAATATATTCAGCGCCGAAAGTTAAAAAGTAAATGGCTTTTTGGTGTCGATTGTCATCTTTAAATTTATGCAAACGTTTCGTTAGACGTTTTCTCTATTTCAATAGATCTAAAGAAGAACAGAAACAACTTCTATCGGCAATTAAAAAAACTCGAGTAAGTTTTGTCATTTGCTGTGTCTTGTTGCTATCTTCCTAGATTTTATACTGTGGAAAACATATCTTGAAAAAAATGTTGAACTGATTCTTGTTTTTTAGTCTTTGAGTTTCAGAGCGGAGCTACTTTAAATTGTTTTAGTTTGTTGCGTAGAATCGTGATAATAACACTGTTTCAATTTTTTAAAAATTGACCACTTTTAACCACATCTTTGAAATCAGTAACACCTTTAAAAACCCTTTTCATTTGTCTTTAACTATTAGGCTGTTAGATTTTTAGAAGTGTGGCATTGATTCTGAGCCCGATACATAACTTTTCTTTTCTACCCTGATCAGTAACTTTCAGCAAAATAATAAAACCTAATAAGATTATTTTCTTTTTAGCCAACACTAGAAAAGATTTTGCATGGAGAAATCGAATGCAAACGGCACACAATTTTTACGAAGGGAACTACCAAAGAAAAAAACATGCTAAAGCATTCCAGTGGCTATGGACCGATTGATGACGATAAAATTGTAAGATATGTTTTGTTATTTAGTTTTGTATGTATGTTATGTTATGTTATGTTATGTTATGTTATGTTATGTTATGTTATGTTATGTTATGTTATATTATGTTATGTTTTGTTATGTTATGTTATGTTATGTTATGTTATGTTATGTATGTTATGTTATGTTATGTTATGTTATGTTATGTTATGTTATGTTATGTTATGTTATGTTATGTTATGTTATGTTATGTTATGTTATGTTATTTTATTTTATGTATGTTATTTTATGTTATGTTATGTTATGCTATGTTATGTTACTCTTATTTGATTTAGGTCGCCATGTATGTAATCATCAGGTAGAAATGCCAAACCTCTTTCTTTTCAGGCTGAAAAAGTTTTGGAAAAACTACTAGAATGGTATAACAACTCTAAAAAGAGAAGGAGATTTAATTCTGTTACTTACGTATCAGAAGTGTGGCTTCCTGAGGTAGGCTTTGTTGATGTTCTGTTTTAATGTATCATAGCCTCGTATTTTCATTCATTTATCATAACTTTCTAATTATCAGTTAGTTGATTAAAAGTGTATGTGTGATTATGGTCACAGCTTTTGTTTGAGTTGTTTTCTGTTAATTCCTAATGTCTGCGCTTGCAGTTCTCCTGCAATTATGCCTGATGCCTAGCACCATTTAACTTGGTTTAAACTGATAAATTGATGATATATTTTGCATATTTTAACGTCTAGTCTTTAGCTCAATTTTCAGAATATTTTGTCTTCAATTTCTTCATGTCTTTCTCCATTTATAGCAGCATATTCACTTATGATATGATGTTCCATTTTAGTTTTTCATTTTTCAAATTGCAAAAGGAACTACTCCGCTACCGGAGGCTAAAATTCTTTATATCAGAAAAGCAAACTTGTATTTTGTCATTCCTACTGCATTTTTTAGCATATCTAAGAATTTTTTCTATTTTATTCAAAAATTCTACAATAAAAAACAACTCAACACACAACATATGAACCCCTTTAATACACCACAAGGAGGGAACCAAAGGAAATAGGAGATAGTGGAAATCCCATTGAAATTAATGTTTAAAAAATGAAGCTAAAATTCAGCTAAATAAAAAAAATTTTCACACATACAGAGCCGATATGAGGATGAAAAAACGAAGAGAATTTAAACTTTGTGATTCAGTTTTGAATTTTTGAAACAGTTTTGGAATGTTGAATTTCTGAAACTGTTCCCCTCACAGAAACAGTGAGGGGAACAATTTTTCGAATTTTTTTAACTAAGCCAGCCAGTTGCGCGGATGGAAGTTAAAGTTAGTTCAAGCAGGCTTCTCTTAACGCCATTAGGAAGATCTTTGCAATCGTGCAACAAGCGTCGCATTATTAGAGCGTTGTTTGTAAGCATCTCGCTTTGGAAAAATGATCGTCTATGTGATGGGTAAGAAACATTTTAAAGGGGAACATTGGCATAGGAAACTCCACTGTACCCACTGTATCCTGCGGCGATTGACCTCCTACCCTAAATAATTATCAAGATTTTCTTTCTGTTGCATGTTAGTATTGTTTGTTATATGGATGGATTTTATTCTCACAGTGATGAACTCTTTTAATTCCTGTGATACGCAAGTCTGACAAGTAGTTTTAAAACCTATGTTCGAAGACGGGTTCTTTCTGCCCCTGTCTTAAGTAGGCCCATATTCTTCTATCACGTTCTCCTGATGGGCGTATCATTCCATTCAAAGATGGATTTCTTTCTTTTTAGGCTATTATCATGGCTTTGATGGACTCAAGAAATATTGGAAGACAGAAAGCCGAAGAAATATTTAATAACAGCAAATAAGAGCAGGCACCAAGCTATGGCCTACTCATGTAGGAGTTGGCAGACCACCACGAGAAGGGCCTTACTGGAAAAAATAGTAATTTAAAAATACTTCTAACGAGCATTTCATGGTAAAGTCTTTCCTCTAAGGTGGAAATCTTCAACAAGTCGATAAAAAGACTCTTTTTTTAAGCCAGTCTACATTAAGTTCAAATATTTTATGTGAGTGCAGACAAAGAACAGTGGTGCAGTAGGATGTAGATATTTGACTGAAGGTTGTGCCAGTTTTTTGCACTCAATGTACGACATGTTGCCAGACTTGTTAAATGTTGTTTTTCGTGTAAATAGATATTTGTTGTTATGTCTTTCTGTTAGAAAGGTTTTTAAGTTATGCTAGAAATTTGACGAAAACTCAGAAGTTTATTTTTACGTCAATTTTTTGTTCATCAGTCCTTGACTTTAAAGTTTCCATAACAGATAAACTTCGTTGTAGGCCAATTTTGGGTCAAGTGAAAATTTTAGGAACATTTTCGAGAGAGGTAGCTTTACATTTTCTCATTTTTTAAAAGTACTTCGAATAACAATGCATGTTTTGGAAGTCTCTGGAATGTCTATTGCATGTTATCCATGTCCGCGCTTAAATTTACCATATTTGTTGATTTTGCCCGGAGAAAAGAATTCTGAATAGCAGAAATTGGTCTTTGGGTTTCTCGCAGCACTTGTTGTTAATAAGCGCTAATCGCTCAGATCCACATATTGTTGTGACTTCACAATATATTTTTTTCGGGCCTTTCGACAGTTTGCACCTTAAAATATTCACACCACTTTGTTAAACTGTTTTCAACTCAACACACAACTAAGTGTCTTGTTTCCCAGGTTTTGTTTTCTCCGAGCCATTTGTGAGTGGAAAGTTTCCGCCAGTAATCTCAAATGCTATTTTGTTATTTTTTGTCCATTTAAGGCTATAACTCGAATATTTTTGCCACCTGAATCAAAGCAGGCATTAAAAGATTTAAGATTTTTATCTATTGATCTCAGGAAAAAGGTCAAGATTAAAATAGTCTCGACTTAAAAAAGCCTCTTGTCGTTTTATTCAAGTGATACCTTTCTCATAAATGATATCTTGTTTGATCCCACTACGCTGTCTTACCCTAAATTATTTTATATTCACGGAGCAGTACCATGAACAAACTCTAATTTCACCATAAACTGACTCAGCAAGATGACCAGGTGTTTTCATGGACCATGTTGCAACGCCCAGAAGAAAAAAGATTTTCGTTACTGACCGTGACACAATAGTTCAACATAAGTGAAAATTTCCATCTCGTCGTCAACCACAGCCATAGTTTGCTATCATATTTTATTCACCTTTCACACTCCCTGCTACACTCTCTTTATAAGAACTAGATGATATTTTTGGATAATTTGAAGCACCAGTCTTTTTAATGTTGCTCTTATTTCGACATCGATTTGTATACATTTACAAACTATGATTTTCTTCTAAAACTACTGAAAACAGTTTTGTAAACGTGCTGATCAAGGATTTGTTAAAATTAGAAACAATTTTCAAAAAAACGTTTTTTCTTCTAATTTTCCATCTGAGGCTTGGCATGCTCTTACGTTATTCTTATATGTTTGCCACATTGACCCTCAAATTTCTTATAAAATGTTTTCTTACAAAGTTCCGTATGAGTGTCTCGGAGTTTTCAGAGCTAGATTTTTAAGAAATATTGTGGCCCAATTACCAAGTAAGAAGGTCCGGGCAGGCACAAACAGTTAAAAATAGAGGAAAACTTTTTGCATTTGGGTTGTGTTCTGGATAAGTGGTAAACTAAGTCTGCTTGAGTTTTTTGCGTATCTAAACGCAGTTTTCCTTCAGTTTAAGATCCCTACAACACCACAGTCGCCGCACCTTTATCCTCAGAATGAAGTTTGGTTCAGCATTACCGCTCTCGTGTTCATGTTTCCTCTAATGTGCTTGTTAATCTAATCCTACTTTCCCCTACAGTTGTTCCTCTTCTTCAGAATCCCGGCTGCGGGGTACTTTCCCCTACCTATTCATACATATCTCTACAAAGCCCCTGCCCTGCTGCTATATTTTTAGCTTGCTGAATTATTTGCTTGAAAAATCAGTATTACACCATACTGAATTCCAAAGTAAATTTTAGCAAAACTGTCGGTTACATTGATGCCCCTTTCATAATTACGGATATGCACGATTTTCCCTAGCAGGTTTCCTCATTACCCGCTGCATAGTCCCGAATTCCCCCTATTATAAGGTTTTCCCCTACGGGTGGCAACAATCTTTTAAAAATCTAATGACCATTGCCTCTGTGTCTCCCGTTGGGCACGCCCCTGTAAAATGAAGGAAAATTCAATTGCCGTGTACATATAATGGAGACTTCGGTGGCGAATATTGATAAATCGCATAAGCCCGTACCACAAGGGCAGGTTCTGGTATCATTCCTATTGATATCTTTGGCCCACTTGACTAAATAAACCTTGAATAGACTTTTATTAACGTACACCATACCTACAAGTCTTTTTTCAAACGAAACATTTGCACTTTTACAATTCACTCTCTTTACTAGTTCTTCACAGTGATTTTAGAAGAAGATTTTCATCCGAGCATCAATTTAAATCCAATGGTAACTTTCGCAAATGTTTCTCTTAGCTTCATTTGACGTAATTCCGTTGCAACGCGATCCATTGATACCGGTAAATTACATAATTAATAAAAATGTCACCAAAGTCATGCTCAATAAGTCAGTTGCAGACGGAAGGAGAAAAAAGGAAGAGTAAAATTACAGCCAAAACCAAAGAGACATGACATTGTTATGGCTCTAACTGGAAGAGGAAGCCATTCAAAAACGATTTTACGTATTTTCAAACGGAAGCGAATTGTTTTATGCATTTTTGCGTGAGATCTTTGACATTCCAAAAATCGATTAAGACAATCTGAAGAATTTGAAGGAAGGAGGCAATGGGTGTCAACCCCTTTCAGAAAGCACTTACCGCAACCAAAACTGAATGTTTCTGGTTAGATTCAACGAAACAGGAATTTAAAGTATCCCTTAGGTTGTCTATTAAATTTGTCCACTCACCCCTTTTAATACTGCAGCACCATCCAAATCTTCAAGCATGTCCTAACAAATGTATTCAGCCATCACAATTTGACAAATTTTTCCCAAGTGCTCTAAACGTGGTATTCATTGCTGACGCTATGTCAAATTTCCCGCCACTGAGGTTCTCCTTCCCAGATCCTTTCATTACAACTCTAGTATCAACATGAAGTGTAATTTATTTGAAATTTTAAAGGGAGAATAGAAGGATTTCGTAGAATAATCAAAACTTGCTCACGAATTTAAACGAATTAAAATACAGTGGCGTACTGAATAATTTCTGGAAAAGGGGGGGGGGGGTGATAGGGAAGAAGGATTGGTTAAGCAAAGAGAATTGACCGTCAGGTTTAATCGAGAATAATTCATTGAAATATAAACCCTAATTTTTATTCTGAAACTCACGTTGCATACTTTGTTAAGGCAAGACAACAGAGTGCAGCATTTGGTTATCTTACAGTTAAATAATAACTGGTAAAATAATTACACTAAAAGCTGAAGTCATTTATCAAGAAAATCACATATCACGGAATGTTTTTAATTGGTTTCCGAAAGTGAAAACCAACTACGCTGCTTCTCAGTTTTTCGTTTACACCAAATAATACTTTTCAAGCTCTATATTTGAGCCAATTTTCTGGTAAACAACGAAATCGTGTTCATAGATCACACAAGGCCTTTTCTACTCGCATAGACTGGAAATGCTTAATTCCAAATTAGGATAAAAGTTTTGGTTTTAATGACACAAAAATTTTGTTCCCCATTTATTAGCACAAATGGAATGCTCCACTAACAAATAAAAGTGCTTGATGATGTAAACTCCGAAACGCAACCCCTAATGAATCACTTGTCGTGTCGTGTCGTGCTTTTATCGTGTCGTGAATTTTTATCAAATCAGTTAAAATAATCTTATCAGATATTTGCTATTGTTTCCCTCCTGGCTCGTGTCAGGCTCTCTAAAATTAAAACACTCATGGTAAAAAAATCACATCAATTTGAAATATTCTATGACCAATTAATGCGTTGACGCAAATTATATGTCATTGCTGGCCCAATGGCTGCCAATTTTCTCCAAATATGGGTTGGATTGCCCCAATGAGGTGTATGGAATAGAGATCTTATTGGATTGCCCAAAAGAATTTTACTGCAGTTACATTGACTGCTGTAGAGTGGAATGAATGAATGGAACACCGTCGAGCTAGAAAATCCAATTTATGAATAATTGAGCGAGCCATTATTCTTTTTTTTCAACCATTCTATCAAAACGAGCGAATCGGGTTCGACTCCATTTCCAATCAGGTTTCTCGAAAAGTCGCGAACGAGGACAATTAGGATTATCTCCTCCGCATTGACGTCAATGCTGACACACGAGTATTTGCGATTTTATCTTCGGAATGCGACAGTTTCCTTGACAATTTGTTTACTTCTCCATGTTAAAAAACTCAAATTTATCATATTTCTACATATATATCTTCAATAAAACTTGCCTTTGTCTACCTTGCTTTATTTATTTAATTTCCAAAAATCACTGTTTTAGCTTACGTAGTATAGGCCATATTATCGGTGGGAATTTCGCAGATTGTCGATTTTTCTCGTTCCGCGTTTTTCGGGATGTCCCGCGATTTCCGGAAATTTGAGTATCAAAGCTTGGGTAAAACCTTTAAGCGAAAAAATACTTCGTCTTTAGAAAATTTATTTAACATGATGTTTCGAGCCTTAATGGCAACCTACAAAACCTTCAGTAGGGCAAAACTACAGCGGAGCCCGAAAGTTGCTGGGGAAATCACTGATCGGGACTGTTATCGTTCAACCGGGGGCTAGGTCTCATACAAATGTTTCCTCGAATAAAGAATTTACCATTTAAAAGATTTTTTGATTAGGAGCTTGTTTATGCAAGAAAATTTATTTTATAGCAAATGCAAATGTTTTTTGTTATTTTGCTTATTCTTAAGAACTTTTAAAAATGTTTGTTTTTACTGAGTAAGTACATGTCGAGCCTAAACCGGATTGACAAGAAGTGGAAAGTCCCCCCCTGGTTGCAAATTTGAAACGGCCAATGAGAAACAAGCTTTCAATTTCTATATAAGCCGCACACTCAACAAAGATCGTTAAGTTGAATGAGCTTGTGTGAGTGAGTACAAGTCGAAACGAACTTTGTGATTAAAGACAAACTTGAGGTAAGAAAGTTTCAGTATACATTCAAATATGACGGAGATCATACGATTCGGTAACGAAAATTTTTCATCTGACGGATATCAGAATAGTCAAACGACTGAGGCCAAGATCGCGAAGGATGTTGCCCGGGAGTACATCTTCCTCAAAGTTGGACGACCGCTGAAGAACTCTCCTCGAAGAGAAACAGAAATTATTGTCAGGTTAAGTGAGGAAATTGAACGTAAGCATGACATGCTTCTTAAAAGTATGTGCAATAGACTCAATATAAATTCCGAAAATGCGTACAAGACATTTTGCGAAATAGCCGAGGAGATATTCAAAGACGATATCAACTGGGGAAGGATTGTTGTCCTTTACACATTCGCTGGAAAGCTAGCGATTCACTGTATGAACAATAAAATGGATAACATGATTGATAAAGTGATCCTATGGCTAGGAAACTTCATTGCTAGAAAGCAGATTTGGATTAAAGAGAAAGGAAATGGATGGGTAAGCTTGATTTAGGTCTTGTTTTTCATGTTTAACGACCGTTTAAATGCTGTTTACAAGAGCAAGAAAGACAAATATGGGTGTTGGCTTTTAAGTGCATAAGCCTCTGCCTTCAGGAGGTTAATATTGAATTTTTGTTTTCTTTACGAGATGGAATTAAAATAAAAGCCAGTGTTCCGAAATATGGTCGGCGTCATAGTAAATGTGATATCCAGGTAGTCGGTTTTCGCGGTTTTGTTTTAAAATCATAACATTTATTCCGTTAAAGAGTTATATGTAAATAACAAACATTAAATTTAATCAGAATTAGTTCTTCTGCATCGGACGTGCCCCATAGTAGGATGGGCATAGGCAATAAAACATGCCCTCCCGCATCTCCTGTTTCGTGTAAAAATTTAACGTATTTCCGATTAGCATTGCTTGCATATTTTGAATGTAAACCGAGGAAAATGTTTCCAGGTCTTTTGGCGATCTTTTGGCAAAATCCAAATGGTTTCCAGGCGTTTACAAGAGAAATGTCATCGCGTGCGAGACCTTGTTTGATTATCTCGAGACGCGTCTGGAAGATATTCATGAGCCGTTATGAACGACAGCGAGCAATAATTGCCTCTCCCGTGCCATCAGATATTTTGTTAATGTTTGTACTTCATGAAAATTATTGTCGTTAATTCACATCGTCACTGACTTAAAAACAAAATTGTTTTCGCTCGATTAGAAAGCTACAATGTCTACCACCCTCCGTTTCTATGACAATGAAAAAGTCGCAGATACCACTCGCCCGTGTTACCAAGAGCTAATTTTTCAAATATATGCCAAACTATTTTAAATTTTCAAGAATTTTCATCCATTTTGAAAGTTGACGGATTTTTCTATTTGCCCTGGCTGTTTGCCCCGGAGTTTTTCTCAATAAAACATACAACTGATATTTTAAAATTTGAAGACCTAGTGCAAAAGGCCTAATGTTGGAAAGACCTAATGTAAAAATGATCGAATCGTTAGATGGCTTGCTTGTATAGGGATAAGATTTACTCTTATGTAGGGTTGACTGCATTTATCTGCATCACAAGACCTAATCTGCTGCTTGTTTTTAAGAAGACATTTCCTGAACATAAGTTACAAATATTTTAATCATTGCAGTGGTTGCATTGTTGTTTGAACTTACACAAAGAGATTTATTTCTATACGCATTATTGGAGAACATTTCAGATATTTATCCTTTTAGAATTTAACGGTTATATTTAGACATGTTCAGACATGCTTGTTACAAAGAAGCTTTCTCTCATTACAGACTGGATTCATAGAAACTTTCAGAGATGCCAAAAGTGACAATGAAAAAATGTGGTACCAGGGGCTGGTTGCAACAACTCTCGGACTTGGAACACTAGCAGCAGCCTTTTACATACACAGCTAATGCACATGACATGACATCACTGTGGTAGTTGACAATGGGCTGGTGGGTGTTGCATCAGAAAGTCGCACTGAAGGTTCTTCATTGGAATGCAGGGTTGCAACCATGGCTTGTATAGCAGTATGAAACTGGAAACTAGCCTGATCTGTAAAGGATTGAGGAAGCTGAAAGATGTTGAAACAAACTGAAAGTATTTTAAGACCGCTGGAGGAGGCTTAGCAACACTGAAGGAAGTGGAATACTCAACAATTGCAACCAAAGACCGATAAGCTAACAAGAATTGACAAACCTTTTTGAACATTTCTTCAAAACATTTCTTTTAATTTTTTGGCCCTTGTGGTGCTTATCTGGGCTGCATCATACGCTGTACTTTGATTCAGGGTTTTCATCTAATGAACTTTAAGCTTCAGTTTTTTGATTGATAAATCAATTCTAGTTTATTTTGAGCGAGGGGCAAATCACTCCTAGAAAATCTCAAACACCTTTTGTGAAAAACCTAATGTTTTATCTGAAAATCCCTAGAAATCCTTTTGTTTTGGAAAAATCTGGTATGCTTTTTGCAATAGTGAATTGCCTCTCGGTTTTGAGTTTTGGATATTTTTTTTTTAATTTTGATATATTTTGCTGACCACGCAAGGCTGTTTCAAGCTATTGGCAAGAATTCCAGATCCAGCAAATTGTCATGCACAGTGGTGAACAATAATGGCTTTGTCAGTTGTGAATAGGATATATAAATATATATAGATATTAACACAAGAGCTATGTATAAAAGAAATAATAATTTATTGTAAATATGTATGTAAACTATTTAAAGAAGAGTGGAGAAAAAGAAACAAGAGAAATATTACTATCTGTAGTTTTGCAGCCTGTCTATCTGCTTGGTTTGTTACAGAGGAAGGAAAGTAGCTTCTGGTTTGTGGAAAGGTGTTGAAATAAGTTCTAAGTTGAAATTTTTTAATGTAACCAAAGAGAAATGAGAATACAAAGGTCCTTGAATGATAAGTAATATATTTTTGTTGAACCAGTTTAAACCTCAAGTCAGCACTTTGAAGTCAAGAGGGTCTAGGTGCTCTGCCCCACAGATTTTCATGCATCAGCTATGCCCTAAATGCTCCCAGAAAAGGACAACACCCTTAAGTGTCGGACAAAAATGTGTTTGTAAAGAATGAATTTGTTGATTGAGGGCCATGTTCAGACTAGACCATAAACTTCAAAGTGCTCTGACACGAGTGAGCCTTCTGTGTTATCCCAATCCTGTGCATATGCCCTTCTCAGAAATTTCACTATATTGCTCGTTGTATAACTGGAAAGCTTTGATGCAAACCAAAATGGCACCAATTTGAAAAAAGTTCTAAAAGAATAGACTACCGAAGTCTGACGTCATCGAAAATCGATTTTTAGAATTTCTATAATTTGGCCACAAAATCTGAAAGAACGGCATAAAATACCCATCAATATGCAAAATTTGTTACATATGCTCAAAATTGGGCGAGATATGGCCAATAAGAGATTTCAAGTTTGCTAACGGATTACTGTTACTCTGCCCTAGTTCATAAAGTTATGAACCAAGACCAAATTACAGAGGTTTGATGGGGCAAGAGCTTGTGCTCAAGTGGCCATATCTCAGCCAATTCGTAATGCCTTTAACTGATTTTGCATATTTAAAGGTTTTTAATGATGCTCTTTCAGGTTCTGGGATCAAAATTCAAAAATTCTAAAATAAATTTTTATGACGTCATCACTTCGGTACTCTATAATACCTGGGTTATTTGGGCCAAGAATAAGGCAGGTAAACCCTTAATATTGTTCCATGCTTATGGAAAGGTGCGTAAAAACTCCCTTCAAATATCATAAATTTTGTAAGCTAGCTAAAAGATATTTGTAAGTAAATCGAACAATATCGTGAAGAAGGTGTCGTCCGGATTCTGCAAGTGAATGTTTTAGGCCCCTTTAGTAACCTAGTATTTGCATGTTGATTCATCTTATGTGACCTTTATTTGAAATGCAAGATCATAAGGAGAAATAGTCAAACAAATGATACGGTGTGGTGTTGATGAAAAGGGTGGGGCTCTAGCACGAACTTGAAAGTTGAATGTCTACAATATCAGAATCTCCCCGCATTGTTTCAATCCTGGCTTTTTCAATTATATATAAGCCGATTTTGTAAAACGCCACAAATTTTTTGTAACCGTGTTTTCAGATATCGTCATCCTCTAATTCTATTTCCTGTCAGCATCAGCTCTCAGTTAGTATCAGGTCATGAGGCGTGCTTCTTCTAACGTCTAGTATATCGAGAATGCCCTGGAACATGACTGTGGGAACAGGTCACTGCAAGTGTCGAAAACTGTTAACAGCTAGGATCAGTGCCAGTGACAGCTGCCTGTGCCTGTGTTGTGGATACCAGACACGATTGCAAAACCCCAATACCAAAAATGTTGACATAGTTGAAAACGATAAAGCATAATTTCCAGACAAAATGCAAACAGAGCAATGACGTGAATATCTGCAAACAAGACTTGGTTTACTGCTAGATTTATCAAGTATTCTTCTCTAGGTGCACGCAAACTTATTGCTAAACATGGATATGTGTTCCTAGTCTTGTTTGCCTAACCATTCTGGCTTCCATTAAAGGCATTCGACACAGATGGAAGCGGTTGACCAATCGAATTGCGCACAGAGAAAAACATGTGAACAGTTTCCGCCTTTCTGCAAATCGGCGAAACCCTAGAGTTGCTTCACCAATGGTTTCACGCACCCTAATCGAATTATTTTTGACATCGCTGTACTTGCGCATTTAAAATTCCTCTAAGATGGCAACGTTTTCATGCTTTTATTGTAAATAGACCTCATTATCGCTTTTAAACCTTGACACAGATATCAGACAGCCGTACGTTTGTCATAAAACACAATATATGAAACTATACTTGTTCAACATGTCCTTTTTTGGAAGTCTAGAATAAACACTACCCGATCGCTGACATTTAAACATAAATTGTCTGAGTCTCTCAAAGGCTGATTTATGTTTATGATTTATGTTTTCTGAAAATATAGAAATGATAGTTCTTATTCTGGATAAGAAAGAAGAAATATAAGTTCTTAGGGCATGGGCTACTCTTAGGTTTCCTTTTTATTTTGCAAATTTGAATTTACACTGTGTATGCCAACATTTGAAAGATACAGTACTACCTTGTCACTTTTTAGTACAGCTGCCTCTACCTTTATGAATTTAGACGAAAATAACATGTTTTGGACAAATTTGATCAGGGTGGTAGAAAAATGGCACCAAAGGCTTTTCTTTATACGCCCCAAAGCCCACTGTTTTATGTTGAATTGAGTGTGTAGTGGCCTGTAATATACACCAGTTCGCTTCTACTAATAATGACACTGACAGGGTCCGAATGTTGTTTCTCTCTCCTCTTTGCCTTACATAAATTAAGTTACGAATACCTTAGAGAAGGATTAATTTCTGCAAATATTTTTAGATATAACAGATTTGTTCAATGTATACAAAGAGGTCCATGTCGAATTAGAATCGATTTTTGGTAGTGGCCTTAAGAGTTTGCTGCAAAAGAAATCTGGTGTTGTTTATAAGACTCAAATTTTCTTTCACGCCTCAATTAATCCATTCACCAAACTCTTGACGTTTTTTTCTATGATACCACTTTCAAGCAGAGTTTCGTCACTTTTTGCGTTCTTGTTTATGTCTATTGGCAAGAAATTGAGTCTAAGCGAGACAAAGAGATAAATAGAATTGAAGCCAGACAATAAGATAAGAAGGACAGTGACCAGGTCATCAATGTAAAAACTAGAATTTCATTTGCATACGCAATTTTGTGATCACTATCATCTACTTTTTCGTTGATTTCAGCATGTTTCACACGAGGAGGTGGTATTTTAAGCTTAGAGAACCAGCTGCTGTGAGAAAGAGAGAATTATTTCATATTTGCGTGGGTTAGGCTTAAATTTCGCACAAACATCTGCGTATAGTTTTATAGCATTGCATTATTCATAACTATTTAATTGACTTGAAGATTCTATTTGCTTCTTAAAGACAAAATATCTGTGAAATTTGCAATCAAAACTGGGTGAAGCATGTTTTATTCTAACTTGTTGATGTCCTGTTGCTTCAATGCAGGCTTCTTGCCAGTATTTGCAAGAAAGTAAAGCAAATCGGTTCCTTTTCTCTTTGTAAAGATCGATGATAACTTGAATTATTCCTTTTTATAAGAAAGCACGTATGAAGAAGTTGAATAGATCTTCTTTTTAGGTATTTTAATTCATTTTCAAGGTTTATGGAATATTTTGTCCATCCTAATTTATAAACACAGCACGTTTTTGTTATGTTTGGAATAGATTGCACACACGAAGACCAATGCAAAATAAAAACTCAGTTTGACAATTTAACAATCTGTTCGATGCAACTTAGTGCTTTTGCAGCAACAGATTTAGCTTTATATTGCTTTCCTCAAGCTTCAACATACAAATTTGCAATTTTTTATGCCTTCCATGGAAAATTTTCAATGTTAATGGTTCGTGTTCCCTCCAGTTCACCGTACTTTGCAGCTAAGAATTATACTAGCTGTGCAGCCTAACTAACCAACAACCTACCTGCCTAAGCAGAACAAAACACACTCCTTGGTGTTAGGTTTCTCACCAAACTAGGTATTTCGACCGTTCTGGACCTAGAGCTCAATGAATTGTGACCATCAGGTGCTAACGAGTAAAGCAAAACAGCAACAAAAAACAGAATACAAAGAATTTTGGTGCAACACTGAATGAAGAAAACAGGATCTCTTTTGTGGAACAATAGTTAGATTGCCTATTCTCCAGACCCATAACTTAAAAGTACAGTTAAGCTTTGTATAAAGAGCAGAACGGTTCTAAGTTGCGAAACCGAGTTCGGCCTTAAAGTAAGGGTTGGTTGTTAAGCTTTCGTTTTAATACAATGGAAAAGCAACCGATTCTTTATAACATAGATTTATAACTTGGGTCAGAAGAATGACCGCTCCCTTGCTACTACGCTACAACAGGCCTGGGTATATGACATCAGCTACTACAGCCTGTGTAGTACGAGCTAGTAAAACGGCACCACAGTAACTAAAGATGCAACTTCATGTTGTTTTGATGCGTTCTCCGAATTAAGTAAACTAACCTTCTTATAAAAAACGATGAGAAGAAAGTTTTTGCGGAAACAATCATTTCTTTAGCCGCCCAAAATCATTGGAAAGATAATCTAAATGTAAAGATAATCTTTAAGATAAACACGAGAGAAGCACCTGCCACCATCTTCTTCAATGAATTTATTTAGCTTCGTCAGCATTGTGCAGACACTCTTTTGGCAAAAGCCGAGAATCATACCGACAATTGCCATATACAGACGGATACAGGGTCTTCTACCGACCAATCAGTACCAAGTACGATTACAAGTGTGTACTACATTTAAATGAATGCATGAATGGGTATGACCATTGACGAATCAGGCTGCATTCTAGAGAGTTCTCACTGGTGGCTGTTTGTGCTATGACTACTGTGTCCTGTAATTCTTATTGTAATGTCAACAAACAAGGGACCCACATTAATAATTCAGCACATCCACCGCAGGTCCTATTGTAAGCTTGAATTCAATGACGATGCCTTACTCAGAAAATTTATTCTTAGTATACCACAAATTTGAAATTAAAAAAATAATGTATATGACAATTGGCTTGAAAGTTTACTGTTTGTGAAGTTGTTTGTCTAATGGACGTTTTGAAAAGAGCGTGTATTGTTTCATGTCAGCAAAATTGGGGATTGTCTGATCATGAAACTTTAAACTTGCTCATTAGCCAACGATATAAGTTACCTGTGGTAGTTGAGGCTATTACCTTCTTATTTCGTCATCAGCACCCACAATTCATTGCTCAATGTAGACTAACGCAAGGTTTTCCTGATTAATTTAGTTACCAGTAAAAATGCCTATGAGAATTTGTTTAAAATGTGTTAAAAAGTCACAACAACAAATATCTCAACACAACCAGTTGCAAATTTTTTACGGTCCAAGTATGAATTTGCTTAATACACATTATTAAACCGACTACTTCTGTAGGTCGCAAAGATGAATAAGCTCTGGAACATTTTATAGAATTCCAATTTCAAATCGTAACATGTAAACCAATAATCTTAAGTGTAAAAATATAAAAAGGCAATTAAATGCAAGCTTGTATGTTGATAAGAGGCAAGTGCAGTTACAGAAAGCCATAGAAGTCTGTACTTAAGAAGCAGTTGATATTTATAAAAACAAAGTTTAGGCTAAAACAATATTGGCTATAATTAATAGCAAACCACGAAAGCACATTGCTAAGAAAATATGTTTCTTTTGCAGAATAAAGAGGCAATGCTGAGTTGAAATACGCTATATCTTTTTATAACGGATGATTAATTATTCAAGCAGGCTACCTTTTGAGACCCCCATATTTACAATGCAGACCCTGTGACTCTTTGAATTGTGTTCTTGACGCATTTTAGTAGGCGGTACAGTCAACTCATGTGAAGGCGCTTTGTTGTAGACATGACGTCATGGCGCCATGGAATAGAATAGCCACAGAATATTCTGTAAAATAGCTTAGAAGGGTTTTCAATTGTCTTGAGGATACAACCTTGGGCAACTGCGAAAAGCACTTAGACTGACTTTCCCAACATCTCTATACAGCTAGCAAAAACATGAGCCTGCTGGGATTTTCAATCATGATCTCCCATTGAAATGTTTATAATAAATAGCTGTGTTTACACTCACAACGAACAGAACATCATGTCTTGCCACGTGCCGTTCTGAACATGTTTATGGAAATGACGAAATATTTATTTAACTGGCAAATATTCTGCACGGTGCTCCTCACAACAGTTTTTAAAGCTTCTGAAACAGGACATTGAGCTTGTCTAGTTGGCAACCAATCTACTTGTTTGTATCTAATATGGATTTCCTTCGTATCCTTTACTGACCATTTCAGGATCATAGCCTATCTCATTCTGAGTATCTTAACTAATCTCTCATTCTAACAATAGACAAGTTATCCCTTTTTTGAGCAAGGCAACTGTAACCCAAGTTCAAGTGTAAATGATACTTCTTGTATTTGTTGCAACCTGAATTTCGAAAGTAGTTCTAGGGCACTGAGAAACTATGCTTATCGAACAGAAGCCTTCACCTTCCCCTCGATGTGAACACATCTCGTGAACCCAACGTTCGGTCATGACATGGCAGGGATTCAGTGACGGAGTTAAGGGGGGGGGGGGCAAATGGGGCAGTTGCCCCTCCCTCGACGAGTTGAAGCAAGTCTGGCGCCCCTTTTTTGGAAATTGTGCGCCCCTTTTGAAGAATGAGAATCAGGTGATAAAGTTTCTGAGACCGATAGGCTAATTTGCTTCAAGGATTACTTCAAAGTAATGTTGTTTATTCTGAAAATGGGTCTGAAATTGTTGTATACAGCGTACTCTCGTCACCAATTTTTGAAAAATTTTCAGCGCCCCCACTACCAACTGCCCCTCCTTCAAATTTGCTCTGGATCCGCCCCTGCAGGGATTCGAGCCCTTGGATCTGTAGACCCCGACCCTAACCACTGAGTCATCCTCACAATACTTTCATAAATGTCTTGTGGTTCTTCTACTTAAGTACAAGGTCCAATTTTCCCTGCATTATCTTCTTCTTTATCTTGGTAATCCAGCAAAAAAAATTTTTCATTTTGGGAAAACTACTTATTAAAAAGCTACGCAGCTGCACCTACGCAGAGGAGTGCAGCCGCTTGAAAGATTCAAGAGATGAACAACAAAACAACATCTATCTTCATTGCAATTCTAAACTTTAACAACCAAATCATAATAATTTAAGCAAATTAAAAAACTCTAAAACATAAATGGTCTAGCTATCAGTCACTACAACAATTTCGACCATTGTCACAAATTTTGAACAAATATCTAAGCTGCAAAGATTAGTACACCACAGAAAACCAACGCTTCAACATTTTAAAGTTAGAATCGTCCAGTTGTACTTGGAGAGAGGGAGAGAGGGGGAAAGGGGGAGGTGGAGGGAGTATGGGGTTAGTGGTCAGGCTGTCTTAAACATTTTAGAGGATCTTTATAGACGATTTCTTGTAAAAATTCTAATTGCAAGGGCTGTCTTTGTGGGCCAGTAAATAAAAATAAGGACCAATACCAGGAACCAATAACAGACGACAGGCGTTAGATCGGGAATGGTTGGAGGTGATCCAGCGAGCCCCACCCTATTAAATAGGCCCCTGAGTTTTATCCAAAGCCTTATTCAACAGGTTTGATCTGTTTAAATATAAGGCCATACAATCATAGTGGGTTTCTTCAATGTTATTTTTGGGTTTAATTTACACAGAACAAAGAACCTTAAAATTGACTACGTCGATATAGAAGGGCTAACGGCATCAAACAAAGGGATGCAACATATTCGACAAAACTGGTACAACCACGGCCTTCTATAACAGCAGGCCAAGATTGAATCTACAAATCAATCGAAAACGCTGTAAAGTAGATTGTGTTCAATAAAACGCCCAGGATTTGCACTGGATGCATCAATTAGATGGAGTCGCTTTGCTTTCATCAGCCTAGTTAAAATCAATCAGATTCGTGATTGGGGAGGGTCCTTCATCACGGTGCCCTGCAAAAAAAATTAGCATGAAATGAACAAAGCCGATGAGATTCGATTGAATTTTTCATCTATATTGGAAATTATAACTTTAAAACAATGATATAACTCATTAAATTCTGCTTCTCAAACAAGTAAAACCATCAGTCTGACAAAGGGTGGCTATTGAAAATGAAATGCTGCAAAAAAGATGGTGTCTCAATGGTCTAAGCTTAGTTTCGACTAAAGGCGTTCATAGGCACAGACTTCCTGGGGCTTGAGCCCCCCTTGGAATTTCTACAGGAGGGGGGACTCAGCCGCCCCTGGCAGAGTTGTGATGCGGAACAGATTTACTGACGGAACAGAAGAGATAAATGAACACAATACAGCATATTTGTTTATTTTAAACAAGTTCGTGCTTTTAGAAGTTAATTTTGAAATTGGGATTCATCACAAACACCGTGCAAATAACATGAGTACCTTTTCATTAAAATCTTTGCACTTGTGACTTTGAGCCCCACCCCTAGGGAAAATCAAGTTGACGCCTATGCTTATGCTAAACATTTCCAAATACGTCATGCGAGCTCTGCATGCTCTGAAGTCTCCATCTAGCTGGCGTATCTTATTTCCAAAAAAGGGCCATTGGAGTTTCAAATTTCCATAAAGCAAAGACTATGGACAAAAGCTAAAACCCATTATAATCTCCTTTGCATTTTCATTTCACTTTTGTTTTCCCGGAAATAAAAGCTATTCGTATGTTTGCCTTACCTAATTGTTCCCCTCCAGTTCCAGGAGATCCAACGTCAAATGAAAACATTTCTATTCTTCTACGAAGATCGAAACCGGGTGTCAGTAAATTAAAATCGTCATCATCTAATGCTTTAGACATTGGTGTAGTCGCGCAAGTATTAAATAATGTTCCGAAATCGTCCCTTTTTTGGGTCAGCTGCGGAAATCCATTTTCAAAAGAGGTTCTAGATACAAACGGGGATTCGAAACTGAGGTTATTTTCCAACCCAGGTGCTTTTGATTCTGGATTAGTCCTTTCATATTGACTCGGTTTCGAAGAGTTCGTTATACCCGGATCTCTATATTGAGACACAGAGTGATCTAGCTTATTATCAGCACTAAGATCTCGGGTATCGAGCTGCAAAAAGGACAGTTGGTGCGCAACGGGAATACTGAGGTCCTCGAAGCTGTCATCCGCATCCAGCTTCTGATGTTGTGCAGTTTCATTTTCCTTCTCCGGTTCCTCTGAGGTGAACGAATTTTTCAAATCGGCCCACGTCACAGCATCCCTTGTCGCTGATTCTCTTGCCATGTCAATAAAGGAACTGTGTGCCGAGACAAGGTTTTCATCGTTAAGTGAAATCCAAGTTTGCTTTTGATCATTTCGGTGTTCATACACATCATCAGCATGTGTATTTCTTAAATCTGAGAAGTGGGGTCTTCCAGAGTGATTTGGTGTATTGGGTTCTCTATAATCCTGCAGCTTTTTCGAATTTGCTTTTAAGTTTTTGAATCTTTCAATTAAACTATTAAGATGTTCCTTATTATTCAAGTTGTCATTCTCTCTCTTCTCCTCGGGCCTCTCTCCTTTCCTACCACCTAGCAGCTCGTATTTTGCGTCCTCTCCCTCTGTTTTGGTAGGGTTTACATTTCGAGGGCATTTCTCCTCCCTTATGAAAGATATTTCCAATGGACTTGGTCTTGCAGCATTTCCTTGGCCATTTTTTGCACTAAATGTAGAAATTTCTCTAGTATCTGGATCAGTCTCCAAAGGCGTGGACAGTAAAGAAGTAATTCTAGAGGTCTCTCTAGCGATATGAGAAACTGGGGTGTCAAAATCTAGCCTTGTAGTTGCATTCACTCTAGCTGGCCTTGGGGTACTGTTGGCCTCGTTTCTATCACCTGAAAATGATATTGTATGCTCATCATCAGAATTCATAATGGAGGAAGCAACTGAAGACCGAATAGCTTTGCTAACCAAGGGCGTCTGTAAGAACGCATCGAACAGAGGGCTTTCTGGATCTAGGATAGCACCTCTAGAAAACATCTTTCCGTCAGTTCCCTGCATCGATCCTTGTGGTACACCTCTAGGGGCGGTGTTATGCAAAGGCGTGTCAAACAAGCTTTCTCCCGTGAATGGTGTGTTCGTAGCACTGTCTGGAAAGAGCATAGTTCGAGTGTTCGGTGTGCCTTCGATATGCAAAGACGATGAAATCAGATATGACTCAAGGAGATCAACAGAGCCCTGTTTCGGAGCTTTCTCTGAAACGAAAAAACGGGAATTTTTTGCTTGGTGATAACATTTTGACGACGCTTTAAAGAAGAAATACGAAGAAATTGCTAAAGGGCTCACTTTAATACAAAAAACTGGTTCATAATTGAGAAATATTCGAAAACCAATCAGTATTCAGTCATGTCTTAAATCGTGTTTAAAACTCGTGCCTGTAACACAGTCGAGAAGAACTATATGGTTCAAAAGTACGGTTTCATGAAACGAAATAACTTTCGTGTTTGAAAGTTTGGACACGAAAAGATTAAATATAACTTATTAAGCAAATAGGAAAATTTGATTAGAAAATCAAATACCATGGTATCATGCTACAGGAAAACTCATATTTTCTATTTTTATGTCTTCATGTTTTAAGAAACTGAAAACGAAAATCGATAGTACTTATCATCATGCACTTTGACAACAATAATAAAATGTCATGAACATGGGGGATTAACTATAGCAGTTACTAATAGGCCTTTGTTGCTAACCATAGTGCCATGCACCAGGTTAGAAAGCTAATAATATTGCAAGCTTTTTTCGAGCATATAATTAAAAATGTCGTTTTACTGTATTCTAGACTTGATGCAATCTGCCATATAGAGTTATGCGGAATTATGCTTAGAAGACATCAACAGACTTAAATTTCACATCTAAAACGCATTTAATATTGAAGGGCCAGAGGGGGCCGGAAAAAGGGTGAAAGGAGGCCATAGCATTAACAGACAAAAGGGTCAGCGTGGAACACAATTCAGATTGGAGTAATATATTGAGACATTAACCTATGACGACAAAAAGAAAAAAAAAATTAAATTTGCATAATATCAAAGAAAGAATATAACACAGAATCATGGTATGGCAATTAAAATTGTTGCCATTGTCTGTTGACATAACTGAAAAACATGCAGGATGCAGACGTCCCTTCAAAAAACAGATGGCCAGATAAGAATCTGTAACAAGCTTGAGCATGTTGAGGAGACATTTTATCCTCTCTATGGATTTAAAATAGCAATTATAACCTGATATAATTAAACAAAAGATGTGACACATGTGACACGACGTTTGTAATCAATTGCTGAAACGCAAGAGGGTGTGAACACATAATTATGTTTTTGTGAGAGATAGAAGGCGAAGATTGGATAAAGCAAGTATGAGGGTGAAAAATATCGAAAGCAGGGTCGATTAAGCAAAATGAAAGCGACACGAATGTGATATTTTTAGAGGTAGAAACTTACTAAGAGCTTTGCAGGAGATCTTTGAATAAACCACTTATAACCAGGTCAAAATGTGTTTGGGCGCGGTGACCAAGTATTTCTTAACATGAACTGATCTCAAGCATTTATTGGTTAAGAACGAATAGGAAATAGCAACTGCGCGAAAACAGCAAGAAATGGAGATATCAAATATTTTACCACCGTGAAACCAGTCACCAGAGAGACAGACGACTAAACTTCGTAAATACAAGAAAAAAAGCTACGAGAACTAAATCCACAGAGACCAAAAACGCCGTAAAAAAACTTGATCCATGAATTATTGATGTCTTTAGACTTGAATTTACAAATTCCAGGTTTTTAAAGCACTAAAACATTTATGAAGTTGAGAAATTCATTCAAATGATAGATAGCGCACAGGACGCGAAATTATAATCACTGTTAAAGTCGTTATCAGAAGGCAAAAGAATTGAGGTTTAGAGCAGAGACATAGGAATAGCTTACGTCTGAAAAATTCACTCCTATTTTATGAAACGGCAAATGTAAAAAACAGCATATCAAAATCATTTTAACTCAAAATTTGTTAAAAACCGAAAGATCCAACATGACCTGATAATCGTTCACACCAAACGTCAAAAGGAATTGGACTTTGATTGTGACAGAAAACTAGCTAGCAACTACGAAATTGTTTCTTAGATTCATTCAGAAAAGATCCTAGAAAAGGTTACGATTACCTAAAGGGAAGCTTCATCAAGTATAATTAACATGCTACAGTTGTGAATTACATCGTTACACGGTGCAATTTGACAGTATTTTGATTTGCAACTTCTCGAAACAGATTGAAGACTTTTCAAAAAGAGAGCACTCCAATTTCCACAAGAAGAGCCATGTTCGGTTTGATCAATCCCTCGTATGCTCATTTAAACCGTTATTAAAAGCGTTACGTGAGAAGATATAAAGGTTTTGTTTTCGTTAGTATTCTAATAAAGATTCTTCTCATATAAAATAGATTGGACCTTTTCCAACCAAATTAAGAACAAAAGCCAAGGGGCTGTCCCTAACTGATAAAAAAACGATGAATATTGTAAAATATTTAAAATTCTCTAAGAGACACAGCAATGACATTTATTAAATTCATGCTTTGTTGAAATTCGAAGAAAACCTGTTTAAGTCTGGTTTGCGTTTGTATCAGACTGTTTAAGGGTTGGCGATACGCCTAAAAATTCACTTTATATATGCCGGAGCAAAATGACATAAAAGCATTGTCAGGTCACATAACTTTGGTTAAGGGTTAAAAAACAGCAAACACCAAACTCTCTAAATTGAAATTGTCTTTATAGATAGTGGAAATACAACTGGATTTGATATTGTGTCGATGTTGACATAAAAAAAATGAAACTTTACCTTTCTTTATTGGTGTCCTTGCAATTTTGTCTTTATGCTCAAACGCATCTTCAGCTTAAAAATAAAATGATATCAGCATAAAGTTTCAATGCATAGGATTTCTACGCCTGGACCCAAAATATGTTAGACTCGGAGCAAAGAATGTCCCAAAGATTTTTCGATAGTGCTCTAATTGAAAACTGAATACCTAGAAGTAAAGTCGCAGTCCTAAGCATTGGTGCAGAAGCATATAGTAGGCTGTTTGGGTCTTGTGTTTAAAGTAAAATTTACCGTTATTTTTCATTTTGACAATTTCATGTCGTTAGCAGGCAAATACACATTTAATTAAAAGTGGAAAATAAAAAAGATTTTGATGCCTTTTTTAGTTGCACTATCATATATCGACACACTCACCCATTGCTGAAATTGGATCAGCAAGGCCATGCTCCTGAAATTACAAATGAATACATGACAACTTTTGCTAAACGAGGGAAAGAATGAGACGTCATCAAGGCTTTAAAATCGAAGCTGTTTCTAACATGCATTCAAAAATACATGTTTGTCCTGCACATAATTGTCTTGATCTTGTAAAAAATTTTATACTATCCTTTGCTTTCGATTTTGCAACACAACCCGAAAAATTAATTTTTTAAGAATTTGCAAATTGTTTACGATCTTGAGTGTTCTCCTAGATAAGCAAAACCGAATGTAATTTAGTTCTTTAACAACACCAAAACAGGATAGCATTAACAACACATGACGTAGCATTAACCCATGATCTCAAATATTTTCCCTTTAGAACCTGCATTATTTCCACCCTCAGAACTCTAGCCAAACGACAAACGTCCAACAGGGTTACATTAACGACAGAAAGGTCATTTTCTTCTGCTTTACTTACGGGACATTTGAATAGGTTGGTTTTATCCTTTAACCGTGCATAACAGATGAGAGAAGCCAAAATCACGTGAAAATACCACAGGAAAAAGAATGGTGATACCAATGGCTTATTATGTGGCTGAAATAAGACCAAAAACCACCAAGGCAGACCGCCAAGGATACAGATGCAAGCATCAGGATATCACTGTGTAATACGCACAATACAGTGGGTTTTCAAGTATTTTTTCTTACGCAAAATATCGATATGAGTCAGCCAATAAGGCATATTTGTTGCCAATGTGTCTCATTTTTACCGATTTATTACAAAAAGCAGTAACAGGGTTTATGTAAGATAGATGACAATTACACAATCATGGCTTGCCCAAAACAAATTGCTAGGCTGTAAAGATTGAATATAAAATCAATACCAAGCAAGTATCATGAAAAAGAGGCTTGCATTGAACCGAGGTCTCCGAATCGAAATGGGTAAACAAGATTTTGGCGCAAATTCTGTTTTTATTATTTTATACTATACCACATATTGATGATGAAATCCATTCAACTGCCTTAAATATCAATAAAGCTAGCACCAAAATAGAAAAAGGCGAGACAAAGACATCAAAAGGAATAACTATTTAGTCAAACAGTGCACGGGAGTTGAAACTAAATAGCTGATTGATTTGAAACGCACTTTCCCATGAAAAACAAAGAAGAAAGAATTTATGTCATTCAAAGTAAGATAAAAAAAGAATGAGAAAGCCCAGTTTGTATTCAAACAAGGAAAGAGCGTGCAAGCAAACAGGCAATGAGAAACTGTGCTGGTCAATAAAATAATTCAGCGATTCACCATGGGCATAATCACAAAAAATCTTGTAACACAATGTAATGCAAATCCGGCTATGTTGCATGTTATAAATAAAATTTGAATCTTTAATGGTATGTGTCATGTAGGTTATTGAATTGCAACTGAGGCAAAAAGAAGTTAATTAACAGCAGAAATTTTGTTAACGTCAGCGAATTGTTAACGTTGTTTGAGCAACATCAGACAATTGTCACAATATACACACAGTAGATATGTAACCAGAGTAAATTGTTTTGTGACAATTCAAAGGACCAAAGACAGGAAGGCTAACATTTAACCACCTTTGAGCCCTCATGTATCATGTGAAATATTCAAGGAAGAAAAACGAAGCACCATTCATTTCAAATTCAAATCAACCGAGCACTGACGAAAGCGAATCTTATCATCGTTTTTCGGCAAAACGATGTTGGGAAATATGGCTCCAAAAATGATTATACCAATTTACAAGACAAGGGCTACTGAACTGCAACTAACCATAGGATGGGTTGCAAGCTGTTGGTGGCAAGGGAGAGGTCATAGGCACACAATTAAAATATTTCTTTCTTCAAAGCTGGGACCAGTTAATTTAAGAGTGACCATTATACACTTGTCGGACCATTTAACGTTCGTAGGACCATTTTGATCACATCGTACTTCGAAATACTTATAACTCAATCCGAAGCTCATGTCCTTTTCTTTATGTGTAGCATTTTATAAGCAGATTGACTGAACGAAGTTAGTGGAGCATTACGTCATACACCTAAATAACTGGCAGCTATCATTTCCAGAGGGGGATCCAGAGTGAGTTCCTTGGTGCACAGAACTCAGTCAGTTTTCCAACAAACAGCTAAAAATAGTGTTGCCTGAAACAAGTAATATTTAAATTAAAAAGTTGAAACCTAAAAATTCTAAGTTTTATCACAGTCTCTTTAAAATCTTAAAATTGCCAGTTTCTTCTCTGTTGTGATTTGAAAACGATTTTCCAAACGCTGTGGAGGACAACAGCAGTCAATCCTAGAACTCGGAAATAAACGTTTTGTGCCTCGGAAGTGAATGAATTGAAACAATGAAATTTTTGTTTGGAACACGGATGGAACTCAGTCAAAACAGCATCTGGAACTCGGAAATGATACCATATTTGTAAGAGAGCTGTACAATGGCCCGTAGTTGATTGGCTACCTATTGTCTTTGTTCTATTGTGGTACTGCAAAACATTGAATTCGAAATGGCCACTGCAGATGTCTTATACTCACGACCATCGCAGCATTCTAGCAGATTATCAAGCGTTTGAGATAAAACCAGGAGATATCGTTAATTTTCCAGGAGTGTTGACTACCTTTGCTTTAAATTGCAGTGTTTGATGGCACGGAAAACCTATGCTCAGACGGAACACCACATTTTGATGAATAGGCTGGTGTCTACGGAGGCAAAACAACAAATTGCGGGCAAAAGAAAAGGGAAAAACTTTGCTGTGGCATCCAAAACAAACAAAAGGGTATTGAGAAAGGGAGGGGGTTGCAAAATTTTTTACAGAGGCACTGTTTTTTGTCGGAAAGAAATCTAGAATCTAGAGTTAGTGAGTAGATAGTACCTACACCCTCCCCCCCTCAATGGTACCAAAATGCATAAATACGAATAAAAATGTTGTCTTATGCACAATGATCAATGCATTATCTGAAAGTCCCTAGCCTTGGCCTGGAACTCAGTCAAGTTTTTTGCTGGATCCGCCCCTGATTTCGAGGCTTGCGTTAATCGAGGCAAAGCAACTGGAAGCAGATTTTTGACTCTTGGATACATATTTTTTAACTTGGTGACGACTTAAACAAATACATGGGCACAATTATAGATATTTAACGGTTATGCACGAGATCATCGTTCTAAAGGGAGGGAAAATTTTGGCGGCTTATAATAGCAAAGCAAGGCCTACCAGAGGGGTAGCACTTCTTGAAGATGATGATGATGATGATGACTGAGATGAAGCATCCCTCTGTTGTAGAACGAATGACGCAACCTGCGATTGAAGCATGGAAACTTAAAATATCGGAAAATCAAGGTTAAAAGTATAACTTATAAGTAGGGATAAAAACTTAATATCATACTGGGGTGAAACCAGTGGCGGACACTTGGTCACTAAGGGGGGAGGGGCAGGCCTACTCTTTGATAAGATGACGTCACAGCGCTCCATTGCTCTAGAACGAAATACCATTGTCTTCCAAAGTACCAGTAGAGACGACGTGTCCGCCACTGGATGTAACACGAATTCCATTTTTGTTGCAGTGAAATCCCGAAAAATTAAACTACCCATGAACTTAAAAGACTCCAAAAAGCAGAAAGGTATTTCTTAAAAAAACATGGTTTATTGGAGATGTATTTAATTGACCGTAGCAGAGACTATATTTTAGCATAAACTAATATTCCATCGATCGAGTATCTTTTTTACTTGTAATGTAGGTTTGACTGTAAATGAGGGCAGGAATGCGTGCGCAAAAAACAAGGTATAAAATGCCAATATACACGTAATATTACAAAGGTATATGGTAAATATTTTTCCAAGCATGCAATTGACATAGAGACGATGAAAGACAGGCTTAAGACATAAACACGAACTTACCAAACACGAAAAAAGCGTTTACACAATACAAAAATGAAAGAGGATTACTCCAGAACCCGAAACACGCACACAGATGCATTTGCCTGTCTTAATATCCATTGAACTGGCTGAATTCCAATTACGATATATCAGATTCATAACAGACGAATAGAACAGGCGTTTGTTTGAAGATGTAGGAATTATTCACCAATTATCAAAACCACCGTCTCATGACGTCACTACTGTCCCTGTTTTGCAAAACAGCAGGATTGAAGCACAAAGTATCATGAAAAGGATGCAAGAATTTTAGAGTATGTTTTGTTGAAACATAATGCAGTGATAGCTAAAACAGAATTTATAGTACCTTCAATTACACGAAAACTCGCGTGAGCGTGCGTATACAACATTTATACATGACAATCGCTTCATTCCATTTTAAACAGGGCCTTTGACGACAAGGGATGGGGAGGGGGGGGGGCTAGGAATATATATAGCCCCCATTTTTTGCAACACAAAAGACCCGACTTTTAAGGTACACCGTTCATTTCTAAAATACTAATACACTTGACTTTTAAAGAACTTAATTTTTAAAGTAATTCTTTTCTTGATGCCTACTCTTGTGTGCTTAATTGTAGGGGAGGGTCATATTGCATTTTTCAAAATTGTTCACCCTTCATAGCATTTTATAATGACCCCCCATTTTATGGAAATCTCAAAGGACGACCAACCCCCTCATTTTATTATTAGACATTTTAAACTTCTCAGAAAAAAGATGGTTTGGCTCCATATAAAACTATTTTTAAGAAAAAAAATCAGAGTTTAAAATTTCAAAAGCGTTTACTCATTGTCATCATCCATATTATTTTCACACCCCCCCCCCCATTTTAGATGCTTATTTACGATTTTTCCTGTAGTTCATTTTATTATGACCCCTCCGCTTTATGAAAATCTAGGAAAATGTCCACCCCCCCTCTTTATTCGACCCCCCTCTACAATTAAGCACACAAGAGTATTGATCGCGACACTTTCTCTATTTTTCAGGTAAACTTTGGCCTAACTTAAATTGGCCGAAAGTAAGAAAAAGATCAAGGCAGAAGTTATTCCATCTATATCAGATCATAATGAATTTCATTGGCGAAACAAGTGCAAACAAATATAAACATACTTTGTCTGCAAGAATTTCACGTGCTTTTCCCGTAAGACTATTGTCTGCGTCGAAATTTGACTTGTCTGCTTTCGATTCCATCAATGTGTTTTCTTTTGGTTTCGTTACTTGTTTTTCTTCTATTTTCGAGGCAACATCTTCCATTTTGGAGAGGCGCACGACATCACCTTTACTTGCAACTAGCCTTCTCGGTCTACTGGTGGATTTTGACTTAGCTATAGGGATTCTTGCTTTTGGATACGACTTTTGTGACACTTTAGGCCTCCTTGAAAGAGAAAGAAAAATCAAGTATATTAATAACAGTATAATGATTGATCTGGCAGTAATACAATTTTGGCTTTAACAACGACTTGTTTAAAAATCTAATTACAGTACAACCTCGAATTAGTCCCACCGAATTATTTCTATTACTATTATTTATTCGAAATGTTTTTGAATGGGTGATAAGTCTAGGGGGGCTTAAATGAAATGAGGGCCTGTAAAAATAATCTGAAAGTCTCCATTAAAAAGCTGTAAACAGTAATTTTCATGCAATACACATAGATTTATTTTCTAAAGTCGTGGTGTATAAAAATATATCATGACGGCAACAACATTATCAGTCATATCAATTGTTTTATGGACACACGATTCCACTCATGTGACAAAATTGGAAGGTTAACTGAGACATTCTAGAACTGGAGTAAATTCTATTCCAAGCAAAGCATGTTCCTTCCTGTGGTTGCCAACATGATGGCAGACAGGAATCTATAAATTAATTCATAAAGCAGCTGAAGCCAGAAATTCTAGCCAAAAAACCTCATGGGTTTCAGCATGATAAATGTAAGATAATCGAGGTTTTTGTTTCTATAACTTGCAGGAAAGCCTGGGCTATAAGAACAGTAGTTTTGGTTTTTAAATTAAATAATCTAGCAGGATGACTCAACAATTTGTATGAAATTAGCAAACAAACGAGGGGAAAACTGAAACTGAAATGAATGTTGACGAATACAAAGTTGACTGATGATTCCTAACAGCTTTCTACTTAATCAAGTTTTTTTGGGAGATATTTAGACAAATTTCAAATAGCCCCATCATTCTACCGTTACCAAGCCCGGTATATGACAACATTTCTTAATTAAGTCAGAGGTCTAGGGAGTTAATACATATTGTCATGTAGACATAATATATATTTACAATTTATAATCAAACAATTTTAAAATAAAAAAACATATGAATAAATATGACAGGCAATACCCATCAGTCTTTGGTTGTGGTGGTTTTATACTGGCATCAAATTTGCCTAAAATAAAACAGAAATCATAAAATGAAACTTCACTTAGCTTTTCTTTATCATATGTAACACTTTTTTGCTAAGGTGTATAAGATGTGTCTTTATTTACATTAAATGTGAATTTTGGGTCATGATTTAGAACTATTGATCAAAAATGCTTTCTGGCCTTACAAAATTAACAAAATATCAAAGTTCAAAATTTCCACGACTTGAAATTACGTTGCTAGAGATTTGCTTGAAAAAAATTCACGGGAAAAACAGCTTCTCTTCAAACGCGAACATAAGAAAACAAAAAGAAAATACTGAGAAGACAGACCAAGTTTTTGATAAATACTGATAAAGACACATCTGATGTCCAGGTAAAGACAAACAAATTTTTTAAGCATAAAATCTAAAAAGAGCTGTTGAAGTGATTACCGTTAGAACAAGGGGTAACTACAGTGGTTGCATCTCGTAAAGACTGCATCAATCCCTCTATTGCTTCTGGGGTATTTGCTAAAACACGAACAAAGATTTGATGGAACAAAAAGCTATTTAACATGAAGAGCCATCTTAATCAACGCAGGGTGGCAGGGTCATATATGATATGATAATCGATCATTGAAAGTTTACCGTACACTGACACACAATTAAATTACAAGCAGATTTAAAAAAATCCGAGCTATGGTATTAAACTCGTTAACAAAATATTGCATATTTCATCGCATAATTTTGCCAGGTTCTTTCGGCCAATAAATGTCACTTCCAGGCAAAATAGGATTTTCTAAAACCCTGATAAAACAGTCAAGCGCTGGTGTCACCTTATTTTCTTAGCAAGTGTGTGCATTCTTCTTTCATCTCAAGAGCCAATAGAAAAACTTAATTCAGATATGTATGCACAGAACTCATCAAATTCTACATATAGCCAGCTCTACCTTTGACACATTATCTCGTGATATGAAAGGCATCATAGAGCCTCTCTACTTTTTCACACAGAATTGTATTACTTAATGGAACTCAAAGACTTAAAAGATGTAGGATATGTTCCTTAAATTTTAAAGACTAATATTGTTACCCACACTGGACACCAATGCTTAACAAAAATGGAGTAGCAGCATTATATATACATGAATATGAACAAAACGAAGAGTAAATGCAGTTGACAGACTTTCTTGAATACTATGAGCTTCAACAACGACTTACAGCTTGAGTCGTTGAATTTGAAATTTTCGTATTTGTGACATGGACTGAACAGAAAATAGAAAAAGATAAACGAAAAAAACTAAAACGATTAAAGTAGGAACAAGACATAAGGTAGCTACCATTTGAATCTGTGAACAGCTGTTTAATAAATGCCTGCTTTTCATTTTCGCTTTCAGCATCAGCTTTGAGTTGAACTGAAGGTGTGGCTGGCAGACCAGTTAGGCCCAAATCCTTGACAAAAAAGATTTTAGAATGGCACAAACATATATGTATCTAAAGTGTATATATTTTGTTCGAATATTGGATAATTCTACAACTCTAAAAATATTGTGAACAAATGTGTATATTTGTGTAGGCTATTTCGAATTATTGCAAGGAAACCGGTCAAGCGAGGATAAAAGTAACGATAAACATATTAGACATATAGGAGAAGATTGATGTCTCTGTGTCTCAGTCGCCCGAAGGTAAAACTTAATATAAATTCGAAACTGAAATATACGAGAATATCAAAAAATGTAGTCAACAACTAATGCATAAGGGCATAAGACAACTAATGCAGAGATCCATGCAGAGAGTTGCAATGCCTCTTGAGAAGAGTACCGTTGCAAGGGCCACTTCATTATTGGACAGGAACATTTCTATATCATGGTGCTGTTATCTCAAATGAAAAGGAAGAAGGGACATAGGTAAAAGATTCGCAATGAAAAATGATGCAGCACACATACTAATGTTTTTTTACAGAAAACTCACAAATATATTATTGGTAGTTTTTGGCGTTCGAGGCTTCGTTATTGTCGCTGACATTTCAATATTTTCTTTTAATTCTTCGATCGAATCTTTCAACTCTGGAACCATCTCAACCTCTAGGATATCTCTGAAATTGAATTGGACAACATCTTGGAAACAACATTCCACAGCGTTATAAACTCTTTGCAACATAAGAACTTTAAAATATTTAGTAGAAAAGGTTGATTAAAAGCTTGCGAAAAGAGGTTAGACCCACCGAGTATAAGATACAATTAGCCAAAATACCACAAGCGTTTGCTGAGTCAACATACAATAATTGAATTATTTTTCATCTTCTGTCGAGAGACATGAATCCAGAATGTTAAGAAAAAAGATGGTTACTCACTTTAAAGATCGAGCACTTTCTACATAGGCAGACAAAGCATGGAGTTTTTGTCGAACACTTGATTCTTCTTCAGAAAGAGAAGGAAGTGGGTCTGCAAAAAGAAAGAAGCAATTATGAAAATCTACGAAGAAAACAAAAATTTAAAAATCACTGTCAACGTATCAATCTTACATTTCCTTATACAAATAGGTAGAACAACTTCCCACTACTCTGTCGATTACACTAGGATGACAGGTCATTGGTTGATAGCAGCAAACCAATTCCACCTACCAAATTAGCCTATGTATATTACAATGTTTTACCAGAAAAGAGGGTATAATTGTTATCATCATCAATACACGGGCCAAAAAAACAATATTCAATCTTGGGATAATACTGTGCCATGTAGTGTAATAAACCCAAAACCAAAATCTCTATAAGAGTAGAGATCAAGTGCAGTACAAACAAATATTGATCATGGTACAGGTGTAGATATTAAATAGCATCTTATTTTCCTCTTCTCTTCTTTCCCTTCGTCTTGCCCTCTAGTTACCTCGAAAGTCTCTTCTATTTAGAACAAACATCGAAGCGAAACCCCTAAAAACTTACAAACCTGATAATGACGAAACTTTTCGGTCAAAATATAAGGAACGTTTTGTTGACAAAAAAATTTATAGTTGTGTTCTTGCTCTTTAGATTGTGGAAAATAAATCATGCATAGTACTTAAAACCATTAATAATCATGTAATCATGATCACCATTAATATCCTAAAACCATTAATGGTGAAGTTATACTTAAAAAATAATGCAGAAGAATCAGCCTTAAGTTGTCGGATTTTGTGACAGCCCTAATGTCTTGTGAGGCCATTATTAAAATGATCATAGGAAGATCCATAATTACATGATTTGTCATTTAAAATAGAGCTCTGATGTTCTTCTACGTTGTGTTAAAATGACGAAGGCCTTAGCCATAAATTGCAAGTTTGGAAAAGGGTATAAATCTCTTTTTGAACCTCTGTGAACAAGCTGCACGGGGGCTGCTTTCCTTACTTCTCACGTATCCATAACAGCACTTTTCCCAATGATGTTGTGATCGATCAGCCCTTTTATGTATCTTAAACCTTTGAAGAAATCTCGATTGCTAACAAATTGAAAGATTGAGCCTCCAATATGATGTTTTTTGCTGGAGTGCCGTTGTCAGCACGTCTTTAACTAAACTGATGCTCAGGGGCGGACACTTGATCAAATATTGGGGGGGGGGGCAAGCCTATTGTTTTAATAAGATGACGTCACATTTCCCATTGTTTTAGAACAAAATACCATTGTCCTCTAAAGTATTGGGGGGGGGGGGCGGTCGCCACTGCTGATGCTTATCTTATTATAATTCAAAATAATAAAAGGATTAAAGTAATGATAAATAATACTTTTCATGGGAAGCTGCCTGATGCAGCTCGATAAGAACAGCTTCTAAAAGCAATTGATCAACTCTGGTCAAAACAAATCCTTCTTAAATTAGAACAACTGTGATATCAATAGAATAGAGAAGAAAACAGAACAGCTATTGCTTACGTGATCGAACTTGTTCCAGAACCAGATGCAATGAAAGATTTAATAACTGCACCAAACTACAAGAAAAGACAATCACTTTCTAACTTTGCCGTCACAGTAACGAAAAACAACTTCATAAAGGTTCTCGTTCGGCCAGAATTTGTGTAAAATTGGTTTCAATTTTATGATATCAGAGTATATTCTAGCTACATTTAGCAAATTGTGGAATCTTTTTAGGCAACGGCCAAGAATTTTCTTTTACACGAGAATTTTTGGTGTTGATTGCTACAAAAATAAAACAATGCGTTGCCTAAATTACCAGTCTTCTACAAGGACAGTGTAGATTAATATCAAATGGAGACCCTCACTGCAGTTAGTCTGAAAGAGACAGAGAGTAAAGAGACCGGGGACTCGTGAGAGTAAGGGAGGGGCGTAATTTTATCGCTATATGAAACAAAATGACGGGCCAAGTACTTCTATAAATACCAGCAGCTGTGTGTGACCGAAATGAAAGGTTAAAAGTGTTTGTTCTTTAATTCCAATAATTGACCATTGATTTGCACCTGAAAGGGGATTTTTAACTGTCTGGGTCATTCCAAGTTAAGTGTTGCTGACATAAATATAAAATGTATTTAGAGGCGTTATGCTCATGAATAAAAATGAGGGAAATCGAAAGCTGTTTTGCATAACCGGAAATGTTTATCATAATATTCAATGTAAAGCACTTAAATCTGAAATAATAACTTTTCATATCCTTTCAAGGGAATTTCTCTTTGGACGTCAAAAGAACCCAACAATGTAACAAGAGAATGTTGAAAGGAGCATTCTGTTTGAGACCTTCCAGATAAAATTACGTCATCATAGATAAAGACATTTTTCCAAGAAATTGACACAAAAACAGTTTCAAAGACGGCACAGATCTTATTACTGGATATGTCTCTTGCTGTGCACGAACTGTTTTGAGGTCTAGTGCTGTAGAGAGAACAAAAATTAGACCCAACACACAGCATGTCACACAGGGTTTATTAGAAGACTAGGGACCAGGTCATTATCAATTTAACCATCGCTTTTCATTCATTCATTTGAATCCCTAACAGCGTTTGGCATAACTCACAGCAATCCAGACAATATATTTTACACAAAAAGATATGGAAATTTACCTTAATAAATTAATCCGTCCACCCTCATAAGTGTTGCCAATTCTCTTCTAAAAGAGAATCATCAGATTTATAATTATATTTAAAAATATTTTCATAGCTTTTCCAAATTATAACAAATGTAATTATGATAAAATTTACAGTAAAAGAGCACATCGTTTCAAGAATTTAGACCAATGAATTTCTTTCCTGAATTTTTACTTAAATGCTTGGTCTCTAATGATAACTACATAGCAATGTCCAATACGATTTCGTGAGTCCTAACGTCGACATATAGAATACCGTAGAATATCTGTAACATCAAGCATTCGATAAATATTTTTCTGGGAAGAGGGCCTGCAATATCTGTTTGCTGTTGACATCTCTCTCGTCTGTTTGCTATTGACTTCTTTAAATTTTCCCAGGAACCATGACAGGTTGAATAGCATTTAGATTTCAATCATGGCTTGGTGTTTTTCAGCTTACTGAAATACTCTGATTATACAAAGCTTAAAAGTTCACACATGTCACGCTCGTCTAATATCCGGCGTGAGTTAGGCGAAAATAGCTCGTAGATATGTGAGCAGCATTGGTCTGTGAATTATTGCAAAGTTTGAAATGCCACTTGCCTGATAGATGTCTTCTTCACATTCCCTAATGAGAAGGTCAGGGATCTATCAAAGAGGAAACAATGATTAACTGTTGGCTTTAGAAAACATATCAAATATTGCAAAAAGTACGACCACATATTGAACAGAGATTAATAGATTCAACCCCTCCCCTGCCTATTTCCTGTTAAGTAATATTATGAATCATCTATAATGATTTGCTTACCTTAATATCTATGTCGCAGCTTTTAAGGGAAAACTTCTTTCCTGTTCCATGCAAAATTTCACCAATTTTCTCACGTAGTATCCCATGCGACTGGTACAGTTCTTCAAGCCGTGTCCAAAATTCTCTCACCTAAGCAAAACATTTAACTGCATTGGTGAGTGTTCATATTAAAAACACTGATGTCATCTATTAGAACCAGATTTCTTTCAGGATTTCAGTGGATAAGTTGAGGGGAGGACTCGAAGGGCCTATAGCAAAGGTCTAGCAAAGAAACAAGAGAGAAGCTAAGAAGAGAGATTACATTTAGCAACAAAACAAAACATGGCAAATCAAGGAGACAGGTTAAAAGAAAACGGGAAGCAAGTAAATAGTAAAGCGTTCCAAAATTCAGAGAAGAAAAGATGTGTTCTGGGAGTGAGTTTGTGAATTTGGCAAAAAGGTGAGAGCAGAAAGAGCTTTTTGGTGTTTCACACACGTTTCAAGGGGCCAGAGATACTGTCTCAGATCCACTCGAAGAAATGCCCATGGGAGAATCTCTGTACAAAATAAACATGTCAGCAACAAAACATCGATGCGGAAGACGTTGAGGAGAATCTGTAAGGTTAGGGTTGTTGACGATGTGAATGATTTTTGACTGGATTTTGTCAAGAAGGCAAAGTGAAGATTTAGTAGCGACACCCCAAATATGGGAGCGAAACTCTATGAAAGGACAAGATATATCATATTATGGTTAGTAGATATGATTAACAATTAATATAGCAAAAAGATTTCACAAAGAAAAGCTAGAAATCAAAGGAAAAAAACTCACTCTTTGAACAATTTTTGTTCGTTTTAAACTTTTGATTTGTCCTGCATAGGGTGATCCACCAGGAGCTATTCGACTTGGTGCTGGGCTGAAATTAAGAACAAATAACTGAGTTACTTAGACGATAAACCCCTTAAAGCTCAATTTACTTAAAATTCCTTCAATTAAGATCAAATAATTTTCTGCTGAAAGCGTACTCCTTTACATCAAAAATAGGTTTCAGTTGGTTTTGTCCCTTCTGAGAAAGAAATTTCCCTTAATTCAGGTAAGAAAGGAGTAATGTATCATTTTAATCATGGCTTCACATGTTGAATATCTGAACTATTTGAACAAGCACTAGAGAACATGGGCAACAATGGGCGTCTTCAGATACAAAGTTCAACAAACACTGTTTTGTCCGAAAAAGATAAAAACAAAAGGAATTTTCGATGCTGTTAGTAAATGCCCAGAAATAAATTTAGCTATCGATGTTTTATTCCAGAAAAGGGTATGGTTCCCTGTTAATATAGCAAGAGGGTTGAAGAGTGCTTGGGTTTAAATTTTCCAGAATCAGTAACTTAAGCTAAGAAACTGTTCACAGTAACAATAAACAAGAGACCATCGATACACTGGACAGTACTAAAAATAATTATCATAACTTGCATAACAGAATTGAAACTAAGTGACAATGGAGTTTAAAGTGTGCGTTAAAACACCTCAACATAGATGTCTAAGCAGAGATCAAAACAAAAGACCTTATGAATTTGAGACAAGAGATGCAATACCTGAGAAGTCCACGCTGCAGATGCTCAGCCTCTAACTCCTTGAATGATTTCTCTACTTCTCTTTTCTTTTTTCTTAATGATCTGTTCTCTTTTGTAAGTTCACTGAATACAAAAGCTTCATCATGAATTAAACAATCAAATCAAATATTGTCAAAAAACAGTCTCTAATAATCCAAAATACGGTAGGTTACTCTGTTTGATGGAAAGTAATGGATGCTCCCCTTAAAATAATCCGTCCATGCCCAAAATTATCATTTGAGAGGACTTGAAGGACTTCTTGTTAAAAAACACATAAAGATCTGTTAGTTATTTGGCAGCTCAAGACCACAAACTGATGTTTGTTTTCTTACTTTATAAAAATGGTATCTCATCCTATTCCAATCAATCATATTTCAAGCACAGCTTATTAAGTAAGGCAATTTAACGTTTTTTGCGAGATCATGAAATACACATTCATATGGGGTACTTTTGCAATTAAATATACAGTAGGTAAAAACAGCCTGGCCTTCATCAAAAAGAATATAAGCATAATGAAATGATGAAAAAAGAAAATACTTCGGAATTGAGAGTTGAAATACTGAAGATGATACAAAACTAACCTTGCATAGAGCACCCATTGATCTTGGGCTGTGTTTGATAAAGATGCAACTTGAAGACACCTAAAAACAAAAACAAAAATAGATGATATTTAATCGAATTTGCTTTTTTTAAAACTAGCTATGAAGAAAACATATAAATTTGAGATGGTTGCTTCATCTCATGGAAACTCAGTTGACAAAGCTCAACCTTTTGTGGTTTATTATATAACTATCTCCCAAAGGTGTACAGCAAGCCAAAAAAGGCGTACAGCAACCCAAACTAATTACAGGTTGGCTTTCGAGGTTTGTATTTGCTACTTCCTAGCTTGTAAATTTTTTTCTAGGATACTGAAAAGCTACACATCCTGAAACTTGATTCTTCCTCTCAATAAGACCTTGCAATTTCTATGCCTGGAATCACAGAGAGCTGGCAACATTCCTCAAGTCATCAAAAGTTTTTCATGTTAGTAATACAAGTCATTGGAACTTTGAAAATTACCTTTTTGTTTCTACGGTAACTTTAGTTCTTAAGACTTTTGACATTTGATTAACCATAGATTTTGTAGCAGGTGCATCAGATGGCCACGGAAGAACAATTTCATATTTTCCAAGAACTTTCTTCAACTCTTCTTTCAATACATAGGATGAGAAGTAGAAGAGCAGCTGGTAGAACTTGTCTCCTGAAAAACAAACACACAAAAGGCCCGAATTATATATAAAGAAACGCTAAAAAAAATTTTTAGTCTAAATTGAAAAGACTAAAAGAAAACTCCTTTTTGTCTCTTTGACATTTGAGTGGTATTGGAAAAGCTCCTTATTTGAAATCAGCAAAACATCCTTAAGATGTAAGAGGTGAAAATATTATGTTAATATGAAAATAAAAACCATGAAAATATGAAATTGCTGGACGAAAATTAGATAAATATGCATTAGCTTCAGTTCAAGAATATCTTTTGTAAAAAATAGTAGTTTGTTCCATGTTGTCATTCCTTTTTGATTGCTTTTGATTTTTACATTTTGGGATATGATGCATATCAGAAATAAAACTATACCATACCTCCTGGGGACATAAGCACCGAAGCAACGATTCTTGGAAGGTGTGAATCATGACTTTCCTGAAATTCAAAATTTACACTAAGAATTTGTTGCAAATAATTAATATATATAATAATAAAATGAATGTTTTAAAAAAAAGATGATTAATTGACAATGCTAAGTTATAATTTATAGAGTTTTTATGCTCAATTTATAAATTAATTGGTGTGTTACAGAGTGGTCAATGCAGCATAGATGATGCTGTACATTGCTCTAGTGTGTTTAAGTAGAAAGTTCTAAGTGGCAACTCTGTGTTTCACACTTGATACAATCATTGAGTTGAGTGGATAAAGATGGTGAAGAGGTCCATGGCCACTCAAACATGAGCCTTCTGTTATTGAAGAAGAGTACAGAGTTTAATTGTATATACAGTAAATAAAAGACTTAGGAAAAAAGTTTATCCCAATGAAGCTCATTTAATACAGTACACTGATACCTTTCTAATTCTGTTCAGCCAACCAGCAGCAACTTTGCGGAAAGCAGATTCATGCTTCTTATCCAGAATTGGCCAACAGTTTCTAAAATATCATTTCAAAAATTAACAATTATAAAAATATCATGTGAATATTTTGATCAAATCTGGGATAGCAGGCAGCAAATTCAAACACATTTATAATCTAGCACAAAATTGATCAAATCTAGTGGATGATATTGTCTCAAACTTCTCAACATATTTTAAACATAAAATTATGTTGGTTTAGGACAGCTAACACTATTTGAACTAGAAGCTGAAATTAAAAGCAAACAATAAAATACATGTTGAAGAAATGTGATTACTACATTTTAAGTTGCATTCCCAATCAAAACCAACTTTTACAGAGGAAATATGTTATTTTACACTGTAGATTTTATGGATTGGACTGAATCACATGTATCAGGGCAATTTGTTTCTATGCAGAATGCAAGAAACAAGATATAAAAGCTGTCTAACCTGAATTCATCCCTGGCGACATCCGGATTGAGCTTTGTGAACAGAAAATGAAACACAGCCTCCATTGCTTTTTTGTTTGGGAAGACAAATGCATCCCTAAGAAAGTAAAGAAATGAAGATAGATAAAACATTTATAAATACCAATTTTTATGATGTTTATAAAAACACAGCAGATTTTGATGAGCCTAAAGTAAAGTTCTGAAAGCACAAATGATATATTCTATAACCTTTACTTATTCGCATAATTTCTAAGTCATTGATCATGGCATTTTCAGCATCTAAAATCCCCTTAGATCAATCAAGACATAACCAAAACACATACCAACACATTGCCATTTCTGTTGAGCATTTACATCTTCATTAGCCTCAGTTATAACTACTTTATTTCTTTTTGAAAATTACTCAAGCAAACTCAGAAAATTTAATCTTAGATTAATTATGCAAAAATAACATAATATTTGTACATTTATTCATAAAATCATATACAAGATCTTTCTCTCTGGCTCTGTGTTACCCGCACATTAAATAGGAGTCACTGAGTAGAAAACAACATATCTGATAGATGGATATTTTAGTGCATGAGATAAAATACTGATTCCTCATATCAGTAGTCTATAGATTTTCAAAGCAAGCTCCAAGTGCTCCTTGAAAAAGAAATCAACATATCTATTCAAAATATGGCAGAAGGGCAAAATAAAATCCAGTCGTAAACCTGTTTAATGAGCATGAAATTTTGAGGAGAGATCTTTGTTATGACAGGGCTAAAAGACAGTATTTTCAAACTACTGTAGGTTATTGTGTAATAGAACCTATAAAATATCAGTATTGTGTTATAGATACCATCAGCCTCAAAATCTGCTCAAACTTGAAAAATATCTAGTTTGCACCATCGTATCATACAGATCTGATACAAAAACATTAGTTTTAAAGATGAACTGATTTTTCATGAAGAAAGAAGGTATCGTGTCAAAAAGCCATGATCTATTATTTGTACAAATGAAACTCAATTTTAAGGTGTTTAATCCAAGGTAACAATCATCTTCTTAACTTTGTTGATCCCAAATTTAACAAGTCTTGTTTAAGTAGCTCTACAGAGTATTTTGAGTTTGCTGGCAATAAAAACATCACTCACCTATTAAATGGACATTTGTGTTTTGCTTCATAGATGTCAGGCCTGAATCCGAGTAATAAAAGGTTTGTAAAAGTGTTCTCTCTGCTGTCCAAAGGGTCTGGCATCAATCTGTACTCCATTTTTAGGCTCAGCTATAATTTATTGCAAGTATTCAACCTGTGACAAAGAATTTCATTAAAATTAATATATTTTTGGCCTTCGGTGTGCAAACCAATTCTATGTTCCGGGCAATTCTTATCTTCACATTTGCCAAAAATGGATCATAGAATCGGAATCTTCATGTTAAATCTAGTCTGTGCTGAAAATTTCATGTTGTTTGGGCTCTCAGACAGTGAATTAACCTATTTTCAAGCTTTAGCTTTTCTTATACATTTCAATGGAAGTTCTTGCTGCAGTGAAATTTTTCTTCTACAGCAGCAAATTCCAGTCAAATATACAGAAATATCTAAATATTCAAATTGACACAAGTTGCGACCGAACAATCCAAATGACATGAAGTCTTCAGTCAAAACTAATTTCAAGATGAAGATTTCAAATATGAAGTCAATTTTTGAGAAAGGTCTGTAGATAGCAAGAAGCTAAATCGATGACGTCAACCCGGAACGGAGAATAGAAAATTTTTGGCATACATAAAATTTCCATTAGTTGGTGTGCAAAACATGAAGCCTTGTACATAGTTAACATGAACAAGAATAAATCATTCAATATCTAATAATTGATTATTAGATATGTGGAGGGACTCCCCTTGATAAAGAGTTTTCAGTTTAAGATAAGAGGAAATGAAAGTATATCAACAAGGCATTTTAAAAATTAATGTGCTGTACAGATTCTTTCATGAAGAAAGTCAATGTCTTTATAAAGTTGCTAAAAATTTTCAGATCCGTAAGAGCATTAGAGACTGGTATATGTGTGTGTATACAGAGGAGATGTGGAGAGGGGTTGGGTGTGGGCCTAAAACTAGATAGATAAATTTATACCTGAGTTTTTTCTTAAAGTCAACAAACTGAGACAAAGGTGATCTTACTTACCAACCAAATGAAATCAAAACGAAAAGTTTATAGTCGATCAAGCATCAGAAGATCGCTTTATGGGCGATTATTCTTGAGTATTCCTTATCATAGATCGCGACTTATTTTACCGCCATTTCTTCAAGATAGCGACCAGTTTTCAACCGCTGCGCATATCGCTGCGGCGGAGCTTGTCAGCATTTGTACAGGGATACAATCTGAATAGGCCTTTTCATCATCATCCGCAAAACCTTCCACAACAAGAGGCAAAATGAGAGTCGAGAAATGTTATTTCTGTTCTTCACCGGTCTATCCAGGCCACGGAATACAGTTTGTAAGGAACGATAGCAAGGTAGGGTCACTTATAGAATCATCTTCTTTTTTATGAGACTAAAATAATATCTGTTTTAAAAACGTGGTTGCTTGATGGTTGTTTTTTTTATAAGGCAAGGTCATATCAAAACGACGAGAAGCTACCCCATATGATATAAGCGAATCCAATTTGAAAAAAACCATAACATTAAATTTAAGTAACAAGTATAACAATATTTCGCTTCAGCATGTTTACTTATTACATTTACCCAGTTTTTTATATATTAACTACCTAATTATTTACCTAGTTTATATTAATTTTGAAGACTACCGTTCAGCATGCAATCCAACTAAAGTATGAATACAGTTTCAAAAAATAATAAATTCAGAAACAGATGGTAAACTGTGTAGAGGTGCTCTCACAAGCAACTAAGCAAATTGATGACAGAGCACCCCTTGTTGTTGTTACTAGGGTGTTTGATTTTAATCTGAATTACCTATGATAAATGTTTTGTAATTCACGATTTTTCCATACAACCAATGGCTATAAAATGCTTGAAATACTCTAAAATCAGATAAGGTACTTTCAGTTAAGAAGGACTTTGGATTTTTAACAGAAAATGTTTATGGAGGAAGGGCTTTTGACATCTATGGTCAAGTCATTCAAGCTTTTGCTCCAAAATTTCAAACTGCCTGATTGCCATGTTGTAATATTTTTCTTGAGTTATATTACTTTTAGTATCTTGCTGTGTATAATGTCTCTTTTTACCTCTTTTTTGTTAGCAGAAAGTATATTTAAATGGGATAAATTAGGATAAGATGTATTGTAAACAAGGCTAACCATTTTAAAGAGTGGTTTAGAAGTAAAATTTAAACTATTAAAATAGTATTTAAAAGGTATAATTTACCTGTCATGAAGATGGTATGGCAAGGTTTAAGACAGGGCATCTCTTCTATCTAGGCCTCATGCCTATTTAGAGAACTCCTTCTAGGACATTCTAATGTGTACATTTCCTTTTCTATGTGTAGTTTTCTATCTTTATAAGGCTTTTATGAAGTATTTTCATTTTTGTTTATTGCTTTGTATCATATGAAAAAGTGACTGAACTTTGTTGAACTAGCCACATGTAAAATTTTATTCTTTAGTTATTCAGATTCTGCCGCTCAAAATGTCATAAAGCATTTAAGATGAAGCGAAACCCAAGAAAAGTTAGATGGACAAAAGCATTTAGAAAATCTGCAGGTAAAGAACTTGCTGTGGACCCAGCTTTTGAGTTTGAAAAGAAACGAAATGTCCCAGTGACATACAACAGGGAAACTTGGTCAAAAACTGGTAAGTTTTAATTATGTACATATCTTTTGGTTATGTTGCTGTTTCATAAAATTATTTTAAAAAATTTTCAATTTATGTTGCCTTAATATTGAATCAAGTTTAATTTTTTGACATTTTTTAAATATTTTTTAAGTGAAAAATGCTTATCATTGGTTATAAATTGCTGATGATTTTTCTTCATTCCAGCCTCTTATTCAACAAATCTCTCTTTGCAAAAATCTTCCATCAATTAGATCTTATTCATAATAATCTTTTAATTGTTGGTTTGTTATTGTTTGTTGACTTGTATATTATTACAAAATGAAAAAAATCTTCCTTTGAAGCAGATGTCTTTTAAGTTGCTGTATTTTGCATTCCACTAACTGTATTTCAAGCCATTCATTCAGATTTTGCAGTACCAATAACCTTTTTTGTGCCAGTAAAGAGACTTTTCTGATCACTCCAAGCTGGTGGTGTCAACAACATCATTACATTAGTCATTCCCTCTAACCTCCATGCTCAACAATTTTTCACTCTTTCGTTAGAATGGAGAGACATAAGAACTGTAGCATGTTTTTCATGCTTATCAAATGTTAAAACCATGTTTCTTCAAGGATGCAGAACTTACCCCCTTTTGGGATTTCATAATGCCTTTATAAACTATTGACCAAAAATGATAAATATTTAATGTTATTTCACTAAGTCTTGTCAGATTCAATAAATAAATATTATACTTTTTGAAGAAATGTTTCTATTGAAAATTGTTCTTCATTTTCTTGATATTTAATGACCTGTTGTGTTCTATAAACGTTTAATCATTCTTTTCTAGTACAAGCAATGCAAAGGATAGAGGAAATCAGAGCCAAGAGACAAAAACAATTCATCAAAAATAGGTAAAATTGCATTTGTTTCCAGCTTGCTTAGTTGTAGAGATGAGCTGAATTTTGTCCCTTTCAAGAGATAATAATAAGCAAAGTTAGATTTTATTTTTTAAGAATAAAACAGTGTTATAATCACCAAAGGTATTAAGATTTGGATTTTTAATGTTTATGCACAAAGTCATCAGTTGTTCTTTTTGTCTAACAAAAGCTGCTCATGTTAGAAAGAATTTCTTATACATCTGTTTCGATATGCAACTCTTTGAAAGTATGCAAAAAATGGTTAACTGACAACTCCTTATGATGTTTTCAACGTTATCAAGGCAAGCTATCTTTTTGATGCGTTGAATAGTTTCAGAGTTTGAATCATAATGATTACAAAATCCTCCCATTGTTAAGTGTTGAAGGTGAATTATCACGAAGTACTAGTAACAATCTTTTGTTTTCATTAGATTCAGGGCTAACAAAGAACTGGCAAAGGAAGCAGATAAGAATGAAGTGAAGAATAACATCAACCTCATTAAAAGTCCCCCAGGTACCATTTTACTTTTTTAAAATTATGTATTGTAATTGTTTGCCTGACAGCAATTTCCTTTTGTAGCTCAGTTGCTCTTTATCAGCCTATCACCCACGTCAAATTGATTGTTAATTGTTGTAAAAGAACTTTTCATGATAAGAAGACTGATTAAACTTTTGTTGCTAGTAGGTACTAAATTTGTCTTGAAACCTATCTTTTAGCTCGCCCAGCACAGAAGATTGTCTTGGCTCAGAAAATCAAGTCTATGGAAGCAAAAATGGAAACTGACTAAAGAGAGAATCTTTTGTATATATATAATACTTTCAAACTGTAAGCATCCAACTTTGTTTTGAACAATGCCAATTTTAGCCTCAGTTGCAATTTTCTCTTGAAAATGTATTTGTATTCTGAAATTAACAGATAATGCATGTTGGAATTAAGCAAAGAAATTGTTGTGGAAGAGACGGAACTGTATTTGTGGTATTGAAATGCTTTGTCTATGCTCAACTCTGAGTCCCACGTTTCTGGAAGTGCGAATATGAAAGTTGGGGTTGTAACTCATAACTGGTACAGACTGAAGCAATTACAGCACTGTCTCTACGGCATTTAAAATTTTACATTTCAAATAGTTTTGAAAACCTATTGGCAATCAAGCTCATCTACCACAAGAAATCAGCAAACCATCTTATTCATTTTGTAGCACAAGAAGTGGCATGTTTTTAATTGCCAGACTCTAAGGGTTACCCAGGAGCTGGCAATTTTTTTATCTTTCAATTCATAAACTAATTGAAATCCTAGAGGAAGTATGAAGTATGAGCAATAACATAAGGAAAACTTCCAGGTAGACGAAAAATCTTGCTCTTAATCCGAATCTGGGGTCCAAAATTTTTTTACAAAAGATTATTTTTACAAACTACAATGACAAACATCTTTCAGTTTAAAATTTCGATCTTTTGTCAGAATATACGGAGCTCAATAACCAGTTAACCGGTAAAATTTTATTTGGCACGTCTGAAATGTTTCCTATTGTTTCAAATAAACGAATTTAAAAGACACATCGCAATTAGAAAAAGAATGTAAGAAAGCTTGAAAATCACTGAAAATACGTAATAATTACGCAAAAAAACATTATACTCAACAGCTTTTTGGAGAACATTTTTTCAGTTCCACTCAAGACACAAAGTCGCATGTAAGGAGGCTTGGACCGAGCCTCATTTGAATATCCCGCTTAAAAAATGCTGACGCCATGCGCCATTTTGATGGCAATCGACTTTGTTATTTTCTTGCCAATAAAGCAACTTTTCTTGTCAATAAAGCAAGCCTCGCGATGAGCTTTTCACATTCACATCATTGGTGCTTCAGGCTGAACGTAAGTTTTTCATCTATAGCTAGGTTAGGTTTTCTTTTTTGCATTCCTCGACAGGAATTTATTTTTGAAATGTTCAAACACTGTATTGATCTATGATAGAAAACCGTGCACCAAATCTGAATCATCCCTTACCACCCATTCAGTTAAGAACGTTTTGGTGCACGCTAAAAAACAATTTTTTGAAGTTGAAGTTGTTTTTGAAAAGCATTGCAGCAACATGTCATTTTGGCTCGTGAGTGTAATGCAATGGGCATACACGAGGCTAACTCATTTCGCGATGCTTCTGCAAATCTTTATGAACTTTACAAATCAAGCGAAAAACTTCAGAAACTTCCACAAAATTATCCCAGTTTTATTTACGAAAATAATATCTTTGGACCACAAGGTTTGGCCTTCTAGATTGAAATCTCGTGGCATTTGTGTTCAGAACGACTGCGAAGCGCTGCGACTGCGATGGAATACCTCTATATTTTGTGTAAACATACACGAGGTACCGTTGCCCGATAAATGTTTGAGCGCCATATTGAAAATTGAACTGACACAATTTTCCTATTTATTTTTCGGCCATCGTTTTCCCGTTGGCTCTTGAGTATCTTTGATAAGTTTTAAAACACCACCAGTCATGACTTCCGCGAGCAAAGTGGCTGAGATTTTTGAGGCTGCTGGTTTGGCATTTACCCGTTTGGGTACAATGGCGATGGAGCTGCAATCGTTGCCTGGAGAAGGTGGATCAAGTAACGAAGAAGGAAAATGGGGTGAAGAGGAAATTGAAATGCTAAGGCAAGCAATCCTGAGGTTTGGCAATGATTTGCAGAAAATAAGTACACAAGTTAAAACAAAATCCGTTACCCAAATAAGAGCAGCTCTCAAGCAGAAAGCCATGCAACAAAAAGTTGGCCTAGGCAAAAGTGGAACAGCTGGCTTGGAACAAGGCCTGATTCAAGATTCCTCCCAGACTCCAATTAAAGCTGGTTTTGATGATCAAGGTCGAATTGGCTCTAAGAGACTAAGGCTGGATGATAGCAGCTCTGTTATGGTTTCCAATTCACAGGATAATTTATTGCTGGGAAGCTCAACATTTGTAAATAATTCATCAATGATTGGATCTGCTTTAGATAAACTGAAATATGAATCAAAAGATTCTCATTCAGAAATCGATATTGAGGGCTAACACAAACTCACAGTGCTCGTCATTTTTAAAGATTTTTCGAACAGAGTTTTGACGAAAACTGACAAGTATGAATTCCTGATGTTGTGTCCAAGGCTGTCAAAACAACAGAGAAAAACACACATGACTGGCCTTAAGCTCAAAAGACCACTGCAAATGAGCTCAGACACCATTTATCAATATTTGACATAAGTCACTACTATCGTTGTAAATACTACCAATCTTAGTTTTGTTTTTATCAATTATGACTTTAAGAATAGTTTGGGAAAGTTTCCCTAAATTTGGGTTTTAACTTCTGGCTACTTCTTACTTTCAATGTAAACTTGTATGAATAATCATCATAAATAATAAGCAATGATTTCTTTTTGCAGTATCGAGATCTGAAGCTCATCATGAATCATAAAAATGATCAATAGTCTCTCTGTATGTGGATATTATATAAACACCATTGTTTTAAGTATATTAATATATGCTCAAATTTTGTACTGACCTTCCAATAATGTCAAAAATGCAATTTCAATACCATTCTCAGTAATACAAATTATAAGACGTTGATACAACCTCAAATCCTTACACATACAGTTTCAACATTTACATTACAACTCTGAATAATGATGCCTCTACCAACATCCTTTTGACTTTCAAAATAAATCCATCTATCATCTAATGCAAACATCAAGAGTTTGTAGATTTTTGCATAAAACAGGCAAAAATGTGAAATAAAGTGAAATGATGCCTTCATTAAACTGCCATGTAAAGGTTTTGAATTGTTTTTGAAATCAGTAATATTTTCAAAAGTATGATATTGCCACAGGTAACAAGTTTGAGGGTGTCACTTCCAAAAGTATGATATTGCCACAGGTAACAAGTTTGAGGTTTTCTAAACAACATTGATTTTGCTGGATCCTCATTATCTAAATAAACAGAGTGAAACATTCAAACAAAATATTGCAAAAAACATTATTCATATTTAATGTCTCAGTCAGGGTCAAAGTCATACAAGGTATTGGGTGTCACACAACTCTGTAACAAGTCCCATGTGTTGTATACTGCTGATGTTTGATATCTGTGCTTCACTAAGAATATAATCGGTGTTAGTGATTTCCTATCCTTAATCACAGGGACATTCTTACAGCCCTGGTTTCATTTGTGACCAGTATCAAGGAGTCCAAAGGGGCAACAGTCCCTGGCCCCATTCTTATGGTAGTCAGATGGGGCCCTGTCACAAAGAAAATATAAAAAATGCAATGAACAGAGGCCCTGCAGCTGCTTTTGGTCCGGGCCCTGCAGTCCCTAAAATCACTGCTGTTTGTGACAGCCCTGGTATCATTAATGATAGCCGTGGTCTTGATTGCTAATGAAATAAAAAATTTGCCAGAGAGGGTGACACAAAAAAATGGCAATGAAAAGTGGAATTATTTCATTTTACTATATAGATGAATATATTAAAGGTATGCTGCAGAATATAAGATAAAATAATAACTGGATTACAGGAATTCAGCAACAAACCCTATTCAAAACTAATGCACTGAAACCTTTCCAATATTTTGCAAACAAAAGTTGCACAAATCATGTCTTTGTTAAAATATGTGACAGGTATGAACTCTATTGCTTCTTCTCCAGCCCAATGTGTTAAATATTAAGTAAAATAATATATATATATTCTTATATATATATATATTCAAGCAGTATAAGTTTTCTTTTGAACATCATTGGAAACATGTTGTTTTTAGCCAATGCACACTTACAATCAACTGATGATATTTTAAGTACCAGAAATAACTGCAAAAGCTTTCCTAAAAAGTATCAAAAAAGATTTCCAAAAAAGATTGCACAAACAAAAAAATGGGAAAACAAGCTTCTTTCCACATAAAAATTTTTTTGCTCAAAACTGAGAATGTCCTTTCCAGAAAAGGAAAATCTTCCATAAATAATCTATATGGCTTTTACAAATGATGACTTTTCCAAGCAAAAGAAAAATTTGAAAGACATTGTTTTATAGATTAAAAAAGGCAAGAAGCCAAATAACAAAGAATTTCAACCAGCATAATACAGATACTGGTGCTAGAGCTCTAACTTTACTTTTTGGACAAAAATGTCAAAGAAACTTCCATACAGAGCATGAGACATGCAAACAGAGCACCAACAATACTGCCCCCTTATGTTTCAAACCCAAAGTTGCTTCTAAGATTAAGAAAAGGTAATGTAAACAAATCAAGGTAAATCTTTCAAATTCTTATGAATTATTTGAAAATATAAATGAGTTTATAAAAATTATTACAGCATATGGTATAACTTAAATTGATAATTGTTATGCATACATTTGGTTTACAATGAAAAGCAGCGGCCACCATCAAACTGACTTAGGGAATGCATAATCAAAGTTAAATCTACTTTATTCAAGCTACAGTAAACTCTGCTTATTGTCACAACACATGCTGCAATGAAAGGTGTAAATGAAATCAGAGTGGGATTGCAAAACAGAGCTTCAGATATTTGGGATAAAATGCTATGTGACTGTAACCAGCAGTGTGACTTTAAGCGAAGCGATTATAAGCAGAGTCAACTACAGTAAACTGACATAGATTATTCAATTACAAATCTTCCGGTTATGCATATTCTAAATACATCTCTCCTTTCGCAGGGAAACCAAGTTCTATAGCAGTTTTTAATTACAAAGCTATATAAAGCAATAATCTGTCACTGCTAATTTGCCATATGGTCTACCATCCTTGAAAAACAATTGATTATATGAATTCCATATATTCCTCTGTTTATATTTCAATCAACTCCTTCAAATCCTTCTGTATTTTCAACTGCTAGCCTCAATTTTTCTCTAAGTTCATGGTAACTTGTATAGGGGGGCAGATCCAGACGATTGAAGCTAGATAAATGTAAAAAAACATTGTTACAAGAAACTAATAAGTAAATAATGAATGTACAGGTGAATGAGAAAAGCAATGAAAACACATTGCAAACTGATTATTACAAAAAACTTGGAGCCATTACAATATAGCTTTATACTGTTTAGCCCATATTCAAAACATGGCATAAAAGTTTTCTAGGGAAATTATTCAGAACTTATTCCAAAATTTTAACTTTAGAAAAAGAAAAAATCTTGAAAAAAGACAAAAAAACAAATCTTGAATTGACTAGCACGCTTCACATATAATCAAATTAATTTTGGTGATGCCATGTTTAAGACAATGTCACTGATGTCATTTTACATGGTATTTTACATCATATAATACCTGTTACAAAAAAATAGATTATGAAATGCTAAGCAGATAAAAATATTAATTACCAGGTATGGGCCCTTGGCAATGAGTGTGTATCTCCCCATCTTTCGATTGTGAATTTTTGTGGGCCATTACTGCCATATAATTCTGTGAACCCATTCATTGGTACACGTGAAGTGCCAGTGACAAACTGAAGCAACCTAGCTTTCATTTCATTATCAAATGTACCAACAGCCTAGGAAGAGACATAATTTGAAAAATGTGAGTATGATCATTGAAAGTCTTAAAACATCTTTATAATGCTGAAAAGCCATCTTGTTAAATGGTGCAAGTTATGCAAAAAACAAATTAAGAGCATTTAGAACTTAAGCAAAAAATGACACTTCGAAGGTGCTGTTATGGAAAGCAACAACGATCCTTCTTATGGAAAATTTTGATGAATTGTTAGAGGTTTTTAGAATGAAAAAAATCAAGCCCACTCATACCTTCCAAAACCATTGTATTGCAAAGTGCTTTTCATGGTATCCACCACGATAGTTTGTATGCTTCTTCCAATCTTCCTCATCAATTTCCCCAAGTCCACAAAGAAGATACTGGAAAGATAATGTAAATAAACTATGACTCAGTTACAGGCCTTCTCATTTCATGGTGGTGATAGCTGTTTCATTGGCACCTGCCATTGATTGCCCTAGCAAAACCCTGTCTTACCCTCATGAAACAGGAAGAGCATTAACAGAACGTTAGTTCATAGAAATTGCAGTATTCCTAAATAAAAGGTCAAATTGCTTGAAAACAAAGCACTATTGCTTGAAACAAACAACATTTTCCCAGTACAGAATTTAAAAATGGCTTTGAAAAAAGCAAATATTTTGACACATGTTACTAAAGCTTTTCATCTGACACTCTTCAGAGTATAACAGGTTAGAACATAGATCAAAAACTCTACGCTAGGAAATATATATACCCAGTTGCTGCTTGACTATTAAGAATTTTATCAATGGAGTGCCAAAGTGAAAACGAGCTCCATTTGTCTACTCCATCTTAAAATCAAACAGCTTGCTTAGAAATTTGCAATAATCACACATTCAGAAAATCAAAGGTTAGACAATCATTAAAAGATGATATATTAATTCTCCTCTCAGACCCTAGAGGGTGATCAGTCTTCTAACATAATTTATGCTTGCAGCTGTGAAATCTTTTAACTATTAGGCCTGCTCAGTTAACAATGATCATGCATACAATAGCAGGAATACTTGAAATAAAAAATTGAAAGAAACAAAAATAATAATTCAAAAAGGAAAAGTCACAGGAATTTTAAATAACAAGATTGATTTCTTAGATTGTGGTATGAGCAATGAAAGTGAAAAATGAAGAAGATTAGATAGGAATAAAATATTCTCACCTCTAGCTCTCGCTCATCAAAAATTCTCAAGAGGTCATGTGGTATTATTTCATTAAAACCCTGGAAGAAAAAAAATTGTTGTCATTTTGAAGCTTCGTGTAGGGCAAACATTTCTAGTCTGCAGGCCTATCAAGAGGGGGGTAAGGGGGCAGTTGCCCCTAGGCCCCATAAGCAAAAAGGGACCCACTGGTGATTACATTTTTTCTATTCTCTTAACAAATCTGACTCTTAGCAACATATTAACTTTAAGAAAAACAAATCATATCTGTTTTGAGAATACTTTATGAATATAAGTAGCAAGTAAAACAATTATATGTATTTAAATCCGTATTAAATGCATTTTAAGTTTAAACCATCCACTGGGCCTGCCCTGACCTGACCACGATGTGGCTCGGCTGCCCTGCCAGTCTCAATGTTCAATAAAAGGTGATCAAACAAGTTTTCGTCAGTTTACAGTTTACAGGTATAATATAGCATTGACTATGAAGTCATAAAAAACCCACCTCTTTAAATTGATCCATCTGTTCGTTAATTCGATCAACAAACCGCCATTTAATCACTAAACTGGATAGCAACATAAAACGAGGTTAGCAAATCATTTAAGGCAAGACTAAGTTGTTTAAAAGGGCAAAAATTGCTAGATTCCCTCTCTCTCACTTCCCAATGCATGCTTCCTTTCTCTTGTTAAGCTCTTGAGCCTTTTCCTAGAATTACCAACTAAACAACAATAAAAAACTTGGAGAAAATTCTTTTTCCAGATATTAAAAGGTCGCAAGCTATACTGAGACTCTATTATTACATTTTAATATTATTGCATAAAAGCCTCAATTTGACAATTTGATACAATACTGATAATAATATCTAGATATGACTGATAATAACATAAATATTGATATATATATATATGATTTCTCAATAATACAGCTCCTTACTCAATATACTCTTTTTTGTTGTCATTTGTAACTTTAATTTCTGCGCCATCTCGCTTCAGCTCACGACTTGTAATCTTCCCAAATGCCTCTTCCTCTACTTGGAACCGCAAATCCAAATCTTCAGGGTCATTATCTTGCAACCACTTCAAACTGTTATGGTACTCAGAATCCTGGAAAAAACATTTTTTTCAACTAATTTTCATCAACATAGCTTTAAACTAAAGCTAATTGTAATAGAATTTGCTGTTATACAGTGCGTGTGTTGAAAGGTGTGGCATAATTTTGTAATTTTAAGAAATGCTTTGAACAGTCAATAGCTATGAGACTATAACTGCGTCCTGAATCCAAACATCTTTATCTGCTAAGGTTATTTTACGTTTACAAAAGTGATGCATTTTTCTTACCACACTCTCCATATCAGCTAACGCAATCTTTTTTCCCAACATCATTTTGTAAAATGGACGAATGAAGAAAACTGAAAATCGAAAATAGATGAATGAAAATTTTAAATCGAACAGGGAACAACTGATAAGCAAAATGGAAATTATTTAGAATAACTTAAAACAGATTCAAAGTTTCTAAGCTGTCAAAGTATAAAGACCACTTGTATATACAATATGGAAAGAATGCTCTTTACCCGTAAACATCAAGGGGTTTTAACCAATGAGAAACATCAATATAAACAATAGAATTGGCTTTAAAACTTAAAGACCAACCATCTAACAGTTTTCCGTGGTAGACAGCCATTCCTGCGACCCTTCCAATGAATTTGAAGTATGAAAGATGCTCATCGTTGCATAGGCCTGAGTATGGGTTAATCTGTAGTGTATAGTTATCGCTGGGTAAGAAAACATGACGTCAGTACGCTTTTTAAAAATAGAATACAAGAGCATGATTGAAGTTGTCCTTGTAAAGATATTCGCTATCTCGAACAGTCGCAAGCTTAAGTCATTAAGTATAATGCTCAGTATAAAAAACCGTGGGTTATCTTTAATACACGTTATCTCGAACAACTATAAATTTTCTCCCGTCATTTCACCTAAAATTGAACAAGATTGACAACATTTGCAAAAAAATTCAAAAGGAAAATCAACCTTCATCGCATATAAAATCTCCCTATGTAAGAGCTGTGAAAAGTATGGCCACAATTCTCGAGAACAGCGTAAATTGATTAGACAATATTATCGAAAAAAACATGCCGGGGTTATTGTAAGGTTTCGTTAATATTCATCTGGTTTCATATCTATGTCACACTTGTACGTCCAGTCTGATCATGTTTTATGTTTTAGCAGCAGAAAGTGTTCTGATAAACTAGAAAAAGATATAAAACTCACGTTGCTGAGTATTCGAATAAGCCATAATACGGATTGAATATCTCCTTTGACAGCAAGTAAAACCACTCTCTAAATATTCAAAAGTATCACTGTCACAAACTTATTACTTTCATAATCATTTGTCAATAAATAAGAAGATATTGCGATGAAGATTTTCAAAATAAAAATATGTGTACAAACTAGACCAACATCACAGTAATTCGTACTTGAAAGATTACAGAATATATTTGTTCATACGCCTTTGATGATAAATCTGATGTGAATGGCTTTGAAAAAAGCAAACATTTGAGTATACTGAAGCTTTTAGTCTGACACTCTTCAGAGTATAAAACGTCAGAACATAGACCGAAAACTCCACACCAGGAAATATATATACGCAGTTGTGGATCGAAATAGGCCAATCAGAAATGCGAGCACATGACTGTTGAAGTTGCCCAGTCAGTGTCGCTTGCCTACTGTAAATACTACCAGTGATGTCCTAAGGTGAAAACGAACTCCTTCTGTCTACACAAAGCTGATACAGTAGTAGGTAAAAAGTTGGCCATGGCAACACTAACAACTAACAACTAACAATCGTATTTAGATCCCACATATATAAAGAAGAAGAGACAACCTACCTTGATACACCCCCGTAATCCAAACCAACTTCTCCATCAAAAACAATCCACAATTTTGTTTTAAGAAGATCGGTGTTCTTTACTGTGACGAAAACGCCTCTGTAAGAGTCTTCAAGAATGGAATTCCTTCGAATTCTGATTTCATATTTGTTCGGTACATGATCCTGTGAACAAAATATCAAAATTGTTGCTGATATACAATGCACAGAATAAAGGTAGTCAAATGACAATTCAATTCAATTAAATTCTTTTGTAAACTACAAATGAACAAGTAGATTATATAAAAATGGATAAAGAAAATCGCTGTGTAGCAAACAGGCATCGGATCTTAGAGGAAATTCTAAGACACGTTTGTGGATAAAAATACTACAACGTAGAGAATACAGCTGCCTAAAATGAAGAAATGAGGGCAGTGGGAGCTGAAAAGGGCATGAGTGGATGAGGCATCATTTTCATGCTTAAAAATTGTTAAACGAGGAATGATTATGACACTGAGGTCAGTTTACATAACGATCAAAGCTTATAATATAGAAAATTACATACGGGCTTGCGCAATCTTGATCTGAAAAAGTCGTATTTCCTCTTGTAGTCTCTTGAATATGGAACAGCCTGTGTTTGGAGTAAATTGAAATAACTGTGAAACACAATAAAAATATCCTTCCTACTTCAGCATAAACATTACTTGCAATTAATACTAACACGGTTTCTCCATCTTTCAAAGAAATCAAGGTTATTGCCAAAGGAATTATAGGTTACCTGGGCCTTTTTCGCTGCAATTTTCTGGATTCTGGGGTCTTCCCACTGTGTTGACTGAGTGTCTAGAGTAAATGAGTCCTGATCATGCCATGTGTTTACGGAATGTATACAAAGCCATAGAAATGTTCTTCAAAAGGTGTTTGATCTTAAGACAGATTTCATCGGTTTGTTAGAGGAAGTGACTGTCAAGTTATCTAACCATTTAGGTTCATACAAGTCCGATACTTCTGTTGCTTCTACTGAAAAATTTTAATTATTGCAATAATAATGATATATTGATAATAAAAACAATAAACTTGCTCTGCAAAATAAGTTGCGGCGATCAACCCCGGAACGAGTAATGAAAATATGAATGACAGGAAACGATCAAAAATACATGTAAATATTTAACTAGAAATTCCTCTCTTTATTTCCTAAATATCTTGAGTAAAACTGGAGAATAACGGAACTCAAGTTACTAGAGATATATAACAAAAAGTACGACCCGTCACTCTTCAGAAGATTGTCGCTCGCCCACCTCTCCCCCGAGCAAGAAATAATATAATTTACAGTTAATGATTCATTAAGCCTTCCTTACTGTGATCTATGAAAAAAACACGGCCATCTTGATGAATTCTCTCTTCCCAACCCGGCTGTTGATAAAGAGAAAGGATGTCTATCATCAAGAATTCAAAGTAAAAAGAAGAAGCTTAAAGCAGACAAACATAACGTAACTCGTAACAATATTGAAAGCAAAGCAAGTAAATAAAACATAAACTTTCATATTACAGATTAGAGCTAGAAACATCCAACACGATACATCTCCTAGTTTGCACTCATTTAGACACTGCCTGCACTCGTTTCACAGTGGTTGTGCAGTGATAAAATTCACTAAAAATAAGGCCAGAACAGCAAACAAGTTACTTACAGGCAATGGTCCTAGATCCTTCACAGCCGCTTGATAGTTGATTCTTGGATCAATCTAAAACATAACACAGCACATTAACAATATATCTGTCTTTATGTTAGTGTCATAATATGACTACCAGAGGGTCTTCATTGCATTTGTCATTTGGTATAGTTCTGGTAATTCGGTAAGGATTATATATAACTGAATAAATTTTGATATATAATCTGCTGCGCCTTCAGCGAACAGTCACAAAAAGTAAATTTATATACTAGAGAACTATTTCAATTCCCAATAAAATAAGTTTCCAAATGGTTGCAAAGAATAAAGCTATACAGTTGAATCCCATTAAGTCGTACCCCAGATAATCCAGACTTTTTCTAAGTAGGACTAATTTTCAATTCCCATTCAAAATTTTTTCTAACTTATGAAAATCAAAAAGCTCCATTAACTCGGACCATCGCTAAGTGGGACTATTTCCTCACATCCCCCCTTGAAGGTCCAACTTAACTGGATTCAGCGGTATCTTATTTGCTGGAATTAATATTTCAAAAATAATATGTAAGAGACATGATAGGGCCTGTTTATTCTTATTAAGAGTGAAATAACCTATTTTTCACAATCGTACAAAAATATAATAGATTTATATCCACTCATTCCAGGGTACTTTTCCTAAATGATCCATATTCCATAAAACAATCATAAGCTTAATGTAAAAGATAGTTACAGCATCGTTTTGAAATAAATAAGGCAATAAGGCAATACCCAGGTCGTGGTGCGATTGTTGTGGTCTATGAAAAAGACACGGTTATTTGGAGTAAGCTGCATTGCCCAGCCGGGTGGTAGAGATATTTCTGCAGTACTGGGAACATCTGGGTGGATACGCTGAAATAAAACAGGAAACATCATGAAACAAAACATTATTCCAATTTACTCAATGCGATACCTTACGGGGAATTTGGCCTCTGGAAATTCATTTGCAAAACTCACCATGTAGTTTATTAGTAGCAGCAAATGATAATACTCAAGGGGGGGGGGGGGTTGTAATTGAATGGCAATGGTACAAACAGGACTGGCACTATTATGAGAATAGAAAAAAGATGATGACGTAATGAATTTAAGAATTTTGCCCAGAACATAGAAGCTTATCGAGTGTCAAAGAGTTATCAAATTTGGATTGCATATTTCTGAAATGATCATACACCTCTTCGGAAATGACAACTTCATTTAAAAGGAATGTAATCTAGAGCTATCTAGTGTTTATGGTTGACCGAGTACTTGCCTCTTGGTTGAACTGTGGCTCGCGTTGCTCTTGGTCTCCTTCCGGACTTTCTGGCGGATCTTCATCTGATGATCCGGACGTCACACTTATACGTTCAGTTTGATCAGCAACCGGTTGAAAGCTGGACCTAGACAACACAAGTGAATTCGTATTAGAGTTTATCAAAGTTTATGAGTGAGCATGTGCAAATAACATTAGAATGGGAATGGTGGCCAGATAGATTATGCTAAGTTGTTTACAAAAGGTTTTGACAGACCGGTTTTTTTGGGGAAGAGTTTGGAGCAACGAATGCCAAGTTGGGGTTAGTTGGGGGGGAGTAATAGGGATATGTTAAGTCCTTACCCCAGCCTTATTACAAAGTAGATTTCTAAAGGGACTAAAGTTAAGCACAGATTTTTTTTGGAGCCATTTGATATTAGATATTTAAACCGGTTGACCATACAGTGAAGCTTCGTTCGGATTAGCATTCATTTTTTTATATAACAAATACCACTAGACACTACAACAACCAGAAAACCAAAATTTCTATATAAATCAAATAAAAATGTTTGAAGATTGATGCAAAACCTATAAATGTCTACTTACGCGCGAGGGCGAACCCAAGTTGTCAATCGCGAATTATGATCAATGTAAAATGTCCTCCCTTCATCGTCCTGCAAAAATGCACGAAACAATGTCCTAACAATTCTCAATGTAGATACAGACAAGGAAGATACTGTCATAAAAGCTCCGTCGTTACATCTCTGTTATCAAGTCAAGTTAATAAAAATGATAAACGATATAATCAGACTGTGCTTTCCAGCTGGTGTTCCCTTTTACATGCAATTTTCTAGGGAAAGGTAGCACCAAGTACTTTAAAAATCTTGTTTTCGATAAACTGGCAATGAAAAGAAATAAACTGCAAACAAGATTGTAAAAATAGTAAGACTGCTTACCCTTCTTTCCTCCCATCCAGGAGGGAGAGGTGACGGGATTCGATTTAGTCTTTCGTGATCTTGCACTTGGTTCACCTGCAAATCGAGGCAACTTCAGAAAAGTTTTCAATTCTGTTCAGTTAATTTTAATTTTTGAACTTCAGTTGGACAAATGAGATATGCTGCAATATACACAACCCATGTTAAGTAACGACTTATCTAGCTTGGGTGGTTAACAAACAAGTGATCAAATTTTACAATTTTTAAGAATTGTAAAAAGAGGAGGCCTTATGCACACTTTCACGCTCAAAGACACACGCAAGCGATTTGATCCGAATAACTAGTATTACTGAGATCTACCCAAATAATGTTGGAAAAGTTGCCGGCATCTCTCTACCCCCCCCCCCCCTCCCCAAAATTGAAGCCTAATATTTATGTGTCTTGATAATTTTTAATTTTGCCCTAGCTAACTATCTTTACTTTTCTGCCACTTTACTTTTCTCCATAGACAGCAGAATTAAGAATTCTGAGAAACATTTGTGGTGATTCATACCGATATATGACGAACTGTTACGTCAGAGTTGTTGTCAGTTGTAAATCTTGCCTGAAATAACGAAAACATAAAATGACTAAACAATTTAACTTCCGCGATGATTTCCACAATAACATAAAATGCAAAAAATCAACATATTCAAAAAATTCATAGAATCAAGAATTCAAAGCAAGTACAATGGATATGCATTGAAAATTGCAAAACAACTTGCAAAAATCATATATCTTTTTAAAAATTTCAATATGTTTTGTACGCGAGCAAAAGTAAAGAAGCCTGAATTTTATTTTTGATTTCCAGAAGCCTCCTGAAGAGCACGGAAAGCTGGATACCAGCGCCCTAAATAGCATGCATCGCATATACCAATATGATCAATTAGTAAAGGCAGAAAACTAACTGGATATACACACAAAATTACTTTAGTATTCCCAGTTTCTTAGCTGAACATAAAATGCTTTATGTGTAAGAGGTTTTTACATTTATTGATTAATTTCTACCCCGTGAATCCTTACAAATTACATAGTTTTTCAATTTCATGAACACAATACAATAAACAGTGAATGATTTTATAAGCTAAACAACATGAAAGTAGTTCATGGTTAATGAAGAAATATCAATGAAAAAAATGATTATTGGAATTATTTCTAAAAGTTGAGTCATAATTTTAGGCGAACAAAAGCAAATCAATAAAAGACAGAAATGGAAAAGGTAGAGTAATGATCTAACACATCTGCTCTGTCTATTAGCAGAGTCTAAATTGTATTAGTAACATGCTGAGAAGCAAAACAATAAAAAATAACAAAGGAAAAATGTCATTCACACCAGATGACTATGGGCTTAAGCGTGCGTTATGGGCTTATAATTTTAATATTTAATTAAGTAAAAAAGGACTTTGGCTAACATGACGATCATCATTTTGAATAGGAGGACTTTAAATGAAAATAAACTTATGGAATCCACCTGCATATCACTTTCAACGCTTATATGCCTCCGTATGCTAAAATTGCGCTCCAGCCTTCTTGCAAGCTCTCTTTGCTGTTCAGAACTTTCATTTCTAAGAGCGAGAAGAAAATGTTAACGATAATTGATACACGTGGTCTTGGAATCTTGACCAATTAATGGAACAGCGATGTGCGGGAAGAATACTAGCTGTAGTTGTGGAGCCAAACAGAACCAAGTTACATGTTCTTAAGATAACAAAAGCAGTTTATCTTGCATCAAAGAGATTTGATTATCTATATCTTGCTTCAATCAATGGTGCTTTGGTTCAGCAGCTTTATGAGATAACGAAATACAACTTAAAATATTTCGAGTAATGAAACCACATATATGTTTTGATACTTTCTTCAAAACATTATTTAGATTATCACTACAATAGGGCATTAGAATTGATTTACCGAGCAGATCTTGGCCGTTCCCATGTCGTATCCCTCGTTGTATGATTGATGTAAAAAGTTCTTCCGTTGGCATCCTGAAAACAATAAATATTTAACAAAATAGGAACCAAAAAAAGACCAAAAGATTAATAAACAAAAAGAAAATAATTCCACTTTTTAAAGCTCCCCTCCTACATGCTATGCTTGCTTCACTTTGATTTCATTAAATATCCCTGAATATCTCTACGCAAATATACACCCCCCCCCCCTCTGCCCAGGGCATAATATGCCAAAAAGGGGAGATCATGAGAGCTTAGGCATAATATGTCAAAAAGGGTAGATCCTAACTTGGATGTAGAAACGTTTTCTGCAAGCAAGTAAAATTTTTCCACTTTATGTATCATGCTTAAATTTTCCAAAACGTCGGGATTTTTAACCAATCAGACAAACAATTACTTTTAACAAATTTGATTTATTTCTGACAGGTTTTATCTAACATTTCCTCAAGCATTGAAAACACCAAGAAGTCTGCCTGCTTGTTACCTGTCTCTCTTCCCAGTTTGGAGGGAGCGGGACATCATTTTCGCTAGTCGAGAGAGTCCTTGCAAATGCAGGTGTATCACTCACAGGCGCATCACTAGCATTTACAGTTTCCCAGCCCGGCTGAAACGAAATAATAAGCAAATCAGGATGGATTATAAGTAGTGAGCTTACCAAATTGTTAAGGAAAATATTGATTCATTGATTCATAGAAAATATATATTGACTCTAGCATGCATACAACACAATAAAATTTTGCTTTGATTGGATCTGCGAAACCTTCTTACATAGAATTTAACATTGAGAATCGCATTGAAGAGCTATCTAGAACAGGCCTTGCCTTGCAGATTTAGTTGATATATACGTCATTAAGCGTGCTTAAATACACAATTCAAATATATTCAAAAAATATATGGCTCCTCTTGTCTCCAGCATTATCCCTCTTGGACAGCCCTAATCACGTATTATCTTTTATTTACTTTGTGTAAATCATCAGACTGTTCCCAGTCAAAACACTCAGATTATCGGGCATCAACAATTTTGACAGCTAATCAGCATCGTTTTCTAATCATTATCAAGCGTCAAGAAACAAGGCTGCTGGAAATGAAAACAAGCGATACCCAGATACGCAGTGATAACATTTGATGGTGACCAAGCGATCGTGTTTCTAACGTATGACAGGCACTTAAATTTTGCTACAATATTTAGTTTTACCGACTCAAAAATTAATTCATTTAACAGGAGCAGAAATAGAGAAAATTGAGCCAATTATTGTATGCATTCTTTTGGAAGTAAGGAATACTTTTAAAAAATTCTTGAGTCACTGACAAAAATCATTAGATATAAATATTTTGCAAACCTGAAACATTCTTACCTCTTCTACTCGTTCTCTAGTTGACGAGGCAACACGTATAAAGCCTTCTTCGTCATCTAAGGAATACAATAGAAAACAAGTTTAGTATGCATCAAGAACGTAATAAAATTATCTTTTGGTGGTACATTTTGAGCCATACTGAAGCTTTTCGTCTAACACTCTTCAGAGTAAAAAACGTCAGAACATAGATCGAAAATTCTACGCTAGAAAATATTTATACCCAGTTGTGGATTGAAAAAGGCAAATCAGAAAACGCGGGCACATGACTGTTGAGGTTGCCCAATCAGTACCGCTTGCCGATAGAAAATGTTACCAATGGAGTCCTAAGGTGAAAACAAACCTCTTCTATCTACACAAAAGCGGTCTTTTCATTTCATTTTATAATTTTTTTGCACAATCTAGGTTTTCCAGTAAATGCTGCCCGACAACAGAATCGCATCTTTTAGTTGTAGCTTAGATCTGCAAGACCGAGGTGGCTGTTCTCTTTGGGGATGAGTTTTGTTTCTAACGCTAGACAGCACATGCTGTTTTATCCTATCCCCCAATCTTTGGGTTGTGTGTCCTACGTAGCCAGAATCACACTGGCAAGTAAACTCAAAGATGACGGAACTCTTTTGCATGGTAGGAACGCAATCCTTATGAATGGATGGAAAACACAAAATGTTTGCATTTTTCAAAGCCATTCATAATTAAATTCTTAGCTAGAAAATGCCACAGTCACTATCCGTTTACTTCATGTGATATTTATATGGGATCAACTTTTGACCAAACTTCCTATTAAGATTGAATACTCTTTTCGAAAGGAAAAAAATATTCACGTTTTGCTAAAGAACATTTCTCAATCAAAAGTCGCTTCAAGGCGTTTTGTGATCTATTTCATTGCTTCACAGACAAAACAAAGCTCTTCAAACGTCAGAGGAAACAAAAAATGTTGATTCATGCTACACAAAAGCGGTCTTTTCATTTCATTTTATAGTTTTTTGCACAATCTAGGTTTTCCAGTAAATGCTGCCCGACAGCAGAATCGCATCTTTTAGTTGTAGCTTATATCTGCAAGACCAAGGTGGCTGTTCTCTTTGGGGATTAGTTTTGTTTCTAACGCTAGACAGCACATGCTGTTTTATCCTATCCCCCAATCTTTGGGTTGTGTGTCCTACGTAGCCAGAATCACACTGGCAAGTAAACTCATAGGTGATGGAACTCTTTTGGGTGGTAGAAACGCAATCCTTTTGAATGGATGGAAAACACAAAATGTTTGCTTTTTTCAAAGCCATTCGTAATTAAATTCTTAGCTAGAAAATGCCACAGTCACTATCCGTTTACTTCATGTGATATTTATATGGGATCAACTTTTGACCAAACTTCCTATTAAGATTGAATACTCTTTTCGAAAGGAAAAAAATATTCACGTTTTGCTAAAGAACATTTCTCAATCAAAAGTCGCTTCAAGGCGTTTTGTGATCTTTTTCATTGCTTCACAGACAAAACAAAGCTCTTCAAACGTCAGGGGAAACAAAAAATATTTGATTCTAAAGAAAATGGCAGCACATCTTGGTGAGCACATCCTACAAAGTAAAAAGCGCCGTCTCTTTTCACTCTTCACGAGAAATGAGGTCTTAAAAACATTATATATAAAGATTTTCTTGCTTTACTTTCTTTCTCTTTTCTAACTTCATTTGTGTATTTATTGTAAGTAGTTTCAAAAAGGCATTTTATAAATTTGTAAGATTAGTATTTTATTAATTTGCAAGTTTTTTTCTCTGCCCCCCGAAAATCATTCTGCTTAGATTGACGGGATTACTGTGAATAGAGAATTTAAAATGAAAAATGAAAGAGTTTATAAGAAAAATCGGAATTTCTTAAATTATTTTACCAGAAAAGATATAGTAAGGTTAAAAAATGTACTTGTCATGTAAAATGTGAAGCAAGCTATTCAGGCAGAAGCGACACATTATTTTTATTCAATTTAAGGTTGTTCTTAAAACCAGTTTTTGAAAAAGAAAATCTGAGAAACTAACCTGAAGTTGGTTGACTTTCAGCTGAAGTTGGTTGGCTTTCAGCAGGATCAGGGATGTAGGCAAGCCTCAATCTAAGGTGGCCCCGAACATGAGAGCGCCGGCTGTAGAAGAAAAATATGAGTAAACTCATCAATGAAAGAAGATTGCTTTGAAAGACAGATGCAGTTTTTCAACACCGAGGACATTTTTTGACGTAAACAAACAAGCCGTTTATACTACAGCATTTCAAGACAGCAAAACCCAAAGAATATCATACTTTTCCCTGACACTTTGTAGGGCTATAAATAGGATAAACGATTAAAAGTTTAACTGAAGTTTACATATCCTCGAGTGGGTCAAAAATAACGAGAGAGTAAAAGGCATTCTGAAGGGCACTGTTGATTGGTTAATTGATCGATCAGCTACTGACAACCTATCACATATGACTTAAAGATATAAATTCGAAAAACAGCAAGAAATGGTATAAATTTATAATGTATGTTTACCTCCGACGTTGCAGTAGATATTCCTTGAAAGGAATCTCTAAACCTTCAGACTCTGTCTACAAGGGAATAAGAACATAGAAAATATATATCAGGCAGTTAATTTTATGAAATATAATTGGTATCATTTCATCTTCAACTGGTGCATATGCATTTCTTGCAAGGGCTGCTTTACCCACAATTGAAACATTACCCTTTCACAATGATAGTGTTTGTCTTTTTAAAGATGGCTGTAAATTTGATGTTACAGATCTCTCCTTCTATACAACAAAGTTCTATACTGCAAAGAGATCGATTTAAAAAAAATTTAACAAAAAAGAATTTCCAACTTACAGGAATGTCAGTCAAAGGAAGATCAACTTCGCCTAGGAAATCATCACGAGTCTAAAATGTCAAATTTGGATAAATGATTAACAGAAAACTATCAACCATAGCTATGAGACTGCCTTGAAAAAAAGAAAGATACATATGCATGAGTCTTAGAGACTTTTCAGCCACTTAAAAGAAAATTTACCAAGAGCCACAGAGCAAAGCAAGGCTGAAACTTTAGCCCATTATGAGTCATCTCACAAAGTAACAGTAGATGTATGAAGTAAAGTGAACCACTGTAGACCTGCTTCACCCAACATCAGGGTTTGTTATTACAACTAGACTGAATGAGGGCCTAAAGCTAAAACTTTATCTACAAGGGGGGCAGAATATGACAGAATATAATCATCTAATTGATAAACAAACTGCTTTAACTCTAGCAAACTATTTCTACACTATGGTCGTTCTCTATTTTGAAACTTGAATTGTGGCCCCTGTAAACACATGGGGAATGCTTTAATCAATGGGAAAAGGTCTAGTCAATGAACAGATATTTCATGTTTTACCAATAAGAGCATGTGACTTCATGCTTTTAAGGAAAGGGAAAGATTTGATAAGCATGTTTTAAAAGAGCCCAAACTTATCAAGCAATGATCTTACCAATCTATTTTCATCATAGATTTCAAACAACAAACGCGAGGATGATTTCTTCACCTAAAGAGGAAAGTGTAAGTTGAAGATTAAACTATGATTTGTCAGATATGTATGAAATTAGCATTGGGATATAAGCAAACACTAGATACAGTTTGCAAAATCTTAAACAAAAACTCCCTTTTAGAATGTATCTTCTTAGTTTCATCGGAATAGTAGAAGTTGTTGATGAGACAGAATGTCCCTTCATTACAAAACTATCACACGATGAAGCAAAATTGAAATGGAGATGAAACAAACCCTGTAATACATGGTTGCATTCCATTGCGGATTCAGAGTCTGCAAAAAAATTATTTGAAAACCAATAAAAATCATTGGAAAACCTTAATAATTAAAACTGATATTTATTAATTAAAACAAATCAAGAAATAATGCTACACAGAGTCAAAAAAATTAGTTTCTGTTTTAGTAACAGCGTGAATCTTCAGCTATACAATTTAACAGTTATTAAAGTGCCATTCTACAAATGTGCTTCCTCTTTGTGATGAGTCCAAGGAACTTCATTGCAGGCAAGACATGTTTTTGCAAGGGCAGGCATTAGCCCAATTAAATAATTATAAGAGGTCTTTGCAGGATTATCCCCAATTAAAAAACAAAAAGGTCTGATTCTCAATAACAAAAATTGTATTTCTGGTCACACAGTATTTCTGGACTGAAAATGACAGCAAATAGAACTCAATCAAACTTCTAGAGATTTGAACAAAACAAAGTTCATCGAACAAAAACCAATAATATGTTGGTACAGATGATGAACAATACCCAGTACCTTTTTCTGAATTTTTGTCTGAGACTGATCAATCACATCGTCTCTGTTTTCTTCATACAACTTGACAATACAATATGGATCACTAGAATGATGACAAAATGAAGACACTTAAGTAACAGCAGCTGTTTGTGCAAATTTCAATGTTGATTTTTACACTGGGAAAAACCATTTCAGGTCAGATGTATCTGCCTTTATTGAAAACATAAATGCAATTTCCATTAACCAAGTTTCTTTTAAACTTTGAATCACCACGAGTTGGATTAGTTTTTTCCTTTCACGTGCTTATGTCTCATGTGGCACAGCCAAACATCAGGCAAAATAATTTGTGCTCTTAAATGTTAAAATGTGTAAAATAAACATATTAACAAAAAAATATAAGACATAAAATCTAACTAATAAATTTTTTATCATCAGCAGCACCAGTTCCTACTACTTTATGAGATTTTTAGATCACAATATCTAACAACTAATCCTTTAAAAGCAATCATTACTTTGAAATGTTATAAATATTTTTGAAACACTTCTTGACTGGTAGCAGACTTTTCAACAAAGCTTCATAGATCCAATAATTAAAGAAATTAACAGCTTTTTGGAAACTCATTATATGTTCAGTTTAATTTGCTATACTGATAAGCAAGGAATTTTTTTACATTGAGGTATGATAGGTTTTCATGTTTTAATTTGCCTCTCACAGCTGCAATGGTTCTTTAAGGCAATAATTAAAGATGAAAACAATGGGCTTAAATTAGCCACAACGTCTCAATGATATAACTGAAATATTTGAGCAATATATGTTTATAGTTTTATAATAACCATTTAGTTTTAGCTCCAAGTAATTCCATAAAAAACAAGGAAGGCATGACACCAACCATTTCAGATTTGAACCAAATTTGGCTCACTCTTATTTCGCACATAGAGAAAGGGAAAACATGTGAAATTTTATGTCCTAACTCCAACCTGCTATAGATTTATGGCTCTTTCTTTTATGGTGACTATTTTGATAGAATCTCCAAGCTCAAATAAATTGAAAAAATAAAAATTTGATGCATGTTATACCTTAATCCAAAGATATCTTTCTTAGCCAAATTCAAGCCAGCAATGACATTGATTTTCAGCAATGCAATATTTGAATCCTGACCATATGACTGAAAAATTAGGACAAAACTATGTAATGTAAAAGGTTGACAATATAATCTAACAGAATAAAAAAAGAAATATCATTTATATGTGGGGAAATATAAATTCTGTATAAAGGTAGGTATACTAAATTGCCTCAACAGGTTTCAAATTGCAATTGCAAGTCATGGAAAATTTTCTGCTTAAATAATATATGTTTAAATGATGAGTAATGTTTAAATGAGTATATTTAAAGTTATTTCTACACAAAAATGTTTTACAATGAGTAGAAAAGATTTTTCAATCTTGAATCACAGAGCAAACAAATCATTATATAAATGCCATATTCCTACATTTTAAATGCATTATATATATTTCAAGAAATGAATGTTAAAACTAACTGGAGAAAATGAGAAACTCTGAAAATAGATATCTTACAAAGCCATTTTCTCTAATTACTTGATTATACCCTAACTGGCAGACCAAATAAAATGAGTGGAATCTTGCTCTGCAGTTTTTACGGTCCAAAGGCAATTGCAAAAAAATCACAAAAAAACCAGCATATAAATTTGAAAAGCCATCTGTCTCTGGGGACCAAATAAGATTTCAAAAAATAAATAACCCAATTGGCCCATTTATATGTCTTTGTCAAAAAATATTTAGCCGAAAACTTTTTAGCCAAAACTCACAACAAATTAAGAGCCCGGTCTGTGTACTTAACTGTGAGTTTTAGAAAATTCAAGGTCATTAAAAGTCTATTAGGAAAGTAAAATGTTATCTATTGTCATATAGATTATATGGTCCAAAACCATATGATCTTATCATTTATTAATTGGAAGTTGTTTGCTTTAACATAATGTAGGAATGGCTTATTTTGACATTCTACTGTACAAATTTTGCCAAAAAAGCTGCTGTCACTGCATTGCTAAGCTGTTTACAAAGCCCTCTTGCCTTCTAAATGTTTAAAATGCCTTCCAATGGTCTCATTAAAACAGTGAGGGTGTGTCATGGTAGAACCTTTGAACTTTGAATTCCTTTATCTATTTTGCTTCCGTCATTTTAACACAGTTTTCAACATTTGGCAATCATGAATAGTTAGTCGTTGGAAATTTGCCAGCTTTATTTATTTCGTAGTATATTGCCGTTTATAGTATATTTCATAGTGCATAGAGAGTTGCTTGTGGTTTCTTATGATTATATAAGAAAGAAGAAGGCGGACAGCCAGTAAACTATTTGTAGTTAAAAAATAACCATTGCTTTAAATAAGACTTGTCAAAGCATTGCATTTGGCGGCAAAACATAACAACATAATACTTGATAACAAATGCGACATTTGATCTTTCCGGAAGATATTATAGGTCCGTTATTTTGAGGTTAGTGTAATCATACTCACACTTGCCGGAAGACCATGGATGGTCACATTTGTACCTATTCCCGATGCCATTTTCTTGGGTTTATCTTGCAGCTAAGCCTTAATCATCATCCTTGCGCAACCTATTATTAGAACCAAAAGCTCTCCGTATGATTGCAGATTTTGAATAGGCTTGCAATAATGTCTTCTTCACTCAGCTAAAAATCTACTTCTTCGCTGTCTTTCACCAGTTAAAGCTGCTTAACATGCAAATACTTTCATTGACGTATATCTAAAATGATTTGTAAGCGATTTCTGTCACTTACTAGAATGTTTTGCATCACAGAATCGTCATCGCTGGAGTATTCTTCATCCCACCCCTAACTCTACTCCTCCGCAGAGACAAAAGGAACAACACAACAAAACAGCGTATAACTTTAATGATTAATTACAAAGAATACAAATCATTAATATTCACGCAAAATACAAAAGCTTAAAACATCCTTGATAAACATTGTAGCATATACAATGTGTATGCAGGATCCACGCCACTAATCCCAAATTGGAGGGCCCAACAATGTAAATAAAGTGTTATCTTGCCCCCTCTAGCCCCAATTTTGGCAAACATTTCGATAGTGCTTTCTACTTGTAGACTTTGGTTCAATGCATTTGTTGTAATCTAAAGGTTTATCTAAAAAGAAAATTGAGCAGATTTTAATGCCCCCTGGCCCCCTTGTGGCGTGGGTCCTTATATGTCATCTTTTTTACAGGATCTTTAGCATACAACATAAATAATTTAAAACTTTCCTTAAATTTAAATAATTTTCTCACCTCCAGCATAGTTTTACGTGAAAAACTTGGCTTGAACTTCTGGTGCTTTTTATGATACATTCTCGACTTTTCAGATACATTTCCTGGCATTTTTATTCGGAGTAGCCATATTTTTAAATCGCAGAAACTATGGAAGGGGGTGTCTTTTTCAACTGAAAACTTTTTTCCCAGAGCATTCCTTGACATACAAACCAGGGGTGTGTCAAGGTTTCCCCTTTAAAAGTCCATATTCTCATCTTTTATCTAATAGCTATGGTCACTGTCTAGAAATACGTTATACTTTAATTGTTTTATATCTATTTCAATTAACACTAAAAATTGTCAAAAAATGGAAATTTTAGTTCAATGGTTCTTCTTCACTTCAATGAAACCCAGTGATGAAACCCAACAAGTGCTTGGACGTTCTGGAGGAGGATCCTTCATGCTCCACCAATGTTTTCATTTTGATACAATGGCGGGTAAAGAATGCGAAGATTTGGCAGCGTTATCAGAACTTGACGAGGAACTCGTTTTAAGTCAGCTATATAAAAGATATAACTCGGATGCAATTTATGTAAGTTCATTTATTTCCAATTTTTGCAGATTTGAGTCGAGTTTTAGAATTCGAACAATCCCAGTCTTGTTTTGAAACACGTCTACATCTTCACAAACACCTCAGTATTTCTGACATAGACGGGCGTGTATAATTATTTAAACAAAAATCTAAAGGTGGTTACGAAAACATGAAAACCTACTGTCCACCATGGCTCTTAAAACTGATTGATTAATTTATATGGGGGTATCTACTACAGGGAATCCATAATTGAGAGAAAATCTTGCACAAACAAGACGATGATTACATCGTAGTTTTAGGGCCTTAAAACAAGAAGAGTCTGAAGTTTTCTTTTTAAGGACCATTAGGATTTCCTTCTAACAAAACAACTGGTTATCATCACTTATAATTGTAACAATTAAATTGTTAAGTGACACAATCTATGTAGAGAGATGTCGCAGGGGCCACAAAGAGAAGGGGGATGCTAACCCACACCCCAGTAATTTTCAAGTCATCATGCTCAAGTTTGTAGGAAGGAAAATGTTTCCCCTCCACACTACAATACACCCTGCCATCCTTGAATCTGCATGCATGAAGATAACTGGGATTGTGCAAAGTTTTTAGGTCGACAAATGCAAAAGAAGCCCCTTATTTGAAAATGTGAGGTACAGACCCAAACATGCTTATTTCCCCTATTTTGATAAATGCTTCTATTCATTGTTTTTTCCAAGCTCACGGTGCATCAGAACACTTTTTTCTATTGTGTAGAGTCCTTTTTGCCAGTATTTTATGACCATGGATACACAGCTGTAAACTGCTTATTAACGACTGGCTTTCTTGATTTGATTTTAGACATATGTTGGTGACATCCTTATAGCCATTAACCCATTTAAGTCCTTGCCCATATACTCTGCCAAGGTAAGATACCATTTTAATTCTTATGTTCTTCTAAAAATGGAAGCTCTTAAAACCTAGTATCTTTGGTTTTTTAATTTATTCCTAGTCATTAAAAATCTTGAATAATGTTTTTGACAAAAAAAAACATTTTTATGATGAAATTCTGTCCCAAACAATTTTGGCATTATTTATAGGTTTTATAATATAAATGCATTATATAAGGCTGTAGCTTTCTTCTTTGATGTTGGGAAAATTTGTCTTCCCACCGTTTACACACTTTTTTTATGAGGAACCTACCTCAAGGCCTAGTTCCAAAAGTTCCTTATTGGTAGACCTCAAATCATCAAATTCTAGTACCAAAAGTTCCTCAATAGTTCCTTAATTTGTTAGTTTGACTACAATAAGCCTTGGCACTTAATAGAGAGAGGGGCGAGACAGCATATGCGGAAACTACTCAATGAAGCACTTGACACACAAATACTAAACAATCTATGGGAATATTGGATGCAAATAAATGGAACCGGCTTTTTAGTTCTTGATGCTTGCAAATATAAAAAATTTTCAAATCGAAAAGTTCCTTAGGGATTTTGTTTTTAGTAGTATAAGTTCTTTAAATATTATGGCCTTCTACATGTAGGTTCCTTATAAAGTTGTTCCTTATAAAAAAGTGTATAAAGTCTTTTAGATTATTTTAGCCATATTTAAACTTGTTCTTGTACCCACCCAATTGATGATACCTGTGATTTTCATCTCATATGCCTTATTAACTATTTTTTCCACTCGTTACTGCATTGCTTGATTTGTCTCCTGGGTTTCCTTTCCTGAGAGAAATATTCCTAAAAGTGTATATACATTCAATACAACTGAAGGGAAACTCTAAAGGTCTTTATATTATCTTTTAAATTATTTTATTACCAAAAATTCACATTTTCCTAAATTTTCTCAAGATTTCCACATTTTTCAGTTTTCAGACCAATATAAATTTGCACCAAAAGGCAGCAATCCTCCACATGTATTTGCAATCATGGGTAAAGCATACCAAGATTTGCTTGGACTTGGGAGCAAGTCAGCCCAAAATCAGTGCTGTGTTATCAGGTACCATATGGTATTTTTGGGTTTTTGTGAATTTATGAGCAATGGCATCTTTGTAAGCACATCAAATAGTAAAAAGCATATTAGGTTGTCCTTATAAATTATGGAAAACTACTCTTGTCTTGTAAGAATATTGAAAATTGCCAAGCTTCTCTGAATGAACTCTGCTCTACAACATTAACAATTGTCTCACAAAAGCCTATTTTGTTAAGTTTTTAACATATTCTTGTTGTCATTGTAGTGGGGAAAGTGGAGCTGGGAAGACCGAAAGTTGCAAATTAATGATAAAACAACTAATAGAGCTCTGTGGAGGGTCCTCAGAACTAGATCAGCAGATTCTACAGGTAAAGAGTTGCTAACACATATTAATTACTCAACGTTGCTAAAACGAGGAACAAGCGGAACAACCCAGTAACAACCGGAACAACCCAGTAACAACCCAGTAACAAGCGAAACAACCCAGGAACAAGCAGAACAACCCGCGAAACAACCCAGGAACAAACAGAACAACCCAGAAACAAGCGGAAATGTGAATTAATTGTTTAGTAAATACCACATGGGGGCGTTTATAATCCATGTTTTTATAGGCATAGAAGGTAAAAACTAAAAAACCAATATGTGAATAAAAGTATCAAATCCAAAATAGGAAAATGAGAAAAAAGGAGATAAGGAGTAGTCACTACCACCTGGTCACAGCCTCAAACTCCGATAGGGGGTGGTTGTGTGTGCCCTTGTATGTTTTAAGCAATTAGCTTGTAAGTGGGCAGAAAATGATAAAAAAGCAACTCATCAGCCAGAAACCCACGAGGGACATTTCGGGGCTCTTCTCAAATGCTCGATCCTAAATTGCTCTAAAAAAACAAATTGCTCTTTTTGAAATCAATTTTCCCTATTTTTCTGTCTTTTGTTATCTATAGACAGCTCACCTGGAATTTTCTAGGAGAGCTGTTTACTGCTCCCCTGTTAAAAGTCTTATGACCATGCCTGTGGAGATCAAACATATCGCTGATGAAAATGTTAGAATTCAAATAATATTTTCTGTATACTCACACAGTTAGCAGTTTGGACAGTTTGATTGTTTGAAAAATTGGTTTTTGCAATGCCCTTTAAATTAAAGTGCAAAGTTGTTAGAACAAAAAACTAGTTAGGCACTGTAATGCTTTATGATAACGCTTAAAAACTTTGTTCGTATGATTTTTACAAAACATTTCCTCTTTTGTCAGGAAACATTTAGCATATTATTTGGTCATATTTTTTATCTGAGACAGTATTATGGTGACAGAGCCCATTTATGAAGGGAAACATTTAAACTGGGACTAAACAGTTTTTACATTTTTTTTATTTCCAGGTCAATCCCCTACTGGAAGCTTTTGGGAATGCAAAGACAGTTATGAACAATAATTCAAGTAGATTTGGAAAATATATTCAGTTGAAGCTGAAAGAGAAAAAAGGTAATGAATTTTTAATCCTCAACCATTCAGTAAAATTTTCATCCTTACTGGAAATCAGACTTTCTGTTTTGAAAAGACCTTGGTGAATTTTGTGTCTATGCCAAATGCTGGTTTCGGCCGCTTTGCATTACTAACCAACTTATTGTGTTTCTCAGCATGTTCCCCTGTACATTCCCCATTTTATTCCATGGCAAGAGCATTGAGAGAGGTTTAGGTGGGGTCGATTCTCTGGAGCCTGTGCACCAATGAGGCCAGTGATAATCTTACACCCTGTTACTATCAGATTGTCACAAGATCTATTTACAACGCAAAAGCTACTACTTCAAGCTACTTATATGGAATAAATGCCTGTGATATTATCACAGAGAAAAAGCTGTCCACGCGTTCATGATTCATGAATACCATGATTTTGCACAATCTAGTTGAGAATCATTAAACAATTTTCTCAACCAATGTACCTAAAGATGCTGTAGTTCTCTTGGAATCCTCTGATTATTTTTTGTTCAATTTGGCAACTTCAGTTCAATCACCATCTGTAAGCACCTATCTGTGACAGTATAGCACTATGAAGTCTATTTGGTAACCAAAATTTGGCTTACTCCTTTCCCTAAGCATCCATCGCCAAATTTCCAAAGTAAACAATCTTGGATTCACGTTTTTATTATCAAAATTTCCTACAAGTTCCGAATTTATCTTATCTTGTCAGAGCTTATTCTATGGAAAGTTTCCACGAATCATCAACTATCTGATTTAGCAGTGATTTTAATGTAATGAAAAGTTTCCAACCCTTTAGCTTATCTTAATCTTTTTTGATTTAGTCGATGGTGCAAAAATATCTGAATACCTGCTTGAAAAATCAAGAGTTGTTCATCAGAATCCTGGCGAGCAGAACTTCCATATATTTTATTATATCTTTGCTGGGTTTAAAAAGGATCAATTGGTCAAGCTACATTTGGACAAGGCAAAACCTTACAGGTATAAATACAGTTTTATTTACTCACAAATTATTTTTTTTAATAAGAGCTATAGTGGTGTGGTGTGTATTGTGAATATATCTAAACTAGTTCAATTTTTTGTATAGACACTGTCCGTTATGAATGAAGTAAGCCACTGTTACTCAGTAGGGGTTAAATGTGTTGGAAGGGGCAGGGGCTAATGGCAAAAATATTTATAGTCTACCTGCTCTCACAGCCACTGCACCCCTGCTGGTAGTGCAAAACTTCAACATGCTAAAATTTTGGTATATGTAATGACTGCACTGTGAAATTACATTATTCAATATGTATATTCATACTGGAATATACATAAATGATGTAACACCTCAAAATTTTTAGCTTGTTTGCCTGTCTTAATAAGATGCATTTTTTTGTTATTCTTTCAGGTACATCACAAATGGAATTTCATCATCAGTAAGAAATTTTGCTTCCTGGGAGAAGGATTTTGATGATCTTGTTAATGCCATGGACATTGTTGGCTTCACAGAACAGGCAAGTTGACTTTATCACTTTCCACAGATGATGTAAAATTACATTAAGCCCTGGTTGACAATCAAAACTTTAATGTGACAATCCAAGTTTATGGTTCTCATGCGACCATAATTTGCATTTGCAAAACCTGATTTGAGCAAGCTATTTTTATTGATGAAATTGAAGAACTAGGAAACAGAGTAATAGCCACAGCCACTGTTGCATTGGCAGCCTTAGGCTATATTGCTAAGAATAATTTATTCAAGCCATATGATGGCTTTTTAAGTGGGGAAAAAGAGGTTTAAAAAGCCAAAAAGCAACTTCTTGACTGAATTAGTGATGGCTGGAGAGCGAAATTTAACACGCTTGTTTTACGTAATTCCTTTTTTCATTTTGTATACTGAGATAGTTCACTATATTGATCTGGAGACTGACGATATTTAAGCATAATTAATTAAGCATAATATTAAGCATAAGGTTTCCTAGTGCAGTAAACTCTTACCTAGCTTCGGTCTGTATAGCCTGTGATGCTCCACTCTCTGTAATCTCTCCCCCCCCCCCTTCATGTTTGTATTGAATGGAAATGTAGCGTAAGCGTTGAAATATTTTCAACGTAAATCAAATTTTGCTTTTTATTCTGCAATCACCAGGAACAGCAAGAAATGTTTAGAATATTAGCTGGTGTGCTCAATATTGGGAATCTTCAATTCTCGTTGGACGAAGATGACTTTGCTACTTTGCAGCCAGATGAGCATCTGAAGGCGTCATCGGTAAGAACTTGAAACACAGTTACCTGCCTACCCTATTTATTCGAATATAAGCCACGGCTTTTAATTATTCTTTGGCACGATTCGATGCTGTTTATAATCAAGGGCTGCTTATATACGAGGGCAGCTTACATTGTTTAACCCATATCTTGCCAAGCTTAGCTGGTCCCTGAAAGCTGAGGGTAACAGTGTAGAAGATGAGGAAGAAATACTTCTGGACGATTTTGATGATCCGTCATCTGGACGATGTTATTGTTGGTTGAACTAAATAATGATGATTTTGATGATCCACGCCACCGATTCTAAAGTGGGGCTAAAAGGGGGGCTACCTATTTAATACCTCAAAGGGGGATTTGATACCTAAAGTCAACAAGAAAAGTGGGGGGAGGGCCATGGCGATGGTCCGTCATCTTCAACCAAGTATCTCTGCATGGGTTGGTCATAGCTTATAATCAAGGGCGGCTTAATCGAGTAAATACAAATACATCCTCAATGCGCTGTTGGTTCTCTGTAGAGATGAAGTTACGGTCATTATTCTTAGTCAATAAAATCAGTGAAGAGCTTGTTCATCACCAAGCTTCAATAACTCAAATGTTACCTTTTTATTAAGAAACTAATGTATGCAATTTCATTGCCATTCTTATGTTGGCTTGGTAGATTCAAAGCTTCATTTCCCTGTTTTGTTTGGCCCACTAGTTAGTATTTGTCATAAGATACCATCCAATTTTTTATATTATGGTATTTATGTTTATATTATAATTCCATACTTTTCTTGGGTCCTGTATATTACAGTCTTAATATTGTACTCTTTATTTGTAGTATACGAATCAGTTGAATTGAATCGGGAAAATTTTGTTGATAATTTGTTGCAGGCTGACCTGCTATTATTAAAATTCATGCACTTACTCAACTCATTTCCTCATTTCAACTCTTTGAATGTATCCTTTGATCGTTTGTTTCAGTTTCTGCTTGGCCTCGATTCTGTTAATCTCTGTGACGTTTTGACCTCGTTTGTCACTGTCACTCGAGGCAGTCATATTAAAAGAAGATACAATAAGATTCAAGCCCAGAGTATGTATGGTTTAATTTTCAGAATTCAGTTTCACTATTTTTCACATCTCAGAGGACCATCTAAACATTATGAATTTTATTGGAGCTATTAAAGTAAATATTGGAGTGATATGCAGGAGGTCGGTCACTCGTTTTTTTTCCATTTTACACATTGATCAGATATCATAAGCTCTTTGCCATATCTTTGAATATGTGAATAGAGGTTGAAAAAGCAGCAAAGCAACTTTTCGACTAAATCAGTGATGGCGAGCTTGGTTTTTATACGTGTGTTGCATTTTTCCATCCTAATTTCTTTTTTATAATATATACAGAGAGCTCGAGCCCATGTTGATTTTGCAAGGCTATTTTTGACGAGCTAAGGTATTTCAGTAAATGCTTACTTAACCTCAGACTTTACAACCTGTGATACACTACCCCTTGTTGTGTCTTTCACCTAAATATTCTGCACCAAAACATCTGAAACAGTAATGGAACTGTTAAAGTTTGAAGTTGTGATTTTCATTTTGGTTCATAACAATATGCCAAAAAAGGCGTACACTCTCCTAAAATGAGATTTATAAAACAATATTTCTTTTGTGCTCAACAGGTTGTCGCGATGCAATGGCTAAATCGCTCTATGGGCGGCTTTTTAGTTGGATTGTTAACAAGGTAAATCAGTTGGTTGCCCCTGAGTTCATTCTGGAATCAAAAGAGATCGGTAAGTATTCGAACAGTTGGAAACGTTGTAATCGAGTCTCTGACATGACCAAACTTTAACATAGGGTAAGGGGAGTCTTTAGCTACCTGCAACTCAAAGTTAGAAGCAACAGTTTAGCCCAGAGAACGCAAATATCTTGGATGTGGAGGACGAAAGGAATAAAAAGAAAATGAGCTGGATATCTTATTTGTTGATTACAAAGGAGAAATAGAAACTGAATAATGATATGTATTCGATGTCAAATAATTCTTAAACAATATAAAGGAAAAACGCTTTTGCTATTTTGAAAGTCCATCGATGTAAAACGAGATTTTTTCTAGCGTTGAAAAATTTTGGTAAGAAAAAATGTCGGTTTCCAAAAATTTCAGTGGGATTAATTTTCGGTTGCCCTGCTTCAACGAAAATTAATTCCTTCAAAAGTTTTGGGTACTTGATGTAGTAGGTTCACATCGATAAGCAGGTAGAAACAAAACATAAATATTGAATATATATTTGATAAAGGTTTCATCGTTGAAAGCTAACTGGTGTACCATTGATATTGTATTTGTAGCAAATTTTTGAAATTTTCAATCCTTGCTTGATTTCAAATTACTCGTTGCTTCCATTTGAATTAAGAGAGCGACGCAATATGAGCAAATTGCCGATGGGTCTTCAGGGAATCGCTGAGTATGTTAAATAAATATCAACACAGGCGTGAATTATGCTAGCTTTTCTTTTAAGTATAATGATTTTCATCTATTTTTATGGCTGTTAAGTGACACATATACTGTTTTATATGTGGAACTGTAGGCCTTCTGGATATCTTTGGATTTGAGCATTTTGAGAAGAATTCCTTTGAGCAATCCTGTATCAACATGGCCAATGAACAACTTCAGTTCTTTTTTAACCAGGTAAATTGTCATTCTAAACTTATTTTGCAACCTTTTTCATTTACTCGCTTTTTGGAAGTTATTGAGCATATTTTGTCCACATAAATTGTTCAAAATACACTTTTGACAACGTTTAAATATAACTGTTCAAGTTTTTTTCATCTTCGTCTTCAAACTGATACATTTAAGTGTGTTCAACTGAGAGCAGCTTGAGACCAACCCTTCTTTTCAGGGTCAGCCCTTGGTCAAATACATGAACCAACATAGGGCCCTAAGACAATATGCTAACTGAGCAGCAGCTGCTGCCGAGACAATCACAGACCAATAAAGATTCGAAAAAGTTTGGCCAAACCAATATATGAGCCTCATCTCTCCTACATCGGAGCGTCAAACATCATATTCACGACAAAAAGACAGGCTTAGATTGGGGTTTTTCCTATTTGCGAGTGGCATTCTTTGATACTATTCATTTATTTATTCCACATTTTCTCATTTTAGCAGTATTTCTTACTATATCACCGGTTGTAAACTACATTATATAGGCGTCCTTTTTGAAGATAATTATTTACATTCCAGCATATTTTCAAATGGGAACAAGAAGAATACCACAGAGAAGGCATTGACTGGAGCGATATCAAGTTTGAAGATAATCAGCCTACTTTGGTATTTTTTCTGTTTTGAGCAGCTTTGATACCTCGGTTATCAGCCATAAGCAATAATAGTTTTAGATGACTTAACAATACCATCATTCAAATATTTCTGCATTTCTCAATAATTCGCTTTCCGTTACATCTTATTGTGTCTTCGCTTTAACAATGGAAACTCGAAGAGGTTTGAAATTTTTTACCATCAATAGTACGTAAATGTATTGCACCAAGCAGTTAGTTATAAGACCTATATGTATAACTAGTGCTCTCCCTGAAAAAGCTAAAAAAAGTTTTATTCCACTCAATTTATAAAAACATAACAGTTTAAAAAGATGCATCGGTAACTTTCCAACCTACTTTCCAATTTTCGACTTCAGGTAACTGTTAGATTCTCGTTGTAGTAATGAATTGATTTTGCAAACTTTGCAACTTCCCGACAAGGTTTTTATGTTCCTTGTAACAAAGTAATCATTGTAAAAAACTGTGTTTATATTCCAGCATTATTCTATTTGAATCCATTGATAGTGATTATTGCAAGCCAAACACACGTTTGCAAGAAGAAGTATAGATTCTCAAGGTTTATTTCTAATTCAATTAACTGTGACATCTCTTTATTTTGTTAGCGAGGAGAAGTTTAGATTCTGAATGCTGGAATATGTTTGGCTAGAAAGTTTGCAAAGCTAATGATTAAAAAGATTCAAACGACATTTATGCATTGATCAAGCTATCAACTTTCCTTTCTTATATTCCTTTTAATGCAACGTGTTGTTGTAATGTGACACTGCCTAATTTCAGTTATATCTTTTTGGAACAGGACTTTTTCTTTGGAAAACCAGTTGGCTTTTTAACACTTTTGGATGAAGAAAGTCATTTTCCCCAGGTAAGCAAGATTTGATTTATTATTATATGCACACTAGCAACATGTTTGTTTGTTCATAACTAGGGTTTAGTCATAACTCAACGTACTGCAATATCAAATAATCTTTTAAAATTAAGAGTTCCAAGTTTGATTCAGTTTTCTCTTTCATAGAGCACCGATTTGTCGTTTACGCAAAAGCTATCGCGGAGTTTTGCAAGTCACAAAAAGATTTTCCAAGGACCACGAAGTGATGCAAGTTTAACTTTCACAGTCAATCATTATGCTGGCAAGGTTCTTTTCTTTTCTTTTTCTTTGTTGTAATTTAGTTAGCACTGTCATAAAAATAATCAAAATTCTATATTAAGTATTAACCTACTCGTCCTTAACGAACTGACCATTGATCATTCAATCACTTCAACCAATCAATGATCACCTTTTCACTGATCACCCAAACAAGGCAAGGATTAAACACTTGAAAACATCAGACACTTACTATTCTCCCGATCTGTTGATCAAATCCAGTTATCATTAACCCTGACGAGTTTTGGAGTCATCTGCCTAGCAAGTACGAAATATCATATCCTAAAACAGGAAAACTTGCAATCTACATTTTGATAATGTGATCCCACTACACAATAGAAACTTTTCTAGGGTTGTTCCTGGTTGCAGCTTTTTTTATTTTGTAGGTTCAATATACCAGTGATGGTTTCTTGGAAAAAAACAAAGATGCTATTCCACCTGGGATGGTACAGTTACTGCAGAAGAGTGATAACAAATTGGTTTCTCAAATCTTTTCTGGTAGGCCTACTTTATTAATTGCTCTTCATTTTTGCTACTGATGATTGAGATGTCTTTCTTCATTTTGATGTTTAAAATGGCCGACCCCGAGGAACTTTTCGCTTTGCAGAGGGATAAAACTCGTTGCCTTCATTGCGTATTATACAGAGAGATAAAACATTATACATTTTCTCATTCATGTTTTATCTTTATTCGTTTAGCAACAATCACTAGAACAGGAACATTGGCTCTTCAGGGCAGATGTACCCTAAAAGGCAAAGATAGTAAACAGACAAGGGTAAGCATTTTGTCATTTGCTTTGATAACCTTGTCCGCAAGTTTAGAAGCAAAGGTTACGATATTAGCTTTTGCGTTCGCCTAAGGCATCATATTCTGACGCAACCTAAGACACCCGATCAGCCCTGACTGAAACATGAATGAATTTGATCGTTACTAGTTACTAAAACATATGAGAAAGGGAAACCTTCATTCTAAATGATCCTTTTTACTACAGAAGTTGAGTGCATCAAGACAGAAATTTATGGCAAACAAAAAAGCAACGACAATCGGAACTCAGTTCAAGGTATGGTATAGTGTGCAAATTTTTACTCGGCATCCTGTTAGATTCATTTCTGTTTTAACTGTAGCCAGCTCCTTTATAGACAGTGCTTTATGGCTTATCGAATTTCAATAAAAATTAGAGAAGGGATGATATAATATTATGGAAAAGTTCTGTAAGGAAGAAGAATATAATGTTTTAGAAATTTCCAAGTTTACCCCGACTAGAAATTATTTATAAAAATAAGGCCTGCATGTGTATGAATGCTTTATTCGTAAAATCGCGGTATTTATACATCAAGGTATGGGTTACAATGCTGCCATAATTTTCACGACGTTTTTTATTTCACCCAAAATTGCCCTTTGTAGTCCAGATGGCTCTGATGCTAAGATGATACCCCCACTCCCCCTCATTACATTTCTAATCGCTGTTAAGTTTGCAAAAAGATTCCTTTGTGATATCACAGTACTGTTAACGAGCAATAACATCTTGTTTTGCAGAACTCTTTGTCTGTGCTTATGGAAAAGCTGAATGCAGCTGCTCCCCACTTTATTCGATGTATCAAACCAAATGCCGAAAAGGTATACGATTGTAGAAGAATAAGAATTTGGTTCTCAGAAGGCCGATGATGTTGAATAAACTCTTAATGTTGAATTAAAGCCAAAAGGGCCGTTTGCAGCTTTCAATTTTTTGTGGGATCATATGCCTTTTTTTCCAGACTGGGTTAATCTTAATTATTTCAAATAACTCACCCAATTTATGCATGCAGCTACTTATTATAAAGGTTTCTGTTTGCTGTTCTGCTTTTTATTGTTTTAGCCCTTAAAGATAGGGCCACTATTCTGTGAAAGGGCTGTACAGACTGTGGTTTGTACTCGAGAATAACACAGTTCTACGTCAGGTGCAAAACGTAGGCAACTGCTGTTTGCAAAACAAGCTATTAACCAGGTTCCTCGTATGTTTTTTAAAAAAGGTGAGAAAAACAGCTAGCTAAAACAACAAATTCGACGCGGGACAATGCAATACAGATTGCAGAACAAAAACTATAAACAAGGAATAAACCAACGAGGTCTCTTTGTTAAGAAATCCGTTTTTAATTTTTAATAAGTAATCCGAATAAAATTTTTCATTTTGTATTGATAATTTCCCAATTTAAGCAGTGAGTGGAAGTATTATTTTAACATTACCAGTCGCAGGAAACACTTGTTCCACAGCATATTAACATTGCTCCCTGGTCATTTCTTTAATTTTCTAGTACTGGAATTTATTTTTCGTAAGTCATATTTCCCATATTTTCAGGTTCCATCTAAATTCGATTTCCTGTATGTCAGAAGGCAGGTAAAAATGTCTACTTTCTACAGCAATAAGATTATACGCAAATTGTGTTGTGTATTGTATACAGTAAACCCGTATAAAAGAACCCCACTTTACAGACCTTTAGGCTACATAGAGACATTTTAGGCCACTTATTCTAATGATTGAGAATAGTTTTAATTTTTTGTCAGTGTAGATATCAGTAGTTCAACACACAAACAAAATGTTTCAGTGTAGATAAATCCCAAAAACACGGCTTGAAGTTTGCTGAGTTTGCTATTCAAAAGTGCAATTAGATTTATAAAAGCCTTAAAGAACTAAAAGATGCTTATTCATTCAGAACCTCATTAGGGTAAATTTAAAAAAATTAAGATTCTTTTATTTTGGTTTCCACTTCATGAAATGCAGGGATTTGAAGATTTTATATTCTTTAAATATGGAAAATAGGGCAGTGATATAATATTTTTTATTAAAGACGGGCTTTCTACCGTCTTCTCTGCACACACTTTCCCTGATCATTTCCTAAATGCCTCCCTTAGTTGAACTACACAGGGATTCTTGAGACAACCAAGATTCGCAAAGATGGTTATTCTGTCAGAGTTCCATTTCAAGACTTTGTTACCAGGTTAGTTTTTGTTGTTGTTTTATCTCTATCTAGAGTAGTGATTATAGCTTATCTTTTTGTACTATACTGCTTAAAGTTAAAAAAACTCAAGAAAATTTTGAAACAAACAACACTCAAAACACCTTTTTCTGTAATTTGTTTCTACATTAACCATTAACATCCAAGAATTTTGGGAAAACTTCGAAATTTCTAAGAAATTTCATGCAACCAATTTTGATAGACTTTTTAAAAATCTTGACATCCAAATGAGGGCTTTTACCGGTTGAATAGTTACGCATTCGATGTAGCCACAGCTCAGAGTGTAAGGTAGCTGCCAGGGGGGTGTTAACCCCTTTCCTTCATAATGAAATATTTTTCGTTAGCTGTCTTTAATGTCAGTGTGAACTTACTTATTTTCGACAGATAAACTAAGCATTAACGTATTTTTAAATATCAATTTAGCTACTAACAGATACCATAAGTATGTTGACAACCGAATTTTTATCAGGTACAAAGTTATATCACTTGATCTTGGTTTGCTTCCAACTTCTCAATCCTGTGCATGGATCCTTCACATGGCAAAGATGACACACTGGAAAATAGGGTAGACCCATTTTCTTTAGTAGTTGCTATTGCAGTTATAAGACGGTTTACCAGCAACCTCGCCACCAGTGGCGGGTACTTGGGGGGGAGGCGAGGGGGCCACCGCCCCCAATACTTTAGAGGACAATGGTCTTGTGTTCTAAAACAATGGGAAATTTGACGTCATCTCATTAAAACAATTGGCTTGCCCCCCCCCCCAATATTTGACCAAGTGTCCGCCCTGCTCGCCATTTTTTCCTGTTAAAACAAATATCATCTTAGGCCTACAGACGATTTTTATATAGGCAAACTATATCGGATAGCTTTTTCAAAGAAAGTGCATTAAAGCAGTCGATAGATTTGAAAAACGGTCAAAATTGTCCACGCGATAAGCGCAATACACTCACGCGTCTACTGATTGGCCAATAGTTGATTCAAACATGGCTTTAGTCACTTCTGTTTTGTCGATTGCCTTTAAAACCTATTCTTCGGGATTATTTTTTGTTTTTTGTTTTTTTTTTGTGGCACTGTTTCTTTACTTTTATGGCATGCTTGATAGTCCCAGACCAGTCATCAATATACCAAGAGGTTTTATTAAAATTTTTTTATTAAGTTGTCTTTTCCTTTGTTTTTAGACATACCAAAGTGTTTTTGAAATACTATCATCTTGATGTGCTGTCGGAATACATTCAGACTCTTGACAAAAATGCTGTTCAAATTCAAAGAGGTTTGTTTGTTGATTTGCCATGTTTCGGATTGCTCAAAATGTTCCATACGACGTTGTCTTTTTAATTTGGTATTTTCATTGAATTATCTCTAGTAAAAATTCTGATTCACCTTTGTTTCGATTTTGTTCGCCTCACCTTCTTGCCAACACAGGCTAGATTTTCACTGTCTGCCCACAACTGGCCTAGGCTCACTCTGGGGGGGGGAGGGGGGCTAGTTAAACTAAAATTCGGGGGTAAGCCTGCTCTGGGTCCAACACAGATTAGCGTTACCGCCATTTAATGTGGACCAAACTTAAGGGTGACCCTTTGTTAATGCACTATTGTTGATGACAGCGTATCATTTATGTAGGCCTAAACCTAATTCCATTTAAAGAAGCTTCTGACCCTGGCACATCTTTGACAGCTCAAGTGAGCCGAGCTAGCCTTTTTGTATGGAGCTGGCATTGCTAGAATTGCCGCCTTTCCATCTTACGAAATGTAAAATTATGTGTGAAATTCTTAGATATGTTCTTAGAAATTCTTTGATAAGTCTTTATACTCTTTGAGCTATGGTAACATAAGGAAAGATTTTTAAAAGTTTGCAGCTCACAAGAAATTTCTAGGTTATGATAGGCGTGATGGCTCTTGCATCCGATTTCTTAGCATTTTTGGTTTGAATTCTTGTTTATGTATTTCATCATTCATTTTAATTATTTTCTAGTAAAATTTAAAAGTTAAAGCACTGTTAGACTGAACCATTTGAATTGCATTGTTTTTTGACTAAGGATTTTCAATATTACGCCGCAGCCTCTTATACTTATTTTCTAGGCATTTTTTATGTTTTGGATTACAGCATTTTATTCCTTTTTAGTTGTTAGGGGATTTTTGGATAGAAGGAGGGTGCGCAAAACTAGACTGGCTGCTGCGAAGGAGGCACAAACTGTTTCAAGTTTTTTAAGTCACATCGAAAGAATCGGGAATTTCTTTGCGAAAAGGGCATCATCGATGGATAAGATTCCAATTAGTGAGTGCTACTATTGCATATGATCGTTTTCATCTTTTTTCTCCTATCAAATGCCCTATTGAAATTCAAATTTTTAAATGCAGATAAGGATTTCTAAACTTTTATATAATTTCCTGAATCTTCAGGATTGCGTTATTACACTCCCCTCACGGACTGTTTCAGGCCTGTTTTAGGCAGCCTTTCCACTTACCCGGCCTAAAACAAGAACGGGTTAGAAGATATCTGTTTTTGCGTTGCGTTATCACTATCCAGCGGGTTTTGCCTATAGTTTTGCCACAGGGTCTCCGAAACCTCTCAGTGATCCCGACTAAAATTCCAATTATGCCTTGGCTAGTTTGCTCAAACTTTTTGTACTTCTAATTTTTGTAGATTGCATGCCTTCGCCTTCCTCTTTTGAACCTGAAGACGAATACTTCCCGCTCCCACCCTCCAGCATGATGAGCCATAAAGAAAACGTTGTCATTCGGCCTTTGAGACAACCATCAGTTGAAGAAACAGTAGAAAGAGAAGAAGACGGAGATAATTTAGAGGTTGAAGAAGACACTTTCAAGCCAAAACCAAAGTACGAACCAAACAGATTTGGGAGGGTTGGAACAAAGAAAGCGTAAGTGATTCTTACAACTTCGAGAAATATTTCTTAGTATTTCACCTAATGTTTTGGAGATAACATAACTTTTGTTGTGTTTATACATCAAGTGACTTTTAATACACATTTCTTGTTGTAACAATTTTCCACTAAAGGGTAGGGTGGACAAACAGTAACCGAATTGCAAATCAAGTGAACAAAATCTATTAAGGCTAAGGCACTCTAATAATCTAATTTTCTATTCCCGAAGATTATGTTTACCAAACCAACAGCTTTGTTAGTACCATGTTTTTAATTTTCTAATCAATTTGTGATGCTATCAAAGTTTACCACCATACTAGATCTGATATTTGAGCGGATTCTTACTGGCGATACTCATAGGCCATATCAACATTAGCGAAGCATTTTGTGCAGAGAACATTTTAACAAGCTTAAAAATAAATATTTGGGGTTTAAGTTGATATTTTATTGTCATGTAAGTATTTCGACTATTCAAGTAACCATATTTTTTCGCCAGATATTCATCAAAATTTACAAGTGCGATAACTTTCGCAAAACTTGAGATCGCGCGTTTGCTTATTCTGGTATTGTGCGTCGGGGTCATTGGAATAAAATAGCAAAGTTTTATCCCATTCCCCCACGGTATGTGTGATCAGATTCTTTTTAAAGGGGGGGGGGGGTTCATAAGGCCAGAAAACGTACTTCTGGAAGAATTTCTCGCAACCTTATTGGTTCAGTTCGAAGACGATTCCCGTGGCGGTGATTCATTTCCTAGCCAATCAAGATTTGCCGCATATGCCCAAAAGCTTTTAAAGTAAGACGGTTTAGAAAGCTGAGACCATTATTTCATATCCTATCATGAATATTTAACCACGTTACCCTATCAGCTAGCATAAATAAATACCGAGAAATATTTAAAAACCTGGTGATTTGCTCATCCTAAGCCCACAACCCCACATCATCCCGAATGATGGCACTCAACAGGCCCAAACCGGTCCAGAGACAGACCTAATCAAGACTCATAAAGCACCACCCTTCTGAACATTACGAAGCCAGAGTGACCAAGAATGCATTCACTCTGGGACCTCCGAGTAAATTTATGTTGCAAATTGTCCATGAATGAGGAAAGTTTCCATGAGTGATTTTGTGTTTGGTCGGTTTTATTTTTGTTTTCTCTTATCTTAAGTTATTTTGTATTTTAGACCTTTTAGCCAGTTTTCTTTCTCACAGAGCAGCGCGTTGGTTCCAGGAAACCCAGATACCCAGAGGTGCTGTCAATGGATCAACGGGCAGTCCTGATGTTTGGTTTCATGGCTTGATACCAAGAAGGTATTTTCATATTTCTGTTGCATTACGTTGAAACCTGTTTTGTGAGGCTTTTAAACATAGTCATACCCTTAAATCTTTTATCTAAGGAATCTGCTAGTAAACACAGATCAGCACCTTTTTTCCTGATTTCAAATTGCAACACAATACCCACTTGACCATTGTATCAGCGAACATTTTAATCAAGGCAAAGAGAACTAGTGGACATGGTCCCCCTTCTTGAGCATGGCGCCCTTCTTGGGCATGGTGCCCCCCTCAAGCATTTTTCCCTCCTGGGTTATATGTCAATGGTCCAATTTCTTCCTCAATCAACTTTATAACAATTGTACCTTTACAGTAAAATTTGATTATAATGTCTTATGATTCAGTTGTAGAAGCATAAGATAATTTCAACTGTCTCGGTGCTGGCGCAATTCTTCTAAGATTTCTCTTGGCAAGAATCTATTGTTTTTCTCCGTTTTAGATTATGCAATTATCGCAAAAGCACTCTTTCTCATTTAAGGCATTCATAGAAAACATTTTCAAAGCTCTGTCAAATGCTTTCAAATCTCTACTTTCTCACTATAGGGAAGCTGAGCGGCTACTTGAAGATAAGCAAAATGGTTGTTTCTTAATTCGAGTCAGTGAAACGAAATTTGGCTACTCGTTGTCGTTCAAGTAGGTTATGTTCATTTTTTAAACAACATCCTGTGGTTGTTATCAAATGTGTGTTACCTCTCCCCCCTTCCCTCAATAAACAATTTTAAAATACACCTGAGCCATTATAATTTCTTGCAGACTACATTCAAATAGTGTGTTTTTATAGAGAATAGTTCAAAATTGCTTGAAAAGAGCAAGGGAAAACTGCTAATGTGAATTACATAAATACTCTTGGTGTTCAAAGGCTTGAAAGGAATTGTACATTGCACTGATGCTTGCTATTTTAGTTTGAAATACCATTGTACAAAGTATGTTCTAAAAATGCCCTTTTATTCGACCATCTGTCATATTTGCTACCATAGTATCTCCTGTTCCAGCAGGAGGGAGGAGGAGGGAAGGGGGAGGGGGTGCCGAGTAGCTCTATAGAAAATGAATACCATAGTTATTAATTTTTGTAGCCCTATTTTCAAGATTTCTCTATTTTTAGGACACCTATCCGATGCAAGCACTTTTTTATCGAGCAAACTCGATCTAACAAATACGTCATCGTTGGTTTGCCGAAAGCTTTTGTTAGCCTCCACGACCTCATTGCCCATTACAGTAAGGTATACAAAACATCACATTTGCAACATAGCTACTTCTTTTCAGTCAATTATTTGTTGATTTTGAGTTTCTATAACATAAATCTTTAACCTCAACAAACTTTCTATATTATGTGTGATAAGATGCTTTCGAGGCCTCGCTTTAGGCGATTCGAAGATAGATTGAGACAATTTGTATTCAACCTTTAAGGGAGAGACTTCACAAGGAGTATATAAACATTATGACTCATCATTAAATTAGGAATGAGTTTAAAGGCAATCTGTCACGACGTTGATTGATTATATGAACAAAGGGATTTTTTATTGTTTCCAGTCCCCCTTTAATTTATCGCATTGTAAAAAATATGGCGGAGCGCTGGAATCGTGTTTAGGCTATTGTTCCAGCTATTGTTCTCGTTAACCAATTCACAACGAGACAGATTGCCTTTAAGAATGATAAAATATCCTAACTTCTGGATGAGCTCTCCACTGAAAACCAAATAAACCAGAGAAATCTCAATCAACTGTCTCAGAATACGTTAAAAATACCCGGATATCTTTATTCAATGTAAATTTTTTATGTGAATTTATAAGTTATTATAATAATTGTACTGAGCTTTTGTATTACTTTTCAGAGGGTAATGTTGTGTTTAATTATGTCATATATTTATATATATGTCATAATTATGTCATATGTAATTTCATAGGTGGAAATAAACGATGATGGAGATGTTCTCACTGTTCCCTGTGGTCAGGTTAGTGTATTATAAGGAAACACTTTAACTATCTAGACAAATAGCTCTAATGTGTAACTAGCTTGCAAGTCAGAACTGTGAAATCATGATTGTTGTTACTGTATTTTGTCAAGCTGAACAGCTTTAATTTTAATCAAATGAATCAAAAGTTAAATCGCATTGCTTTAGTAACGGTCTTAATTTTTTTTTCTTTTTGTGTTGGCTCCAGTTAAAAGCAGGTAAATAAATTGAATAATGAGCAAAGAAATGAATAATTTGTGCTTTAACCATCAGAAACTTTTTAGACTTTTATTCTTACTTCATCACACATATTTGTTTCGTCTGCCTTTTGTAAGTGATTATTTAGTAAATACTACCTTCTGTTTGAATACTTGCTGCTGTGAATTTGTATGAGTTTTTATGCTCAAATTATTTATCAAAAAAGAGTTTGTCATCTTTCTTCAGCTCTTTACCACATATGACATTTATTTCTCTGTAATATGGCTTTATAAAATGGTTTGAAAATTGTTTAAGCAGCAAAGCCACTCTCCTGACTATGAAGACTTGTATGCAGAGTTGGCAAGTGTCATCAATAAGAAAAAGGTACACTTTTATTCATCTCTTTGTATTGTTTTAGAAAACTCTATGCTCCTAGGAAGATGAGAATCTGCACAAACTCTTGTTAGTGTGCTCTTGGTATTGGCTTCAGAGAATTTTTCTGTTTGAAGCAGAAAATCGATTGGGTTTTATGAAAACTTCACTGAAGTTGTTGTTGATCAATTTGTCTTTGAATTGATAACATTGTTTGACTTTAAACATTGAGTCCCAGGTGCAAAACCCTATTAATCATCTGACCTAGTTACCTTAGCTTCTAAAATAAATATTTCAAGAATCTTCTAATAATGCGACAATTCTAAAATAGTTTTGGAACAGTTTATTTTAATCTAAATGGTTTTCTGATAATGCGACAGCTTAGGTTAAGTGTGGTGACAAAACGAGTAAGGATAAAGTAAAAACCCGCTTATAAAAACCTGGATTTTCAAAAACCTGTTAGGCTAAAATTTCAAATATAGGCCTCCTCAACATAGGAACCTTTTCAGGCTAAAATTTCAAATTAGATTCTTAACAGTGGAGCTGCTGTAAAGGTTTCTAGGTCGAAACTGTTGAATTAAGTATCATTTTCTGCCTATATCTTTGAAGCAAAGCAATTTTTCTTTGAAGCCTGAGAACAATACTGTGTCTATTTTTTCCATAATTCCAATAAATTTGCAAAGAACGAAATTTTAATTTTTATTTATTTCAAGTATTCTGCATATACAGTAAACCTTTTCTTTTAAATGACACTTTTTAGGATGAGAACTTTGGCTTGGTTCCAGTCGACGAACTACCGCCACCAATACCCCTCAAATCACGAGAAATTGAATTGAACAGAACGCTGTCTAATGAGCTGCCTCCGCCTGTGCCTTTGAGAGCTAAAGAGCGATTGCAACACAGAAAAAGTCACGAAGAAATTGATTTGCTACCACCACCCATCCCAGAGAGAGCTGGAAGGAACATGAAAAGGTAGACATTGCCATTTTACGTATTTATGTTTATTTATGAATATTTATAGTTATTTATGTTATTTGCCCTAGGCTCGCTGCAATTTGTTATTTGTATATTTTGATCGTCGTTCATGTCTGTAGCTTAAATTTTTGTATCAAATATATCAAAGATATACGTAAACATAGTTCTGCGTGTTTAAATAGTCTGCACGAGTAAAATAAACGTTTTCATTTTGTTAATTTTTGTGAAGCTTTGTGTCCCAGCGCTATTTGAGAATAGTAATTACAACTTTGAATTAAATAATTAATTATAAGACTAGCAAAAGCAAATTGAAAATCGTAGACATATTTATTCACCTTTTGAAAGTAAACTTGCCTGCTCAGTCTAAGGTTTCTACTGGTTACCTTTAGAAATTCATTTGTAACTCTGTGTGTTTTACTTTAATTGAATCCATTATAGTTTTTGTATGCTAAATCTTGGCGTAGGAGGTGTATAAAACTGTTTGCTCTGAAGCGGGAACTTTTCAGTTGCAAATTTGTTTAGAAACTTTTGATACACGAACACCGGAAATAGTAAGAACGGATTTAGGGGGGGGTGTAGGGGATGCAACACCCCTCAATATTTCTGCATCCTTCTGTGAATTTTGCTTCTGTTCGGTAAGCATCATTTTGTCGTAGTCAGTAGAAACAAGATAACACCAATATTTTATTTTATTTATCTTGTCTTTCTTACCTTAAAGTTAGGAACTGAATTTTTAAAATGGGCGTTTCCGACATTTTATAGTGACTTGAAGGGTGTGGCACCAAATCCAATTACTGTCAACCCCCCCCCTCCCCCTCTCCCCCTCCCAATCATTTTTTCTTAGATCCGTCTATGTCCTGCACCGACCATTGACCGGTCTCAGGCCACGGTCAATGGTCTTTTGTAGCAAAATGATGACCAAAGTCTTTCTAGGAAGAACATAGCTTGATAACTCCACTGGATACCCCGTCCACATTATAAAAGTTTACGCAAAGATATCAAGGCAATGCATTCTATTTTTTCTTTAAAGACTTTTTTAGATGTTTTTATATTCATTTTGTACTTCTTGTTTGTTAGTGTATTAAGTCTTTTGTAGTCATTACTAAAATGAAAGCGAAATTGAACTGTATCATTAATTGAGCTTATATGTCTTAGATAAGGTATTTATAGATGAGACCGGTATGTATGTTATAAATGGTTATTTGAAATTAGCACTAGCCCAAGTAGAACTATTTGTTATAAGAGTAATTTTGTCTTAATCAACTTTATTTTGAAAGGTACAGACAAAATGCAGGGGTATGTTCTCGATGTAAACTTAGGTAATCGCGTTAGTAAAGGGTTGAGAGAAAAATTATGATAATAATAATAATAATAATAATGGTATAAGGAGGGGACAGCGACAGAATATTTTTCTGAAAGTTCTGTACAGGCTCCTTAGTGACATCGACTTCGTACCTTTTTAACCACTGAGGTTGTTTTTGTATGCAAATTATCATTGGGCTCAGTCATATGTCCAAGTCTTTCCAGCTTTTAGGAATCTAGATGCCGCTTCGAAGCTTCATAGCTAATTTTGAAGTAGCCTTTATAGATACTCCAATCTATGCTGTAAAAACCCGTTTAAAGAACCTGATTCTGTAGCAGGATGGATTCTATACTTTGACATAATGGCGCTCATTGAAGGCACCCAGCCTGCAGTTTCTTGTATTCAGGTTGTTACTTTATCTCAGTTTTTCACCTTAAAGTTGTAAACATAGCACCCCTTCCTATCCTGCATATAAACCGACCTTCAGTTTCAACTCTTCTGTTTTCTCATCCACCATCTATCTAAGTTTTACCAGTCACTACAGAAAAGATATTAATACTCAACGAAAGCTTAATATTTTGCTGTATATTTAATAAACTTACAAGTATTATTCTATTTCACGATGACTGAAATAAGCAGAAAATCGGAGAGCTGTTGTGAATTTTAAACATTGCAAAGCTTGTAAATAATTCTTTATGCAATTGGGATTTTCGTTAGATAGATAAATATGTTTGATGTTGGATTTTACACACATGAATACTTTTGCATCCTGCGTTTTTCCTTCATCTTTGCTTCGTGATACTTGCTCACTAAGCTTTGCCTTCGGCGAATTAAGTTAATGAAAATTAGGAGCCTGGAGTAAGAAATTTGCAAAGCCAACTCAACGTATTTCAGTGGAATTGTCTTCTACCGCTGCCATTCTCTACGTCCACCATCTAGCTAACTGAGGGATGGGGAACTACTGTCTCTAGTGTCACGTGGATGCGAGTGTCACGAAAAAATATTCCTTGACTGTGAATCAACAGGAATTCCACTCAAAGCTGCTATGCTCATGGGACTAAAAATTTCACGAGGGTAGTCTTCTTTCTTTCAAATGATGCAAGAGCAGCGAGTGTAAACTCAAAGGTCATGTCGTAAAGCATCCTCTAGAGAATTTACGATACCCAAATGCAAAACGCACGTGAGACAGTTTTAAGAATTGACGGTGAGTACTCTGTCGAGCATGGACTGCCATGCCTCTTCAAAGTTCATAGAGAATGCGGAATTTATAACATTTGTTGGTTGAGGGATATACGTTTGGTAAGATCTAACTTCTTTCGCTTATAATTCTGCATTTTCTGATAGTGATCATGTTAGAATACTGACCTCTAACATTGAGTTCACGATATCTATGTTGTAAAGTCTTACCTTGAAGTGCCTTGCCTAGGAGACTATTTTCGAAATAAACTTTATACTTTATATGAGGCGCTGGAGAAACGAACGAAAACTTTCCAGGCGCGAAGTTATTGCAGAGTTCAGAAAACATGTCAACATTTCCCTGCATGAACGTTGGTCCTTCTCGCCTTCCGCAAGTTAAGTTTTCCTTGCATCTTTTGAATAGAAGTTTCTTAGAAATACAATTCAAGTAAAATCATATATGGTTTAGTATTAATGCGGTAAACTCCTTTCCATTTTTAGAATTTTATTAATTTATGCCTTGGCTTTCCTCAAAGCTACTTCATAACGTTCCTCCGGCCCACACCTGTGGAACCGTAATGTTTTCTGAACTCTGCTTTCCAGTGTCCTAGGTGTTTAGGCAAACATGAGTTATTTAAACAGATTATTCGATACATTATGTTGCATTTCAATTCCTACTAAGTTCGTAAAAGAAAGTATCCATCAGGGCATTCGAAAAGATTGATTTCTTATATCAAGATGTTACTCCCGGTTCACCAAACGCCATTTTGCGAAATCGGCATCACAGGGAGTCCACACTGCAAAATATCCCAACTGCTGCTTCCTCCCACGTTCTTCTTTTACATCAATTTTAGCGTCATTGCGTGAAATTCTTTGCACAAAATTTTCCAACTCCTTTTTGCCCATCTTCTTTCCTTTATACCGAGAACAATTATCCCGTTTTAGTTGCTCGTCCTCGGGGTCGACATGAGATTTTGGTCTGGATAATCTCTCGGTAAGTTGGCTCATTTCATTCTTTGTAATGTAAACTTTACCATGCATTGTTGGCTGAGAAATATCTTCATTGCTCTCTTTACGGTTGCGAATTCTGGCTTGAGTGAGCCTCTGTACCAATCTATCTACCTCATTTTCGTCGAATTTTCTTTCTTCGTTGCTGTTAGGCTCATGCTCCTGCTCAAACCCAAACAAATTGTCATGCTCTTCAATATCTTTCTTGGGTTCCTCCTGCTTTGGGGTTGCGGACAGTTGCCGCACAATCCGTTCAGCTTCGGTCGGAGTCACACGTTTGGCAACAAACATTCTTCGTTGTTCTGCTTCTTCCACATACTTTTCGTTCCATCTTTCAGGAACTTTGCTCAATCTCTGTGCAAGCATCTGCTCTTGCAATGGCGACAACAGGTGAGGCTGATAAGTTTTCGGCAGTCGTAATGGCCTTGGGAGTCTAGATTTTCTTTGCTTTAGCTTGTTATACCTCATACCAGGTAAAGTAAAAGAATCATTCAGTAAAGCCGAATTTGTAGTAGATTTAAGAGAAGCGTCTTTACTTTTGTCTTGACTGAAAATCGAATTTTGACTCCGAGAGCGCTTGGCTGTTTCCAAACTGCACGTTGTTTTCGCTGCCATATTGTGATAATCCTTTGTTTTGAAAATAACTAGCTCCTGTAAAGGTTTTCGTTCCCCTTCTGTTCTTTTACAAAAAAAGCTCTACATCTTCACAGTAGTCAGATCATTCACAACACAACTTCTTGATAAATTCAGCTTTTCACTGTCATCCTACTTCTTTTGTTTGACCACAAATCAGAACTTTCTCGTTTCCCGCTGAAAAATAATCGAGATATACCACTTTCCACCACCAAATATCGTATAAATATCTCTAATTTGTCTCAGTGAATTCGCCTTCTGATAATCCAAGTCAAAAATTCGCTAAAACTGCTTGTGATTTGGGTCACACCATTTAGCAACGTAATCTCGTCTCGACCTAAATTCGCACAACCTCTGACCAATATTGTCGTAAATCGCATTTATCTTTTGAAAACAAGACTCTTTTAAATGGTTGACTAAAGCAGTGGTTTCGTTGGCTTCTCTGTTGGTCATTGCCTTTAGCACAAAAATTTCATTGTAGGGCTGCTTCAATTTGAATAAAGATTCGTATCTATTTTGGTTGTTACTAAAACATTTTCTGTAAAAACAGCATTCCACTCTCAACCTCCGCTACAACATTTGACGTCATGCTGTTGCAATACTGCTTCACAGTTTTATCAACCTTTGCTCAAAGTATGGACCAATCTTGGAAGATATTGCAGAACTTAGGCATAAACCTTTAGCGCATCATCTTATCAATACTGCAAGATGTTCCATACGCGTCAGATTTGCTGATTTAGCTTATAAAAATTTAATTATAAATCATTGTATACCGCCAACTTGCTCTCATTTACAGCAAGGACAATGCTTTGGCGTGTTTTCCATGAAAACGAGCATCGACATCTGCAATTGACAATGTCTTTCCCTTGTTTGCCCACTGTCTTAAAACGTAATGTGTGCGTAACTCAATATGTCTTCTTGCAAGTTTCTTTTGGATTTCCCGTTCGCCCCGTCGATTGAATGTTTACCGACAAATTCCTTTGAACAACCTTATGTCTGATAGCATGGATATGAACCGTATACAGACAAAATGTGGAAGTTTGAGCTTTTGTACACGGATTAAATCATCCATGTCATTGAAAGTAAGATTCGTAGTCGAATATTTTCCAGTACAAGGCCAAACCCTAGGAGGATACTGAGGGGCGGAGAGACAACTTTGTGTTTCTACAAAATTTGACAAGAAAAAGAATATGGGAGGGGTATTGTTTTGGAAAATTTTTTTGTGAAACGATTCCATGATATTAAAATTGACTTTATTAAAAGAATGATAAAAGGGCGTTATATGACAGTGAAAATGACATGGTCTTAATTCTTTATTTTGTCTCCAAGTGGCTGACAACACCAAGCGTTTGGCTCCACCAAGCGTTTGGCTCCACCAAGCGTTTGGCTCCACCAAGCGGCTGGCACCAGTACCTTGCCCCTTCAAAAGCATCCACTGGTAGGGCCAAAAATCAAGGAGAAGCAAAGAGAATGCATATCTACAAATATCTTTATTACTGTTTCAAGGTCTCTTTTAAATATCATAGGCAAATTATATTATCGATCATACATGCAACTTTTTCTAAAGAAAGGAGAGATAAATAACAGAAAGTTGGCAAGGTAAAGAAACATAGGAAAGGAAGGGGAAGCGGTGGAGAAAATAAAAGACAGCAAAATAGAAATGGTTGAAAAGGACCAATATGGGTAAAAATAGAAGAGAAAGTATGAGAAAAAAAGAAAAGAAGATCGACGGTTAAAATATATGGAAGTCAACAAACTATAAACAGAGGTAAATAAACCAAATTATTGCAAAAGGAGTTGCAAAAGTTGATGTACTTATGCTGAAACTTCACACGAATTTACCAGTTGCTACTAGTGAATAAAATATTCAATTTTTTATCCGGATTCTGCGACCTAATTGCTAAAATTATTTATACCTGAAACGGTTTTCCCAATTTTGTATCAAAGTTAGATGCTGGAACTTAACTGCAATGGCATGATGGATTCGGTGATTTGCTCTGTTTGGTTACGTCGATCTCTAGATCTCTAGGGTTTCCCTAGGATAACCCCCCCCCCTAATCGCCCTTTCTTTACAAATCGAATTGAAGTGAGTGCCAAAGTAGCCGTGGGTACAAACATAGAAACAATGCCTGCATGCTACAGCAGCCAAAGAGCATGTCGTAAACAAGCAATGTAGGAAAACTGAAAAGACACCTCGGAAGAAAGAATTATTTGAACTCGTTTGCAGTAAGGTAAAGTTCGACCATTACAATGAGAGATTTCATCGAAAATCTTCTACTCTCAACAAGCATGCAAAATTTGTTTCTTTCAAAAAACATGCAATAGCTCTCTTTTTTCCCTTTTTTGTTGTAGAAAGCAAAGCTTTAGCAAAAAAACTACAAGCAAAACGATTACTACTTTAGATAATTCTTTTAGAAGAATTGAAATAACACAATTATATCAAGACAACAAAAATTATACCGATATTCTTTTTACAATAGTTATCGAGTGCGCACTGCGCTTTTCCCACCCCTTTCAATCAAACAACAAAGTCTAAACAAATGCTCGCTGAATCCCTAACTAAGACAATGTCAAATTCTCGTATAAATGTCAGCAAACCGAAGACAGCCAAGTCACGAATTATCTCCACCATCTTCACGGCATATCGCTGAGAGTATTGCTCCAGGAAGGAACAGAAAAATCGTCATCACGATAAAATATGCCGATAAAATCTACATTTACACTAACAAATCATCGTGAACCGTTGCTGGGAATTTTCACCATTCAGATTCACCATTTGCTTTATGAAATACATAATCTTTTGATTTCAAGTTCATAATCCCGTCCTTCAGGTAAAATTTCCATTTATTCTTGCTTCTGGCAATCTGAAATAAGAAAACAGAAAATGTATATTTTTAGCGACAAGCTGAGGAGCCAGGAACACAGGCCATTAAACTTTTGCAACCTCTCTCTGAATTGAATGACCATGATAACGAGACTCGTCACTTGATAATGATGATGCTTCTTGTATGACAGATTCTAATGGACTCGTGTACTCTAGGGCATACTCTCTCGTGGGTCATGGTATGCCAACCACATATTATCTCCATTATTGTTATACATTATATACAAAAGAGGCGCTACGATAAGACATCAGAAAAACATTTCTTAGAATAATAGGGTCTAGGCCATATTATCTAAGAATAATATAATGTGAAAAATAGTTGAATCTATGCAAAATATGGGCGAAAATATGGTAAAGATATGGGCGAAAAGACACTACCTCCCTTCTTATCTAATCACTGTAACATTGTCTTGATTCTAAACTACATAAACCAAGACAAAGCAGCAGTAATACTTATTTCAGATTTGACAAGTTAACTAGGTCTACATATTGCAGCTGGCGTCAGGCAGTATCTTGATCTAACTCACAGAAACAATTGTAATTGCCACAAACACAAACTAAACACTTTGCAAGGACGAACAACTTACTCCTAGGAGTTCTGACTATTAACTTATTCCTAGGACGAGTAACTTATTCCTAGTAGTTCTGACTATTTTGAAAATTGCAGGAACATAACATACCTTATCATACTGGCATACAACGACATTATCTGTATCAAAGAGCTCAGCTGGATCCTCGTCTGAAATATCGTCATCTGTGTTGAGGGCCTCATCCTGCTGAAATAAATTTATTCTTTCGATTGTTACAAAAAATTCTTACATTCTTCAGACTAACAAAAACAGTTCTTTACAAACAGCCTAAAAATAATGACAGTTCTATACATAAAAAGAGATTTCACCCTAGTAGCAACTTGCTTATAAACAAAGTTTGGGTATCGAGGAAAGAAATCAAAATAACTTTTATAATTGGCTGAAAAAATAGAACGAAAATTTTCATACAGTTTTATTTCATTTTACACTGGAACGTAGAGTAGAACCCAAAGAATGTAACATTAAACTTTTTTACAAAATTTTCTCTACCTGAAAACTTAGGCCCAAAGAAAATTTCTAATACGCTTATTTTCAAGTTAACAGCTCATCCCCTTTGCATCAAAAACTATGCTTCGCTCTATCAAAACCTGATCGATGGCAAGTAATTGTTTTGAAAAAAGGTGGTTACTTCTTTAAAAACAACGAGGAGTTTTATCTAAAACAACTGACCTCATCTCCATCAATTGCCTCGCTGTCGTTTTCGTTCCTTGATTCAACTTTGATTGGATACTGATCGAAGTCATCATAATTATCATCATCATCACTGCTGCTGTCGCCTGCACCATCAACTTGAATAATTTGCTAAAACACAGCCGTAAATCGATACTCTTAATAACACAATACTTCCTGCTAAAACTCAGACCCCCTGGTCACATGAATATATTGTCCGAGTAAAATGTAATAACTTCCTTGCACTTCTACCTCGAAAACATTTGAAAGATCACTCGAAAACAATAATGAGGTGACTCGCAATGCAAACGCTTGAAAACGCTTTTCAGTTCTGATTATTTTTGAAGACGGAACTTTTACTTGAAGACGTAAAACTATGATTCGTTTGCATTTGGATGAAACTTTTATAACGCAGTTTTATAAAAACGTGTCAGGGTCTGGTGTTGAAAATAAATTTCTTGTAAATTGGTCATAAGGTAATTAAGAATAATGAAAGTAAGTGGAAGAACCCTATCTTTGTCTCTCTGATCTTTAATATATTGAAATACTAACCCTCTGTGTTCCAATTTGATAATCCAAAATCCTTTCCTTAAGCAATACTCAAACTCAAACTAAATAAATTGTTACTTTAATAACCTTTTTTCAAATTTTCTCTGCAATTAAGAACCTTATAATGAAACAAAGGCAAATGCGAATCAGGAAAAACGGAAACAAAAGTAAACGGTTTATATCACAAAACATCCGTGGCAAAAGTTACGGTAGGCTGTGATGAAGCACCTATTCCTTGAGAGCATCTTATGGTGGAAATGTTCGTTGATGGAACTTTAGTACAATAAAAATGTGAATTAGTAGCAAAATTTTGGCTTGAATTTTGGAAGAGAGCTGTATAGTAATCTTTCTAACAAAAGACGAAAATATAATTTGTCCTTTACAGTTTCAGCAACTTACCTTTGATGCAAGGATTCGTTGTTGTTGCGGTGTCTGCTGTTGTGGTACTGGCTGTGTGTATATTACCCTGGGTCCTCTGCCACCGGCCGATATCCCAAAAACTGCAAATTAAGGAAAGAAGGGGAATCAACAATAACCGATAAAAAGTGTAATCATAATCTTGTAAGAATATATAGAAAAATAGAAACGAATGATAAAACAGAAACAATAAAAAAATATAACTTACCAGTAGTTGAGGGCTCTCCTTGTAAAACCTGGAACAGAATTCATAAAATTTAATTCTGAGGAAGAAGTTCAGGAAAAATAACAAGCTAATTCTCCAAAAAGGAAATTTTCAACTTTTTAAACACGAAATCTATGAAAAATTTTCCAGCAAAATTATAAAGCTGTGTTCTTGAAATAAGACTTTAGGAAAATTTTTTATGTTCACTTTCTTGAGGGCCTAAAACCTATTTACCAGAGAGAAGAAAGGTCCAAAAAGCCAATCACATACTTGTATTCCAGTATTTTGCTGTTGCTGCTGCTGCGAGCTCTGAGTATGTTCAACACGTTGAAGTTGTTTCCCATGTTGCTGTTGCTGCTGCTGAACTGCATGCTGGGAAATGATCTTTTGTTGTTGAGATTGTTGTTGTTGAATATGTTGTTGCTGTTGTTGATGTTGCTGTTGTTGCTGCTGCTGGATATGGTGTCGATGGAGTTGTTGTAGCTGTTGTTGAAGCTGGAATTGATGCTGAAGCACCTGTTGTTGTTGTTGCTGTTTGCTTTGTTGACTCTGATGGGCAAGAGAGTTTTGGATTTGCTGGACTGTGCTGGTAGCACCAGAAGACACCCCTACATCACGACTTGCTCCTTGCATTGCTAATGCTGCTTGTGCTGCTGGGGCACTCTGTTTTAGGATATTTTAATAACTTTTGCAATTAATTTGTTTTAAATTATATCATACTACTGATCAAAAACATTGTCCTGCTTTAACTTGAAAAGAACTGTCCTCCGTGGCGTTTCTAGGGGGGGATGGGGGGGGGCAGAAATTTTTTTTGCCCCTTATTTTGCCCCCCCCCAGTTTTTTCAAAAGTTTCTATTGAAAATTCAATGTCTTCTGCCGAAGCTGTTCAATCGTTTTTCACTTTGTTAGGGTTGCTCTCTTTATTTTCCTCAATGCGATCTTTACTGCATTCATTTAACAAACTAGAGGCCCTGATATGCCTTTCTTTTAACCGAGGTGGACATTTATAAAATTTTGGCTCCTTTCTAATAAGTTACCAAGTAAAAACCAAGAGTTACCAAGAGTTCTGTAGTTACGAAGAAAAATTCATTCTTCACAATCATTTAAATTCTATATTTGCTATATATTATCATGAAGATCCACCTTCTTGCGCAGGGTCAGCCCCATTGCGTCCCAGTATACCTTGGCAATCTACTATTGCTTATTGAAATTGTATGACTTGAAATTCTGTGTAACAGAATGATTTGCTTGATCTCATGGAGGTTGGATATAAGACATAACTACTATGGAAAAATTTTACCAATCAACTTCACAAAGCTAATAGACTTTTTTTTTACAAGTTTAGTTCTTCTGTTGAAAACCATGTTCATGATGCATTATTGTTAAACAGATAAAACTCAGTGGAGTAACAGAACAAAGTTACTTTTAGTCAAATAACAAACGGTCCCGAACCTTTAGAGGCCCTCAGCAACAATTTTTCTTTGTTATTTTTCCTAGGGGACACAGCTGCTCCTTACACCACTAATAAAACTATTTGGCATAATGATAACAGCCACGATAGAGCTGTACCAAGGACATACTTATCTATGGAGAGCTAAGAACCAGTGCTTTGTAGCTAGCTAATTTTGAACCACCGCGCCACCACTGCTTTACATTCTATTGGATCCCAAAGTAATAGCTAGCGTTGGCTCCTATAACTGAAAGTTTGGTCCCCGGTTAGCCCCCCCCCAGATTTCTAAGGCTAGAATCGACACTTTCTGTCCTACTACTGGAGGTTTTGCTTGAACTCCTCATTGGTGCTTATTTCAATACAATGGCCAAAGCGATAGTATTAATATGCTGGCTTAAGTGAAAGTATTCAAACTAAGGAAGAAAAATCCACCTTGAATTAGAACTCTTGATAACTTTCTTATATAATAGAATTCTCAACTTACTGTCACAATAAAACCGAAGCAATCAGAAAAATACTTTATAGTACTATAGGCTCAGATGCAAAACATACCATACAGGGAACCAAATGATTTTTGACAAAGATCTAGAGTTGAACGAGGGGGGGGCAAATTAGCTCCATGGGCAAAATTTATATTTGTAAATTCCACAATAAATTTATCTTTGGTTTCATTCAAAAGGCTGGCTGAATTTGACATAGCACCTAAAATCATTTCAACATATGATAGGATACCAACCAGCTGTTGAACATTGGCTAAAGTTGGGTGATGGCTGACATACACCATTGGCCCTGTTCCATTATCAGCTTGGACTATCTGTCCAGCAACTGCAACTTTCTGGCCTCTAGTCTGTTCACCTGAAAAATGTTTTTTATAGAAAAAAAATTGTGATGATACGAATGCCATCTTTATATAGGTAAGGGATGTAGTAACTGTGCTAGCCAAATAACAACCTGTCTTGATATCTTTGTGTTCATCTTATTCATTTTATTGTCAACTTCTTTCTCCTGTGTTATCATCATTATGTTATTTTCTTCAGTTCTTATTACAAAAAATGTTAAGTTTGAGATTTTAAGCAAAGATAAAGAAGCAATTTGAATTTTTGCCCCCTTTCAAAACCTGCAAAAGTCAAATACATGCTCGCTTGACTTGCAAATGCTACAAGAATAAAACATTAAGAGAGTTGTTATAAAGAATTAGGAAAGCAATCACTTACTTGATTGTGGCATAGTTAGAGGATAAGTGAGGTTCATATTCACTCTTACAGAGGCATCAGCTGGCATAAAATCTATCGCTCTTGACTGAAGCAGTTTGCTTTCCCAAAGCTGTAGAAAAATAAAAAATAAATTCAATTTAGATTTGTTAAATTTATTGTTGGGTTATGTAAAACAGTACCAATCCGAATGCTGTTTCTTAAAGTAAAATTATGATTCTCCAAAACAGTACTTTTAGCTGTTTTATCTCTGAATGGACTTAACCTTGAAATTAATCTTAGAGATAACAACCATTATTTGATGCTTTGTGAAACGGGTATTCTTTTCAACTTCCCTCCAATCATTTTTTAACCCTAGCATTTGGGATGGACATTTTTTCATTAGTACTTTTGCTGCCACTATAAGCTGAACAACATGGATGAACTAAACAACTGCCAAAAATCTAACTAAATATTCTCAGAATTTATAGATACAAATGATTAGTCAATTCTCTAATATGTCTTTAAAACAGCCTTCCAAAACCCCCACTCATTGCAGGTAGAAAGTCCTGCGAGTGGCAGGATTGAAACGAATCCCCTCCAGCGGAAATACGTCATCTGACCGGTTGGCTTCCCAGGATCCTTTGCGCTAACTTCGTATTTGTATAAATATGGCTTCCAGTTCACGATAATTTCTGACGGAATCGGGCGCTAGAGGGCACGAAGACCATCGAAAGAGAAACAGTGGATTATTAACCCGAGAGGAAGGGATGTTTTCTACAGCAAACATTTCCATTATAATTCTATAACGTAGGAGTTTAGGAACTTCGAAATAATCGATCTGTTTTTCGAAAACTTTGGGATTAGTCCGCCGCAGACACAGATGGACAGCAAGAAAGGGCTTGAATTAAGACATTTGTTTGCCAACAAAATGGTTACAAGGGACTTTACTTCTCATTATTTACATATAAATAACTTTTTCCTACCTGTTTAAGCTCAAGAAGAACTTGCTCGTCGACTCCTTCATTTAGAAAGGATTCCCTGACATTTTTTACCACCTCGTCGACAACAGTTCTGTAGAGTCTCGGCTGCAAATTTAAATAACAAAAATATTCAGCAATAAAATTGCAGCTTTTTACTTCAATTATATCAAATCTATCTGTACAAAAGTGCTTCCGAAAATAACTCACCACCGGGTTTGAGGCAGACATCGTATGAACATGAAGTGTATACAGAGAGAAATTTTTCCAACCTTCCTCGCCGCCACTTTGATCAAAATGATGTGGCTTTTATACTCAGAGCAGAACATAAGGCAAGTCCTTTGTTTACCCCCAGCGAAGCAGGTTTCAAAATGAATAATTATGCCGCCATCGAAGAGGCAAGGTAATATATTCTCTAATCTTTATACACCTGTAGCATTTGACAGGTGCATGGCTTTTCACTTCCTTTGAACTCCATAGAGCAATTTCAGTTGTTTAAAGAATGTAATACCTACGTGCAACGGGTTTTTGAAAATTACCCTGATTGATAATGGTCTCTAAATATAATAAAAACACTATCTTTTTTCCTAAATTTTCTAATTATAGGTAGTACGAGAAAAAAAGCAAATTTTGGAACAGATGGGTTCAGTGGATGGACTCGGCAAAGAGAGAAATGTCACCTACAATCCCTTCCAAAAGTCTTGGAACACTGACGTCAGTTTCCAAAGTCAAGTCAATCATCCGCCTCTCCCCTACGGAAGGTTTAGTGTGAAACGGGCTAGGATTTTAGGAAGCACTTTCTTTTGCGCTTCTTTTGTGCTTCTTCGATATTTCTCTAAATTATCAGCATTGTTCTAGGGATAAGGCCGCGGCAGTAGTAATTTTTTTTAGAAGAGGAAAGAAAAATATAAAAAGCAACGCAAATTGCTGGGTGTTTCAAGTACTTTTGGCAGACATTGTAGATAGACGATTGTTGATGATTGACGAATTTTCATAATTGATAATAAATGTGTCAACATTGATTAATAAGTGTATTTTTGGTCCATATTCACTCACATGCCTAAATTTGATACTTTGAGGTATAAGCTTTCGAAACATTGGCCAATTTGCACTTCGTTGACGTTTTTGGATCTATGATATGTTAAGAAATTCGAGTCAATGGCAGTTTTAGGTACAAATCTTACATCTGAGGCAATATTTTAGGTTTCCAATTAATTCAGCATATTCACTCTCTACATGGGTGGATTCCAGTTAAGGGAGCTTTTCAGCCGGCGAAGGTAGCAAGGACTAATCTTTCCATGTCAAATGCAAATTAAAAAACGTCAAATGATTTTCTCCAATTTACAAACTTGCCACTCTACCCTTTACTTGTGCAGGCGTCCCTGCTACCAGGAGTTCCCTTGTTTCATTTTTTTATTTCATTTTCATTTTATTCAAAATTCAACAACATACAAAAATCCATTTTATAATCCATTAGTCCATTAGATCCATATTCCATTGGATAATCCAATACTAAAATCAATTAGATAAACAACATTTAAGTACAACAGGTTACAAATACAACAAAATAGCTAACATAAAAACATTACAATAATACTGGATATTTATATGTAGAGGAATTTCTTAAGAAGGAGCTATCTCAATAGGTAAACTAATCAAGGAGAGAGCACCCCCTATACTAAAATCTTTTTTACTTTTTTACAAAAATTTGAAACAATATTTAGAGGTTGATAAATCCAAGAAATTTTTTTTTGGAAGTACTCTAAATGATGAGACCATCCCAAGGCATACCAAAAGCCCCAACCCAACACACATCAGAGCATGAAGCGACCAGGAGAATCCGGAAGTCAGTGCAAGAGTCCCAGGCCCAGCTGCACCCCAAGATAACCCAATCAGAAACACCAAAAGCCACACCGGTAATCCAATACTACCTCACATGCCCCCAAACCGGCCTATCCCAAAGCACAGCCAAGCACAAAATGCCACCTCCCAGATTCTCCCAAGACCCCACACCCAAACATGCGCCAGAATGAAAGCCCTTAGCAGCCCCAAGAAAGGCCCCACCACCCAAAGTCATTTCATCATTTTATGTCACAAGATCTTAGCAAAGCAAATGTTCTAGTCAATGATTTAGGACCAAAATTTGGTGGAGAATAGAAACAACTTTAATTGACGACAGAAACTTGTAGCTGAAGGAGATTGTTTGATGTTGAATGGAATGTTATTCCAGGATTTTGCACCAACCAGTATATCTGACAGACTATACCATATTGCAATGTATGTTGCTGTGTCACAAAGATACCATCCTCACGCGCCTGCCTCGTATCATATTGATGTACATTTGACAACATTGTAAAAAAATTGTGAAAGTAAGGTGGAGATAATCTGTTAACAGACTCATAAACAAAAATTAGCAATTTCAAATCAAGTAAATCATATAATTTAAGAATTTTCAAGTCAGAAACGATTGGAGAAGATGGAGATATAAAATTCTGAAAATCAATTGCTCTGACAACTTTCTTTTGTAGAAGATAGATTGGCTTTGTATGCACTTCATGAGTAAGACCCAAGACAATAACTCCATATTGAAGAAGTGAGGAAAATAAAGAGTTATATAAAGAAACTAAAACATTGGTAGGTAGGAGATGCCTTAACTCGAAGAAAATGCCACAAGCCCTTGCTAATTTTTTTTTGAAAGTTTACTCAAGTGATACTGCCAGGTAAGATTCTCATCCAACAGAACACCAAGAAACTTGGCATGTTTAGCCTGCTTAACGAGTTCCTTGCCAATCTTTATATTTATAGTTTTAACTAAAGGTTTTTTGGGAGAGTGAAATATTACAAAGTTATAACCGTTATGAAGATCATTCTAGCGAGACATTCAAAGGGTTAATGTTGTGCATCACCAACCAGGACAAATATCGATACAATTTTTTTCATAAGAACAATTTTATCAAACCATGTGTCAAAAAATAGGCCAAAAGAACGGAGCTGAGTCGTTATCATTTTCTATTATTGACTCTTCCTGGGAAAACGTTATAAAGAAACGAATCTATTTAGATTATTGTAGCATAAATGTTTCTTTAAGTCCATTTATCTGTAAGAATTGCTTATGTAAGCTGTAACTTTCCTTATGTTTTTGTTGGCGTGGATAGGAAATTTCATAGGAAGGGCAAAACTGAGATTTTCCGACAAAAATCTAAAAAACATTTTTTCATACATTTGAACATAGTTCAGTTCAGTTTTTTAAAATTTTAAATTCCTCTACATAGAATATCTTACTAGAATTACATTAGAACTAATTACATACAATGTTCATACATTATATAGAATACTTAAAGTAACAAGCAATAAATAACAATAATGTAGGGTGTTGTTTGCAGGGGTGTTTCTTTAAGAGGGGCTATATTATTCTTGTTGAGTAAAACAATAATGATATTTTTATATCTACTGGAACATTGTTCCAAAAGTTAAGCACATAAGGAGCGCATGGATCTAATACCAGGTTGCAAAGTATTTTTTGTATAAAAATGTCATTTTTGTGGCGTGTACCTTATTGGTGAGCATTTGACACAGATTCAAAAAAGGTTGTGACACAGATTCAAAACGTAACTTAATGACATTAGAACTGAAATAGAACAGGAGATAAAATCTTATCATTTACTCATTGTCGTGTGTCATAAATCATACGAATTGAAGATTTTATGGTCTTCTCTTCGCAAAAGGCATTTTTAAGTGGCCAATCTAATCCAGAACAACTGAAGAAATCGTTATAATGGCCTTTAAAGAATGTCCTCTCAAAATGTAACACTTAGAGAAAATAGAAAACCATGATATATTTCCGACAAGATCAGAAATTTTCTGACGAAATAGCTGTTTAGCTTTACAAGGGGGTTTTAGGCCCCCCTGACCCACCTCGATCTCCGCCAAATTTGTAACAATCAATATCTCAATTTACTTGAGCTAAAAATATAAGAAAAAAGAGTGTATTCGTGACAAATGCTATCGAGGGCTCTGTTTGTGATTATTTTGTTCATAACCATAAGATAAAATTCTGGAATAATTAAATTGTGACTTTTAAAATTCCAAATATAACCTCACGTGGAAAATGCTCAGATCCAGACTCCCCGTCTAGGTCTGCCACTGAAGGTCCTACATCGAAACGATACACGTAGGCCTGCATGTTCTGCGACACAGGTTCAAGGCAAAATGTTGCAAGCATTAAACAATGGAAGACACATCCGCGCGTTAGGATCCCTCAGAAGCATACATAAGGCTCTAGCAAAAGGTCTTGCAACAGATTCATCAGACCAGGCCTATCTCATCAACCAGCCGAAGTATGGTTTTCTCAAAGAGCTGGGACTTGCGGAAGAAAATTTAGGAGTTTTTGCTGGTGGTAAATGGGTCGGCTCTGGAGAGGTAATTGCTATTTGATGAAAGTTTTTATGCTTCTTGCAAAAGTCATGAACACTCAAACAACTGTCTATTGATGTGGTTAAATGTACTGAGGTTTTTCTACCACTTGAAAAATAAGAAGAGGGCAGTTCGGGGGTGTGTGCTGGGAATTGCCTTTATTTTGTGGTATTATGTGCGTATTCAGCGTGAGCGTGAAGGCAAATCGTTTCTGTCATACCTATTTATATTCTATGCTAATTTTATGCCCTTAGCCAACAGCAGTCAAAAACTATATTCGTAAAAACTTGAGATCGTAATCCACACTGATTAGCTTGTAAATTTAGAAAAACAACAAATCTGTGTTACTCCAGTATTTGAAACAATATATTGGATCGGCGTATTTTCGATGCGTGAATTCGTGAAATAAATTTGTATTTGCGTTTACACGCGCGTGACACGTTAATCAGCATTAATCATGACGTGATTTTGTGAGAATGACTGCTGCTAACGAATTTCGAAATAGAGTGCTTTCGTTTTTCAAGCAAAAAGTCTTGATTTCCGGTACCAGGCCAGATGCATGTCTCCATTACTCAGAGATTCCAATGCTGATGGCTCTGCCAACAACAAATTACTCCTAATTGATAGTTATTGAAAATTTGGAGAGCTTCTAGGGGGCTTGATCGTGAAATTTAATTTCCAGTGCCGTGAAAGCGTGATTTGCAATTATTTTACGCGTGATTGCGTGATTCAGCATGGATACCTGATACCCTCATATATGGGTTCTTGGATGTTTTTTTGAAAATTTTTTTTATCTCTTTCTATTATTTGAAAACTCTAATTTGCTCTGTTTCTTTTGTTTAACAGTGGATCACTTCTTACTTTCCTGGCACCGGAGAGGCAATTGCAAAAGTAAAACAAGTGAGTGGCATCACTGTCCTTGTACTTGTCAATCAATAGATGTCCACAATGTTGTTTTCAGTCACTTTGCTGAATCAATGTGTTTCTAACCATTTATTGAAACTTGAATTTTAAATCACTGATTCTAGAGTTTTCAAAGATTTCAGTAATAATTTTGTAAAAATCTTGTAATTCAGGGAACTTTGATCGACTACAACAATGCAGTGGCTGAAGCAAAGGAAGCATCTAAAATATGGCGTGAGGTTTGTTTTTCTACTTGAAGTTGCACATTCAAGGAATGCTTCCAGAGATCCTAACATCAAAGCTCTGGTGAAACTTCAATGCACAGAGAGCTTTACTAGAATTTAGCCATTTTCTAGAAATTAGCCACTTATTAGCTGGTCAAAATTGTAGTTAGCATTCCTTCCTTCCTTGAATTATTTCATCTGTTACTGATCTTCAAAAGGGACAGGCATGTATGTGGCTTTGAGACAAGCTTTGTAAGTATTTATCTTAACATTGTTGCAGGTGCATCTCTGCCAACATACAAAGAAACTCTTCAAAAGAGCTGCAACTTCAAACTGGCTATAAGACTTGAAAATATCTTCTTAATTGCGCACAAATACTCTTTAATTTGTCAAAATTGTACATTTTAATTTATCTGATGGTGTGTAGTTCTATTTTTCAATGTAAAATTGTTTTAGTGATTAGTGACTGAACCATGTATAATGTTTTTAAGGTTCCTGCCCCTCACAGAGGAGAGATCATTAGACAAATTGGTCATGCTCTTAGAGAAAAGAAAACACAACTTGGAAAGCTGGTATGCTCTTTAGATGTGATTGCAACCTATTTCATTGAGATGTGATTGTGTTATAACTATGTAATCCACAAGTTTGTAAATTAGGTAATGATATGTGTTAAGTGTGTCATATTCTTATTCAGACAAACTATTTTGTGGTTTTTCAAGTTATTCAGTCCGACCCTCTCTCCTCTTTTCATTTTTGAGCTTCCAAAAGTAGTCATTGTTTTCATTCTGCTATCATCAAACAGATAAAAATTTCATGGTTGGATAAAAAGAGTTTTATTCATCTTATTTCTTGTAATTACTATGAATTTCCAATGTTTATGATCTAAGGGTTAATACAAACTGACCGTGGTTGATAAAGCACGTGTTGAAGCAATCACCAAGACCAAAATAGTCACGCTAAAGGTCATTGCTCTTAGGATATTGATCTATTTTATTAAACTGCTTTTAAAGCATGAAGAAATAATGTTACAATAACAAACATTTATTTCCAGCATTATCTGCAATTTTATGTGTTGGTTCCTTTTAGCATCCCTAAAATTTTGTGTTATTTAGTCATACCAGCAATCCAGTCAACTAAAATTTTTCTGACTAGAGGATTAAAGTGAGTGGGTTTTTTGCTCTGTTAAGAAATCATATCTGTTATTATGCAACCATTTTGCTCATCCTTGAAGCTCATTCCGAATCTTCTTTGATTAATTCTATCCACTGAGTGTAACCTTTGGTACAATATATTCTTTATCCATAAGGCATCCATCCAGCTCAGGCCAAAAGTTGAAAAAACACACATGTGCATATTTTTGACCAAGATATTATTTTGTTTCAATTAAGTTTCAAGAATAGTAAAGGGACAACTCTTAGAGATTTGAGAACAAGAACTGAAAGGTTTCATGGTTTTTGGTAAATTATCCTCAATTTGCTGGTGTGATCCAAATCTGCTTAGCCTCAAGTTTCATGTGATCCAAAAGCAATATTGTTCATGACAGTCATTGATGGGAACTTGTAGTGAGTCTCTGGTGATCTTGAGTTTTAAATTTACTTACAAAACAGAAGGCATTGCTAGATTTGCCTGATTAAATATATTAACTTCTTTGCTCTTTTTTGTTTAGATCTCAATAGAAATGGGCAAGATTGTTCCTGAAGGCGAGGGAGAGGTTCAAGAATACATTGATATTTGTGACTTTGCTGTTGGGTTGTCAAGAATGCTGGAAGGCAAAGCTCTGCCGTCTGAGAGTAAGCTTATTTTTAGGTCAAATCTTTTTTTAACTGATTATGTATTTGAAACAATGTTATTTTATTGTTTTTTGATAACATTGAATTTCCATAAATTAAGAAATGTAGCCAAAGCAATAGAAATTTTGAAGCAATTTTGATAGTAAAATTTTGAGATTGTGAAAGGTTCATGTCCATCTTCATTTTGTTATGTCAGTATCATAACAGTTTTGGTACAATTCAACTTTGTTATGATGCATAAATGTTTGACTGTAAGAGAATAATAATATTTTCTTATCAGTTATAACACTTTTACTCTTAATCTAATGTAGCACATAAAAACTAGATTTTATGAGAGATAATTTCAACATTTGTGGACTAAAGAACCAGGGAAAGTTAGTTACAAAATTAATTCTTTTTGGGATTACGGAATTCATGCTTTTTGAACTTAGGCTGATTGATATGGCTAACAGTGTGGAGTAAGTTTAAAATGATTTATTTGTTTTTAGGACCAGAACACAGTTTGATTGAGCAGTGGAATCCTCTTGGAACAATTGGGGTCATTACAGCTTTCAACTTCCCAGTTGCAGTCCTGGGATGGAACTCCGCAATAAGTTTAGTGTGTGGAAATACCCAAATCTGGAAGGGTGCCCCAACTACACCGCTGACATCTGTGGCAACAACAAGGTTGGTTTAATCAGATATCATGGTGGGGTTATTGGCATCTAGGGGACCAGGGTAAAAATCTGACTGAAAAATACCAATTAAAGGTCATGTTTAAACTTTTTCAAAGTTTCGGGAATAGGTCCCAAAAAAACCTAGCTTGCAATTATAGAGTTTTGAATAAGCAAGTGAAACTCTCTGAGCTGAAAAGAGCACCTAAAGTCGTTAGAAAATAATAATGAAGGTTAGCTGAAATACAATGAAGTATATGTTCGTGTAGTTCTGGAGTTTTTGAGGGTACCCAATAGGTCCCCTGGTTCGTGAATTCCCACTCTGTTTTTATCCTGATTCTCAGTTCCCTACCATCAATTCCTAAATCCCATTGTTGTCGATTTCCATTTCTGCTTCTACGAAAATCATATAAGGGTACCATCATTTTTGTGCAAACAGAAAATATATTTTTATTAGCATGCCAACTTGCTAGTTGAGTGTGTGGAACAATCCCGGCAACAGCAAATTTATCAACTGATCATTTTGGCTTGGTTGCTGTTGAACAGCGTAACTGAACTCTTAGGGCTGCATTGGAAATGGTGTTTGGGTTTCATGTGACTCATAGGAGGTCCTATGCTTACAATATTTGGTGACTAAAGTTCTAGTGACTGCACATCAAAAATAAGCTGCATGTTATTATATCATCTTCATCCTGATTATGTATCATATTAAGTTATCCTGTCATGAATAATACTGTTTTCTCTCCAGGATTATGACTGAAGTTCTTGAGGCCAACAACTACCCAGGGGCAATATGCTCTATGATTTGTGGTGGTGCAGACATTGGGTAAGAGAAGTATAATTTTTGATGGCAGGAGAAACTATGTTGTGTTAAGCTTCATCTATTTAATAATTTTGTCAACAGATTTGTTAATCTTTTAATGAAATACATTAGAGATACATTGGTTATTATTTTATGTCAACCCAGATTCTCATTTGTCTGCCTTGCAAGATCAGTCGTTAGAGAACACACAGCGATCATGTTTGCCTTCTCAATAATTCGCCTGAGGGCTGCATGAGCAGATGCTTTGGATTTTGTGGACTTTGCAACAATGAAAGTTTTTTGGTGCATTTTGTAACAGCTTCTTTTACAATTTTACTAATAGACATATTGAGAAGATAAGGGCCTGTCTTCGGCAGATATTGAATCCCATATTCACTTTCAATTTACAGTGAAGCAATCAGCAAAGACGAGAGACTGAATCTTGTGTCATTTACTGGAAGCACCAAGGTAATGGCTTTTCGATAAAATCTATCTTATTTAGAAAATATTAGAATTTTTATTCTATTTATAAATTGCACAGATAAGATTTCTTAAACTTGAATTTAAGGTTCTTTTCACACTTGAACCAAAAGTCTTACATTTTAGTGATGGGTTTTCTAATTCAGTCATCGATATTTCAACAGAATCTGCAATTAGTTGCAAGTCTAATTACTTGTCTATAATTTCATCGCATTATCTGTCTTAGGAGCTTGTGTTAAAATCTATATATCTATAAAATTAAGTTTTAAGATTGTTTAGATTGCTAAGGGTTGCTTTATTTTGTTAGTAAAGGGTTAATGTGTATCTGATTAGAGATGATTTAGTATAAACTATTTTGTACTTGCATCTCGATGGAAAGATGCACTGGGAGACCTTTTTAACCTTTCATTAGCTTGAAACATGTGTACTGTGAGGTAGTGTCGATATGCTAATTTGTCATTCTTTTTTTAAGGTTGGTCATTTGGTGGGAAACACTGTTCAAAATAGATTTGGTAAATTGAATAAATTTTATGTTCATCATAAAAACAGCTAGAAGCTTCTTAAACTTCCACATAGATATTCAAGAGGAATTTTTTTGAACCTGTGGTGTTGAACTTGTATTATCTATAGCTTACTGTGAAAATTTCTGCAAATTCTGAGATACATTCTAAAAGGGAAGATCAAAGATTTAGATACCTCAAGGGGAAAAAACAAACTTTTGTATATACTATTTACTTCATAGTTCGTGTTCAGCTCAGCACGTAATGCGTGACAAAGCTGTCTTTAAGGCTCTGATGGTGAAGCCCAAATTAGAAAGGATTGAAAACACAATAGAATACACGTTGAACTGGAAACAGTGAAATTGCTTCATTATATAACATAAAATTCAAATTTTCATGGGAAAGTTAATTTTGTTTGCAAATAATGATGAATCGACTAAAAATATGGAAAGCCGGTTGGTTATATGGCCCTGGGTCGTTTAGTTTTTCAGCTGCAAACAAGCCTGTTAATATGTTTAAAGAGCAGCTTTAACGCGATTTTATGATGGTACTTTGTGACCACCTTTTCTGACAGTATTTCGGGTTGAACACCTTGTGTTCACTGTGCATGTCTTTGCTTCAGTATTTTCTTGATTTTTGTAGTTCATTTTTTATGAGTATTTCTCATGCTTTACCCCTTCTCGTGTGTAGGTCGATCATTATTGGAACTCGGAGGGAACAATGCACTGATAGGTAATGCAGTTATCAGGAAAGATTATTTTGATTAAAGGACATTTTTGTCAGTTTTTCACCTGTAACTACCCAGAGAAAGATCATCCTTCCATATTTCATGTTCTTTTTCAGCTTTGAAATTTTCATAAAGATTCAAACAGAAAGATTAAAAAATCATACAATACAATAGGCTAGCTTTTGCAAATTATACCTCAATGGTTATAGCAAAGAAGAATAGAACACATGGAAGTTATTCCATAACTGCTTTAGAGCCTATTATTGTTGTTAGATTGAGTAGAATGCAGGTGGAGACCTTAATTAGCACCTGGTGGCAGTGGTTGGCTGTCTTGTCTAGAGGAATATTTATTATGTGTTCCTCATATCAAAGAATGATTTTTTCATTTACCATCTTCAATTGATTTGTATAGACAAATGTTTCATCTGATAATGTATCTTTATTTGCATAAATATTGCTGAAGATTTCCGAATTTTGCAGAAATCTCCAATCTATATCTTTGCCGAAACTATATCCCTTGCTGACAAAGGCTGATTAACAGTAGCTCCTGCCATAAACTGTTCTCTCTTTACTGAATGTAACACGATTGCTTTTCACTTACAAAATATCAACCATTTTTTCTCTTTCTTGCTAATATTTTCTTTTCTTGTGCAAATGTTGCTATTTCCAACCACAACCTTAAAGGCATTGAGTCATGATAAAATGGATTGGGTATACCCTAAGTCCCAAAATCGGCCGAGTCATGATTTTCATGACTGCGATGCTATTGGTTGACCTTGAACTGGTCACATGAACTCACCTCGTACTGATTGACAAAGTAATTTTCATCAATAACAAGTTGTCAACAACAGATGCAAATATCACATGAAACAGCAAGGATCACGCCAAAACCAAATGACCACCTACAGAGAAGGCCTATCATGACCCAATGCCTTACAGGTAGAAGAAGTGGAAGCTCGATTGCAAGACAAAAGTGTTCCCTCATTCAAATTTCTGATTTCTTTAAAGAAGTGAAACATATCTTTGACTTCTTGTCTTGAAATAGCTCCAATCAATTGATTATGATTTATGATTTATTTTCTTAGTTAAGTTTCGAAATCCTTTCCAATTCTTAAAAAAGATTTATTTTCTTACTAACGTTTTGATATCTACAACAAAACGTTTCTCATTTGCTGCTACGATTTTCATGTTTTGTCTTTGTTATTTTCCTTTCTACGTTATCTTTTTTCGTTTCAGCAATGGAAGATGCGAACCTGGATCTTTTAATACCTGCCGTCCTTTTTGCTGCTGTTGGTACAGCTGGACAGAGGTGCACCACAACCAGACGTCTTGTATGTCACCTTTTTCTTGATTGTTGGGAAGTTTTTGCCTGCTAACATAATCTCAAAGCATTTTGATATGCATATAATGCATGTCCACATTTTGATCATAAACCATTTTCCCAGGTGGAACCTTGGCGCAAGCTGAACATCTTCTTAAGGGATGTGTGCTACCATAATTACTGGCAGTCTTCATTTATCCTACTGCAAATGAATCAATGGATTGTCTGCTGTTGTCAATGAACCTTTCCACCGTTGGCAGGATCGCCGCATTTGCTGTTCTCTGGGTACTATGCCCGCAAAGAATTTCTTGGAAGATCTAGCAATTTGCGTTCTTTTCCTATATTTTTCCTTTCTTTTTCTAATTTCACTTACTGCTCCTTCCCTCAAAAACAATTTTGATAGTTGCGACAAATATCATGCAAGTTACATGAACCAACATATTTCCTTATCACCTACGTTGCTTTATAAGACATTGCTGTCAGTGGAAGAGGGGGGTTTACCCTTTAAAACTCATGTTACCATTCCAAGGCTTTTGACAGGGATTGTGTGTGTTTACAGAAAACATTATTTAACGTTGGGGAAAATACAATTTAACTTGACAAGTGCTTTTCAAACTGGTAGGTAATGAATTATGCCTCATTTTCTATACTCTGTAATCACAGAAAATTGGAACCTTGGGGTAACTACTTTCAATCTTGACTATTGCTTTTCAAACTGAGCATGCTTACAAATTCTTATATAATTTTATGATTTTTTTATTTGTTTAATTTTAAATTACAATTTTACTCAGGATAAATCATAATTGCACAATAGGTTTGTAATCATTATTTGCTAGTGCCAAAGCTAACTGAAAGCATTGTTTCATTGCAGATCGTGCATGATAATATTTATGATCATGTTGTTGAGAAGCTTAGCAAAGCTTACAAGCAAGTGAAAATCGGTGATCCATTAGATGGTATGTGTCTTACGTTTTTCATGCATTCTCTTGCAATACAAATTAGTGTTGGTAATTCAGAACAACACTGTTGTCGACCTGTATAAATTGTGCTTTTTGAGTGGGGCAATGGGAGTAGGGGCATGGACCATGGATTATTCTTTTGTGCTATTATTATCCATGGATTTCTTTCGCCCTCTATTATCTCCTTCGCAGTTTAGCTTTGCCCTGAAAGTAGTGCGAAGGCCTTACGATATTAACAAAAATTAGCTTTGGAATGTCTACTTGTTCTCATGTTTCAATAAATTTAGAATAGCCAAGCAATACAGGGGGGGGGATCTCTCTAGATCTCAATTTGTCAAAATCACGCATTTGTTGAGTTTAAAATTAGCATTGAAATGAAGGCATAAGAGGCAAAGTTAAGGCATTTCTGAATTTTTAGAATTTTGTATGCTTTCCACGTGCACTTATTTTCGGTGAATGATTATCATGGGATGGGTATGGTGGGCCCTATATAGCAAGCAAGTCTTTGCTGGCCATCATGGGCAAAGAAAGCGAATTACTTTTTGCAACCTGAATCATAAATTTACACCAGACATTCAAAAGTCAATTATTTATTTTATGTTTTCAAGTGCACCAATTCAATTTAAGGCCTAGTATTGAATGATACTTTTTGCTACTAAATTCTTGACTTCAGGTTCGGATTAAGAATCAAATTTTAGCCTAATTGTAAGTTGCACTGATGCTAGTGTCTGTGTTATTGGTTTTATGATTATATCAAGTTAAGCATTTTATAACTGATTCCGTGACTGAGAGTGAAAAGTTTCATCCCATGTGTTTTCCAACATCCTGACTAGACTTATCGTGGCAAATTTTAAACAGGACTCAAATAAGATGTACAGTGCAGTTTTGAGTAATTTTCAAAATGATGTAGTAACTTGAATTCGTATATTTTTCTAGCGTTCTTAGTTCAACCGTTGTTTTATTTATATATTGCCATTTTCAGTGTAAATGCAGTGTCTTGGTGATCTTGGTAAATCTATAGTCAATAGCTTTTGCAATATTCCAGATTTAGGGCTATGTACTTTGGTGATTTAATGATGATGAGGTTTGTTCCGGCAGTTAGACTTTCTTGCTGTGGATATAAAGAGAGAGTCCATTCTGAACTGTTTTACGCTGAAGTTCAAACTAAGGGTATTTCACGATATTTGACTAAGGAGCATGCTAATTTTTATATGCTCTTTCATTTTTCATGTTTTGCTTTCAGATGGAACCTTGTATGGACCCCTCCACTCACAGCAAGCAGTTGATGCATATCACAAGGCGGTTAAAGATGCCCAGACTCAAGTTTGTATCTTCTACATCTAAGTCTCTTTGGATTAATTTTGCTTGTTTTATTATTCAAAGAATTGATACCTTCTCCAGGCTTTGACCTTTCCACATTTTGTATTCAGTTTTGCAAGCCGACATGTATTCAGTATTAAGTTCAGGGGAAGTTTAAACCATTTCTAAGCAACATAAAATCATTCAGAAGATGTGCTCCTTTATCTTATATCTAAATCACCATTGTTCAACTTCATCTTTTAATTTTTGTTCTTCATCATTTTCTGCTTTAAAGTTTCCAGCTGTACCCTGGCAAATACAAGAACTTTTTTTGGCATTCTTTCTTGTCATCGTTTTGACTAAATCATACATCAGAATAGAAATACGTTGTTCTTCAACAGAAAATGCAAGCACCTTTGTTCATAATCTAACCTAAAAAGCTTCTCTAGAAGATGGAATATATATATATATAAGCCTTGGCTTATTTCCAAAGAAATATAGTTGCTCTTTGTAAATAAGAATTGCATACTGAAAGACAAAATAGTTGCTGAATACTTGGAATCAGTTTTAATGTTACAAGAAAAAAGGATAAGTAAATTTTACTTGTAGCAGTAGTATTATTGAATAAATCAAATGGTTTATGAAAGCTAACAATGATCCATCAATGGCCAAAACAGTTCGTGGTTGCTTGCACAGTAATTTTATTTTTGCACCAGAATAATTTCGCACTGAAATTTCTTCTTTTTTCAGGGTGGGAGACTAGTCTGTGGTGGCAATGTAAGTTGCTTTTCGATTAAAACTAACCAAGCAATAATTTTGTTGTTGTTTTCTTTCATCGTTTCCAGTGTCACCGTTTTGGCCACAAAAGTTTACTAGCAATGACAAGCATATATCTAGATAAGTTGGACAATTTATCATTGTAGTTTGAATTTTCTTCCAAAATTAACGTCTAATTTTTTAATACCACTATATGATTCACTTTCGCTAAGGTTGGCTTCATTACCACTCAGTGTCACAAGTTATCATTAACACTTTTTGAATTTGTTGTAATAACCTTCTTAGGGAGCACTTTATAGCACCATAGACTGCACAAAATTCAAATTTCATTTCATTAAGCAACATTCTTACAAGGTATATACTTAAGATCTATTTTTATAGTCATGAAAATAAGAAATAATGAAAGAATAATTGTTAAGTGTTACCTAGGACACTAAAATAAACCTAAAACATCCTACTAATAATGGTGTGATAACATAGCCCTGACCATTTAAGCTGTCTTTGGTCTCGTGCCAGTGGAATTTCTTCTACCAACGTTTTTTACTTTAAAGAGAATTGACCGACCTGGCTTCTACGTGGAACCAACAATCATAGCAGATATATCCCATGATGCATCTGTTGTTCATACTGAAACATTTGCACCAATCTTGTACATTTTGAAATGCTCTGTGAGTATATTTTTTTTATAATTTCTAAGTTTTCAGTTGAAGAGAATAAACTTTTTATTTGATGTATTAATGACAAAGTGATGGGGAGCCAATTTCACTAAAATTCTAATCTTGCTATCTATAAAATTAAGCAAAATAATACAAGTTTGGAAGGTGAATGAAATTTTGAAAGATATGCGGGAGATACGTACTTTTTCTATTGATTAAATGAAGCTTAGTGGTGTTTTAAGGATTCTGTTATTTATTGAAAAGTGAGCTTTGCGATTCCAGACAAGGTCTTTGAGTTTACAATGTATTTCCAATAGCTCAATCCTAAAGTAATTCAAAGTTTTGTTTTTTGCACTCTTCCTTTAACCTTCTTTTGACGGGTGAACCCCCAATACCACGAAGATTAATCAACTCAAGCCATCTTTATCTTTCCCTTGGAGATCCTAGTTATCACGATTATACTGAAGTTCTCCATCTTAAATATGAGAACCATACCATGATTTGCTTCAATAACCTCTTGTTCGCTCGACGTGGTTACTAAGCTTGATTGTAAGAACTTTTACAGCTTATTAGTCTGTTGACCACCTCGCAACAGACAGGTTGGCGATTTTGAATTGCTGAAATGTGTAGAAAGGAAGTTTAGTTTAAGAGAGACCTTAAAAATCAACAAGATTCTGCTGCATTTCAAAAAAATTACGTTTGCTTCCAAAGTAGGAAATTTTTGTTACCTCTATTGTCAGTGCCATTGTATATCGTTTTCACCAAAATGCAAATTCTTTAGCAAGTTGTCCACGTTAATGTAGGCTTCAACGGGAGTCCTTGCGCTGTCTTGACACAGGATTGCGAAGGATAGCATCGTTATGCACTAAAAACAGTTTTCATCGATGTTGCCCGTCCTATTTCTAATACCAACGCTGTTTTCCTATTTCAAAGCATTGTAGTGCAGGCAGGTCACCCATTTTGACAGCTTGCTATTTCCAGTGCTAATGTTGTGTGCTCATGAAAAATAGAGTGCTGCAAACAGATCTTGAACAGCGTGTGTTTTAACCAAATTAGATAGCATTCGTGTTAACCAAGTTATCAACTAAGAACCTTCAACTATAGATCAAAATTTATGACCTCGTTTTTGAAAAACATTTCAAATTTCTTTGCACTAACTTATTAACTATGAATTTGGATTGGGAAAAGAATTTTAGTATACATAGCTTTTATTTACGGGGGTTTAGATTAACAAACAGTCCATTTTGTTTTATGAATTTCATCACATAAAGACATCTTCAGTAAAAATGGCTGTCCAATATCTTAAACGTTTTTGTAAGATTTTTTTTATTTTAATGTAAAAAAGCTTTCACTCCAAAAACTGAACATATAGAGACTTTTTGTGTTGCCAAAAGACGTCGGAATATTTTTCTGGGTGATTTCTTTAGGGGATGTACTTGAAATTTTTGCTCCAATACATCAGACATATTGTTATATTATTCCTCTTAATTGCACTTACGCGATAATTACCAAACGCCATGTTTGACAAAGGCATGTCACTCTTTCTGGACAGCGTACGAGCTTGAGTGATTTTTGGGGGATTTTGCTCGAAAACAAGGGAATTTTGCCAAAGATATACGATACAAGATTTTCGTGAAGTGATATGCGCCTTGAAGGAGGATGTAATTTTCAGCCTTCTGCAGACGACTGAGTTTTACACGTCATTACATTATGCTCAGAGAAAAGAACAATAGAGTAATTGTAAGTGATCAGATCATATGAATAGAGATAAGAGATATAAAAAGAGTGAAATAGAAAATAGTTAATTGATTAAGTAAAAAGAGAACATAGAGATAAAGAGACATAGTAGAGAGAGAAAAAGAGACAAAGATTCAACTTGATATTGAGAACACAACTTGTGCCAGCAAAGTAATGATTTTATAATAAAAGAGATAAGTAATCAGTTCAGAAAGCGCCTGCAAAAATTCAGAGCATGAACTTTTGTGCCTATTAGATCTGGTCTTGAGTAAAGCAACAGTTCATTCACCTTCCTTTATTTTTCACGTATTGTTTTTGTGTCACAAGAATGTAATAATTTATCTGAGAACAAAGACTGCAAAACACAACACAAATCTCTGCTTGAGAACACACATAATCCATTCAGATATATGCAAGATAAATTCATTATTGATTGATGACTTTTTTATTTGATTTAGAGTTTTGAACAGGCTGTTGAGTGGAATAATGAAGTCAAGCAAGGCTTATCAAGCAGCTTGTTTACCAAAGATCCTGCAAGAATTTTCAAATGGATGGGGTAAGTGTTGTATGATGTGTTTTAATTCCTATAGAACAATGTTGAACGATTGCGTTATGATAAGGACAATAGCAGTATTCACAGATATGATACAATTGCATTATGATAAGGACAATGACAGTCGCAAGTTGTTTTTCGAAATGCGAGTAGTATTAACATTGATTAAGTTTCGAAGAGGTTATCTGTATAAAATGCTCTATAATACTACTAAATTAGTTGCTCTATAATACTACAGTAAGACAACCAGTTTGGCAGATATACCTGCACAGTGTCAAATTGAATGATAAGTTTTCTGTTATCCTAATTGTATGTAGTGATTTTTCTCATATGTAGTACATAATAATTTAGTCTCGTTTTTCTCATACTGCATTATGGTAGTTTACTTTCTCATATCATCACAAATACTTGCTGGGAGTCAATCAAGCAGTCCTGTTACTCTGGATTTTTGTCCTTTTGAAAAAGGTTAATGGTCAATGGAAGCATAAATAAAAATCAATTAAAGGGCTTTTTGCTACCATATTTAAAGATATTTTACCAGCAGCATTGCAGTTGACCTGGAAAGCAGGATGACAGAAAAGCTTAATATTTAAAACTGATTTCAGACCATCATTAGCTGGCAAAATGACAGTAGATAGACGAGTTGGCTAAACCATCCTTTCTCAAGAATGGCATTGATTTCTCAGTTTCATCTAGCTTTAGAATGATGTTTGATTTGATTATGTGCTTCTTTTTACATCTAGTGCTTCAGGATCTGACTGTGGAATTGTGAATGTTAATATCCCAACAAGTGGAGCTGAAATTGGTGGTGCTTTTGGTAAGTGAATTCTAATTTTTACCCAGTGGGTGTTTGCTCGTGTCTGATCTATTTAACTGTAGGTAGTATAAATTTTGTTTTAATTAAAAATGTAGCAAAGATATGATTCTTCCTAAATCAATGAGATTTACTGTTTCTGTTTTGCTAGGGTTATTTGCCATCTGTCACAAAAAAATTTTCTTTCAAAAAATCTCAATGAGCTAACCTATCCTACCTCAGCCACACAATAAAACATTTTTAAAATCAAACTTTGTCGAATAATGACAATCTTTCAATGCAGCTGTTTTTGTTGTTGTATTTTATTATAAAAACTGTTGATGTACAGGTGGAGAGAAACACACAGGTGGAGGTAGAGAATCAGGAAGTGACTCTTGGAAGCAGTACATGAGGAGATCCACCTGGTAAATTGATATTAAGTTTTTTGTACAATATTTCAATATTGTTTAGCGGTCTACCAAAAGGGAACTCTGGGGACCAGACAGAACTTTTCCTGGAAAATTTGTATATGTATGATTAGTGGTTTCAGGGGTGACCAATTCAGTCTCCCATGCACCCTGGACAACCGGTTATTATTTGTGGGAGATCGCTTATTAAGGATACAGGGTATCCTCTGGGTGACCCAATTTTCCTGGAAATATTCTCTCCAGTCCTCCAGTCCCTTTTGGTAGACCACAGGTAATATGCAGGAGACCAAAGGAAGAGGCAACTGGTTTCCTACCAGGACACCACCTTCTTACTAAAATTGTCAAACCATGTGGTTTGTATAAAAGCAGGAAGTTTTTTATTGAGATTAATGATTTCTTGGCCAATTTCAAAATTATGTTACTGTCATCATGCCAATCTTGCTACTATGATGATTTAGATATGTTGAGCTACATGCTTTATAAACAGACAAAAATCTAGTGATGACAAGCAGATGTATGGATTACATGTAATGAGGGACATGTTATTTATTTATAAATAGTTTAGGTAAATCAACTACTATCTTTATCTTATCTTGGAATATGAATTTCTAAATATTATTTGTTAGTTGACCGGGTAACTAAAGCTGTTATTATATCAAAGTTGTGGTTTTCAAATTTCGCTAATTTCTGCTGGACTTCTAATGGACTGTATTTACTTTACAGCACAATCAATTACAGTAAGAGTCTACCTCTTGCCCAAGGAATAAAATTTGAATGAGGTTATAGGTTTTAAAGTGATGAAATTACAGAAGAATATGTATGGAATGGCTGGATCAAAATCCTATCCTTTAAACCAAAAGTAGCCAGTTTCTCTACCTACAGAAGTTGTGTAGTTGTTCCTGCCATGGACTTCCTATCAGGTAGCTGTTTCATGTGTAGCATAATACATATGCCTTCTTGTTGGCCATGTTTTGTATGCTTTAGCTGATTGCTTAATGAATCAAAAGCTTAGAAAGCAACCTAATATATGCAAAGAACCAACTGTTAATATTCTGTATGAAGGGTGAAATGGAGTTTTTTCTTTTTTCAATCTTTTTATTCAGTGCTACAATGAAATTTACAAGAAAAAACTTTTGCATCATCTCAGTCAAAGTCACTTTGATAACTTTGGTCTCATTTCTCAAGTCTTGGGCTTGCTTTTGAATTGTGATTTTTTCCTCATTTGGTCAAAGTGAAAGATGATACTCAATTCATTTGTTATATAAGACTTCTAGTAATGTGAAACCTTACCCAGCAGACTCTCCTAGCAGCTGGGTTTCACTTCCTTTCATCAACTCATTTTTCCAAGCATTGGAATTGCCAGAAAATTGATTTATGGTGACATAAATAAGAGATGGACCATAACCAAACTTTGAAATTGCCCTGGAGAGACAAAGAGTCCTGTGCATTCTTATCAGAAATTCTACAGGAGTAAAGTATCTTACAATGTATCCCAAGTACTAAATTAAGGTCTTTTCCTTCTGCTTATAAAAGTCTAGCAGCTGGGTTTCACTTCCTTTCATCAACTCATTTTTCCAAGCATTGGAATTGCCAGAGAATTGATTTATGGTGACATAAATAAGAGAGGGACCATAACCAAACTTTGAAATTGCCCTGGAGAGACAAAGAGTCCTGTGCATTCTTATCAGAAATTTTACAGGAGTAAAGTATCTTACAATGTATCCCAAGTACTAAATTAAGGTCTTTTCCTTCTGCTTATGAAAGTTTATCATGAACTACTCTCTAAAGGTCCAATGTTTCTTGCTAAATCTCTTTTTGGTGCTATTCTTAACTCTGAGGCTGCATTTGCAAGCTGGCGTGCAACATCTTTGGAAGAATTTCTGGCCTCTTTCTCAAGCAAGTCTGCTAGATGAAACAGAAGCTGATGGAAGCTGTAACACAGGCTTGCTTTTCTGATTCTATTCAGCTCCTGTGAAGTTGAAAGATTAAAAGTGAGGATAGATATTACATAAAACTTGATATTACATAAAACTTGAAAACTTGCTCTATACTGATGTTTCAAAATTGTTTAAATACTGAGAGTTTCATGTAAGTCATATTTAGCCAAGATAGGCCATTTTTGGCATTTAAATGCTTACTAGAGCCTTTGGGTACTCGTCTTTGGACACCCCCTAGCTTTCTAAACATGTATAGCATACAGACATTGTACAGATTTGTAAATAAAAAAAGGTGCAACAATATTTCACCTTTTAACGGTGCAACAATATTCTTAAGATAAAATGCTAAATTCATTGTATACAATTGCCTGCATACAGACTTTTCGAATAGAGGAAGTTTAAAAGTCTTACTTCAAACATTGATTTCTTGTATCCACAATGCCAGAATCATTTTTCAGAAGTCTTTGTTGTATTTTTATAGCCAATGAGATGGCTTTCCATGATTTTAAGGAACAAATCATAGCAAATCGTCCCTTACTGTTTGAAGTCATGTGGGGTATGTTTTTATTGTCACAGCAGTATCGTTGACATTACTTTTCAATACCAATAATTACATACATTTCAAGTGCAGACATTGGAACATATTTATGAAAAGCAAAAGATTGCAAAGCAAAGATAATTCCTTACAAAACACTTCAAATCAGTGTGTTTACGCAGGCTTTACAACCTTTACAATCAATATTCACCTTGTAGAATGCTGAATGCTTTTCAGGTAGTTTTTTGGCATATCTTAACACCTTCTGCACATCAGACTGGAAATAAGATATTTCTTTGTTAGTATGATAGACATATTTACTAAGAACAGAAATTTAATATAACTGACTTCCTTTCGGTGTAATCTACTTAAAAAATTAAATTCCCACAAATTGCAAACTTTTATCAACAACTGACTCATCTCACAAGAGACTTGCTTTGAAAGTTTTAAAAGACCAAAAACAATTGGATTTATTACTTTATTTTTTTATTTTTCCCACCAAAGCTAAAACTACAGTGCCAGAGGCAGCACCATTGAAAGTGCTTAAAGGATTCGCAACTCTCCAGTTCATCTGAATTCAAAGAAAATCAGAAAATAGGAATTATATGGGGGCGGGAGTTCTCCAATCATCTCTTTGATGACCTTAACTTTCAGCATACCTGCCCTCCTTACAATGCTCTATCTTCAGAGAGTTTGGCTTTAGTGCAAAACTAACATACCTGCAAGCCAGCATTTTTTATCCAAACAACATTTGGTTGTAGATGATAACTTCGCCTTTTGAGAGGATGCACTGGAAATGGAGTTTCCTCTGCGTCTTCCTTTTGATCATACTGGTATGGATTAGGGTTTAGCTCTGCACTGGGTGCCAGGTTTTTCAAGTTACCAAGCCATGATATTGATACATTTGGCTCAAATATTGAAAGCATGAGTGTTGACTTTTTCCTATTATCGGACCATGAGTGGAGCATTCCAAACCAATCTGTTCTGTAAAAAAAGAACCCCATTATCATCTTTTACCCACATTGAAAAAAATATACAAAAGTCCTGCATCTGCCAGCTGATGATTAAAGTCCAGTTATTCCTGCATTTTACCATAAACGTTATTCTTCATGCAAGAAGTTAATAATTGTGTTGTAAAAACTGCTTTTTTGTTAAATATTTCCAATAATTAACCAGTTAATTGCAAACATCAGAAAAAAGGCACCCATGGTAAGACATTAGAAGCTAGGGCACAGGGTGCATTTAACCACACTTTTCTGGATCAGAAGTAAACTGCCAATTTCCAGATCACAGAGGTGCTCCACTTTGATGCTCCCTTTGCTTATGACCCACAGAGAAAGGTGGGACAAATTAAACACATCTGTTGTAATTTGACCTGTTAAATTTTATCAAACAACTTTAAAAAGCAGCACAGATGGTTGTTTGGTATCCAATTTCTTTCTCACTAATGCAAAAGTAAATGAATATGCACAAAAGCAACTTTAATTGCCCAGGATGCAAGTGGCTTTTTGCTTGACTCATCTTTTGATACATAAGAAAATCTCACCCAAGCTGAACAATAGCAACCATCTTCTCAATTTTCAAACTGCCATGCAAAAGGACACAAAAGGATGGATTCCTGGCATCGTCATCTGTTGCAGTCACTTGAGTAACTTTGCAGCCATTTTCCAAGTCTTGGTTTTGCTTTGGCACTGGGATAACAACATGTCTGCTTATATACGGGGGGTTCGAAATATCAGGAATGTCTAAAAAACCCACAGTTTTTATTTCATTGGGTATTTTCAGCTGTGAAAGATTCTTCTTTTCTGGCCTGTAAAGATTCAGAAGGCTTAGCCAACTGCTTTTAAAGCTAGGACTTGGTGATAAGGTTATAGAGGACTTCAAATTGCCACACGTCAACATACCATCGTAGCCTTCATAGTGAAGTTGAATAATCTTTTTAAAAACGTGCTCAATATGTAGCTCTGTGAGTGGAATTTCCGGGATATAAATCTCTCCATTATTATTATTAAGATTGATCAGTTCTTTGTAACAGTTCATGTTTTCTGTGAAACTCTCATCGAAGCGTGAGTCACTCAAGCAAACCACTGATAAATTACAGGGGAAATTAAAAGGTAATGGGAAATCAGATTCGCCGGTTTTCTGTTTTCTCAAGGACTCCTTGAGTGAGCATGAACCTGTGCCAACCCGTCCGTCAGTGACAAGAATCAAATTGATTGGGACAAATCCTCCCCATTCCTCCATTACAAGGTTCTGGACGCCATGAAGGGCATTTTCAATTCGGGTTTTATCATAAACATCTAGGTCTAAACAACCAGCCTTGAGAGCACTGAAATCTCGCGTGAATGGAACGACAATTTCCCAGAGAGAGGAGAAAATGACTAGGGCAGAGAACTCCAGTTTGCATCTCTCAGCCAGTTCATCTAGGAAAAACAATATTCCATGTTCAGCTAGTTGTTTCAATTGTGTGTCCGTTTTACGACCATTAACACCGATGGTTCGCCTTGACATTGACATAGAAACATCGAGTAATATTACGGTGGGCATTTTGCAAATAACGGGTTATCATCGAGAAGTTATTCAAAGCACTTCAGGTTCAGATATTGGAACATTGATCTCATCAGATCCCTGTTATTTGAAGGCAGCATCAACAACATCAACATCAGGGTTCTAAAGCTTAAAATGGCGTCTGCAGACAAACGTAAGTGACAGTACAAATTTAATTTAAGTAGACATAGACACTAGAGAAAAAAACATTCTTGAATTTTCTTGTTCATTATGAAGCCTAAATACGCCTCCAAGAACATATAAAAGTATATTCTTAAAACTAATTTCATCAGTTAAGTCTTGCAAATTAATTTTTTAGGTTGTTTTTTTTACAAATTTAATTTTTCTTATCTATCTTGCTTTAAAGAATTGACTAGGTTGGAAAACTTGTTTTTACTCGCAGTTGTACTAATATCTATAAATCCGACCTGGTGGCCCGAAATCTCTTCGCTCGCACCTCAATAGAAATTACTTGTACCATACCATCAAGAAAAATTCTCGAATTTGTCCCTTTGCTTTTTGGGGCTTATTAATTAAGACCGTTTTTAGTAGATGATGATGAATAAGAAGAGAGTTTATACGAGGAGGTGCTTAGAAAATCATCTCCAATCTGCCATATGAACAGCTGTTGGTAGCCTGTCCACCATTTCCAAGTTCATTACATTTTTACTTAATAACCCTTTATTCTAAAATTGTCAAACTTCCGAGGGGATATTTATCTAGATAAGAAAAACGCTATAATTTGGCTTAAAGTCTGTTTGATATATGGGGACATATAAAGAGATCATCAAAAACAACTGAACATATTAATATTTTTGGATTGAATTATATTTTTGGGCATATGACCTAGATAGCTCTTAATGAGTTCTTTTGAATGTCTGACAGCAAACACTTTGAACTATGAACTAACTACTGTATGCAGTTTCCTTTTCAAAAACTTATTGTAATTTGTAGTTCATCTCCAACTCGACAAAACTCTGGAATGACCTATCAGCTGACACTCAAGACTCCACCTTAAGATTTTTATTCAAAAAGAATCTAAAAGATCACTTGCTAAGTGCTATGTGAATGCCTAAATGAAATTTGTTATCATCACATTTAAGAAAATTTATTATTAAAGCTAGCAATTTGGCATCGCAAGTCTGTTTGATATATGGAGGCGAAACTCTGGAATGACCTATCAGCTGACACTCAAGACTTCACCTTAAGATTTTTATTCAAAAAGAATCTAATAAGGGGGCTTGAACAAGGGGGCAAGGTTGAGGATTTACATTACCTACAAATGGCTCAGCTATCATACTTTTCTTTCAACCTGGCCAAATCAAATGAAAACTTATTTGAAGGCCTGTATCTGATTTATGATTTTATTTGATTATATTTTCATTTTTAAAGGTATATAGTAAATATGGCCAAACACTTGTCAGAGACATATGGTGATCCACCTGGGCATCCAGGAATTGATGAAATAATTGATGATATCAGAAAGGCATCAATGGATGATATAGTATTCAAATCCTCAAATACAATAAAGAAAAACTCTGATTTGGAAAACCTGTCAAATTTACTCAACGAAGAGAGAGGTAGTTAATGTATTTTTCATTCTAAATTGGTAGTCTGTAACCATCAAATTGATACTTAGTTAGTACTATAGAACTTAAAGAGAAAACATAAAAGAGCAGAAACATTGTGTCTGACTAGAGCACTTCTTGTTAGTACTTTTTAAAGCATGAGAAAATTAATAATGACCCTAAGGTGACCAAAATTTATAATAAAAATAGCTTAAGAAAAAAAGAATGGCAAAATAATCATTTTAGAATCCATCTTTATAATCCAAGGAAGATACTGTATTTTATTTCCAATAAAGTTCTCAAGTGTGACATCACAGAAAAATATATTTAGAATGTTGGCTCAGTTCATAAAGTTATAAAGTTATGACCTGAGACCAAATTACAGAGGTTTGATGGGGCCAGAGCTTGTGCTCATCTTGTCATATCTCAGTCAATTTGTAATACCTTATAACTGATTTTGCAGATTTAGAGGTATTTTGTGATGCTCTTTCAGAATATCGCAACAAATTTAAAAAATTCTAAAAACAGGCTTTTGTAACATCATCACTTGGCAACTCCATTGCATTCTGATGCCAAGCAACATTTTCTTCATTGTAGAGCTTTTAATACAATCACCAACAGAAGATAACAGAAAACAGTTATCTCCAAAGATAACTTACGAAATGGCAACAAGATTTCTGGAACAAAATCAAAATATGAGGTCATTACTAAAACTACTGGAAACAAATGCTGGCTCTCTATCGTCAATGAAAACAGAGATTCTAGCTCATTTGACTAAGGAAGGTTAGAAAAGAGACTTTTTCAAATGTGTTTAACTAGCTATTAAAGGGTATTGCATTTCCAAGCAGAATAAGTTACTTTACATTGTGTAGAAATGCCCGTAAATCATTATCATATAATTTTACAATTTCGCAAAAATTTTGCTTGAAACTTGAAACTGATACTTAACACCAAATCTAATTTGCAGATATTTTAAGATGATGTCACATGAAAGTGTATTTTAAATATAATGCTATCTAAGAAATTCTACTGTAAACAAACTGTATGCAATATGGGGTTATTTATCAATGGACATTCAAGTGTTTGTTGGATGAAATATAGGGGAATGTAAAAATGCATAGCATGCTTTCAAACGCAAAGAGACTTTTTTTTGCCTGGCTTTGTCAGGCTGTACCTAAAATAATATCATGTCTGTGTTTAGGTTCTAGGGGATCCCTAAAATTTACAAAAGTCTCTAAAGTGTTAGATTTTTCATGCAACCAGGCTCGAACCACGTCTTTAGTCATTTTCAACATTATTTTCAATATTTTCGGGGCTGCTTAATAAAGGATTTACATATTCCATTTTAAAAATACCATTATGTAAATGAATCCAATTTTATCATTAATTTATTATATCTCTATCTACAAATGCATTTACTACAGGTTTAGTCAATTGAATATATACAATATGATCATTTCAAGGTTATGAAGGAAATGGATAAACTGCAAAAGAAAATTGCATACTGACTTAAATAACTGACATGCAAGCACCAAAGACAAGAATTCCAACTGATAATGTATTTTCAAATAACACCAAGTTGGGCTGAACTTGTATAACTCAGTTACTGTTTTGTCTTTGGAATGCCAAATCATACATGAAACCAACATCTACTTTTACTTCTTCATCTTCTACTGTCGTTAATTTATGTGCAAGATCTGGCATGGAAATTGTTTTCTCTTCTAGATATTTTGGCTTTCTAGCATGTATTTCAGAATGCATTCGGTGCATTGGTTTGATTTCACAGCCATCTCTGTTTTCACCTTCTGTCACTGTCAAATGTCTTCCAGAATTCTCTTCTCTGTCTTCATTCTCAATTTTTTGGTTAGGTGTATGTACAGCAACATTGGTAACTGAATGCTCTGGTGTTGTATCTGTTGATCCTTTCCTAATTTGCACCAGCTGAACATTTGATGTAGTTGTCGATGTTGCAATATGGCCAGAGGAAGAGAGGAAGGAGCCTTGTTTTGTCCTTATAACAGTAAACCAATTTGGACATAAATTGATCCTAATTGAAAGACAAATGTATATGATGAAATAGTAATGGAAACCTGGCCAGTTAAACCCACTCAGCCTCTTTCATGAAAGCCAGTAGCTCACAATATTAACAATGTTAAAAACGCTTAATTGCTGTAGCTCATTTTAACATACATAATTTATCAAATAACCTAAAAGCAATAGCAAACAGGCAAACAAGTTATAATTAGATTAAACAAAAAGCTGACAAATTGCACAGGTTTTGGTAAATCCTCTATCCAATAGCCCTAAAATGATTGCTCCCTGAAGAACAGATGCCAAAAAGAGGAAAGGATTTACATGAGAGGGTGTGAAAACCTATCTACACAATGAAGACATTGACGCTTTTGTGTTTATCAATGTTTATCAGACAATTTTGGAAATTTTCTTATTTTGCTGGAAAATATTAGGATAAAAATGAACAAGTCTGACATTAACAGATTTGTTTGCTGCTTTGCCCTGTTGCAAAGTTACGAATCCTACATGTACTGAGTGAAGCCACCTTAAATTAAGAAAGGATTGTAATTAAAGGGTGTTAAAACAAGGGCATTTATAAAATTAAGTTAAGCCAAGATAGGGTTTATGTTGAATAGGGGCAATAAAACAGGAAGATTCAATAGTTGATTTACAGTATCTACAAAGCTCCAACTTGAAATCTGGGCAAAAAGCTAATTGCTAGCTGACTTTCTTGGACATGAACAAGGCAACTTTTTAACAGTTGTTTTATTGCAAGGACTTGATATCAATTATCACCTAAAATACATCTAATACATTTCTTGATCATTGTCTAAGATGTAAAAGACAATTAAACTCCTACCTCCTGCCATTCTTGTAGCAGCAGCAGCAAAACCATTCCTTGACAATGTCTCTGCATTGCTTCCTTGAAAGTGTGTACAGAAATGGATCCAAAACAAAGTTTAGCAGGAGTAAACGAGCAACTTGCACATCAATCCAAGCATTAGTCCAGGTGCCTGTCAGATTGCAGATGATTCTGATCTAGAAACAGAAAAAATCAAGCTGACATATATATATAATAAACTGTTGATTTTAATGTATTATTACAAATGTCATATATTTATATCTTCACTTTAAATACTATGATACATAAAATAGCTTGAAGCTAAATAAAATAAATTTTATTTATTTGATAACAAATGGTAAAAAAATAGTAAATGGTAAAAAATAAACAAATATAAATAAAATTTGTTGAGAAGCTAATGGTTAGATCATCAACAAGTAAAGAAACATTTGGTGCTATAAGAATCATGACATTATAGGATTTATGCCATTACTATCTGAATTGAGAGGTTTCTTTGCATTAATGTTGATGTAATACTTTTCTCAGATGCATATAAGCATTTTAATTACAACTTGGATTTACTAAATACTCTCAAATTTTCTGACTGGTTCAAATAATTTCAAAGTGTGACACCCCACCACCCATCCCCTCCCCCCCCCATTTGTGTGCCTGCTTGTAGCCAAAAAAGAACCCAGTGTGCTGTAAGTGTTGCCAAATTTAATGTCTACCAGATGTTTAAAAAGAGGTAAAAGCAACTATGAATGCTCTGTTTTTGCGCATCTTTTTCAGACTCTATTACCTCCACCTAGAGCACATGGAAGTTCACTTAATAGCAAATGCCAAATAAAATTCCAAGAATCAAGTCTTGACATAAATTCTCAGAAGGAAGTAAGTTCAAATATGGAACAACTTATTTACAATGGCCTCTCAATGAAGGTAAAGGAAATTGACAGGTACAGGAGCAAGGTCTTTTAAACATGTGCGGACATGGGCTATCAATAGAAATTAAAAAACTTGATTATGTGACAGGTTAAATTTTATAGATGAGAGGAAATCCTGCTTTTGTGAATGCCTCTGATACAAGAGAAGAGGCTGAAAAGCAGTGATTGTGTTGATGTTGTCTGTGTAGAAGGTCTTTACATACCATGAACGGAACCCAGCAAAGCACAAACAGTATTGATATCAACCCAACCGTTTTTGCCAGCTGCCTCTCCAATGCACTTGTCGCATTTCTTTTGACTGCATTCATTTCAATTTTTTCAAGGTCTGAGTTCGATCTTGATACAGATCTGGCTTCTTTTGGAACATCTGTTCCTGAATTTTTCTTCAAGAGTTTCTTTTTTTGGGAATCAGCCCTTAATGTAACTCTCCTTCTTTTAGCAAGCATTAAACAAACTGCAATGTTTATATTACAAAACAGGACAATCATCACCAATAAAATCCCCATTACAACATAAAACAATGCATATGCAACATTCGCTCTATTTTTTGCAAACCAGTTAACAGTGCAGTATGTTCCAGTCAAATTTCTAACAAAGTTTCCTTTTCCTGAAAGAGGAAAAAGTGCAATTATGATTGCACACATCCATATAGCAAATACTGTAGCCCCTGTCTTTCTCCTAGTGGCAGAATTTCTGTACAAAAACGGCTTCCATATAGCAAACAAACGCTCTACTGCCATAGCTGTGGCCAGTGAGCCTGATGCCAAACTAGCAAACATTGTGGACACTCCTTGAAAATTGCACATTGCCATGCCTCCGACCCAACGTCTTTTCAAATAGCAAAGCAATGTTGGCAAAGTGCACAAAGCTATTCCATAAATATCTGTAACAGTTAGAGCCATTATCAAATAATTTATAGCATTCTTTTGTTTGACAGCTAGTTTTATCGTCGCCAATAATGCTGTGACATTCGCCAGGGTACCACATAATGTAATGATGAAAAGGATAAGGCCTTGCTTCGGCTGTATTGGCACGTAAGGCCAGTCTGGGTTTACAGTTGACGATGTATTTGTTCCACTGAAGTTTGTATAATTCGCTAACTGCAGGACACTCGTCGGCAACGTGACTGTGTAGTTGGATGTCATGTTTTAGAACATCAAAAAGGAACTAACTTGCAACTAAGTCTGACAGCTATCGCCGGCCTTTTGATCTGTGTGACTTCCTGTTGTTCGGTTACGTCACTTGCCTTTGTTGTCCGAAAGCATCCGTCCGTTTCCGTTTGATGAATCTGACCAAATATATTCTTTTGAAGAAGATTTTTGATTAAAGGAATATAGCAAACGAGAAAGTGAGCCTTTTATCCAAAACATCACGCGGTCGAATACACGGAAACATGTGGTTTTGTCAGTGCTTCCTTGTTCCCCTTCAATTTTGTCTACAAACCGTACCTGGGGGAAGGAGGGTGTTGTAATGCCCTCTGTACGTTTTTTGAAAAACAATTTGATCCAAACAGTCGTCATATTCGTATCACACACTTCTGAATCGTGGGCCTAATTTGTATTACTGCCAGCCTCGCAAAGTGGTTTGAGCAGGCATTTTTTATTTCAATTGATAACTGTCCATCTGGACTGGAGTATGTATAGATGAGACTATCCATCCATAAAAGAATAACAAAGCACATTAATTTGAATTACTTAACTTTCATGCATGTAATATTGCGTGGATTTTCATTGTGAATTCCATGGAAAATTTCAATGTGTTGCCTTGTGAAAATGACTTGTGAAAATGATGATCAAAATGGATGGTCCATCAGTCATATATGTTCAATGTGGTAGTTTTTGGGAAGTCTGCACCAGATTTCCATCCACTCCTACACGAAGAAAAATCTTCGTAGTTTTCAATTTTTAGAATTTCAGACACGATCTTATATAGATCTTTTTTGAAAGACATAACAAAGCCTCCACATACTGCCAGCTGCTCGAAAAACAAACTGGAACTTTTTAAAAAGTTACTTTATCTATGAAAATCGCTTTGCAAGGTGTTTAATCTGCACCAAGGCAGGCAGTCAAATCTTGGATCAATCAAATCATCTTTTTGTTTGACTCACACAATGATTAGTTGTACTCCAGTTTTTTGTGGTCAATCCAAATAAGCCTAGATCCAATTTAAGCCAAGAGTGATTCAGCAGATCAGCACTTTAATCATTGATTTTTCATCGATCATCGCTGACCATATCCTTCCTCATTCAAGTTGGTTGAATGATCAGCTCTTTGTTTAATTGGTCAGTCAAAACTACATTAACTTCGGTAGGGTTGCAAGTGGCCACAAATCTTTATGTGAAAGTTTTCATATTTATGGGGAAAACTATATGTAAAAACCATTCGATAAATATGACTGTTTAGATTTATGAGTGCAAAACGTCTGGGTTTGGTGCTTGATTGAATACTGTCGAAATGTTTTACATCCTTCACTATTCCTAAACAATATTGAGAAAATTATTTCCAAAAATCCAAATCGAATCACTTGCCTTCCGCGAGATTCGATGTCTCGCTTTTTGGGTAGTGCATTTGTTGCTTTTGTTGCTAAGATACATGACTTTGAATCGAGTACCACATAGGGTTGCTTGCTTACCTTCTGTTATCTTATCTTGCACACGTAGGTAGAGTAGCCCTGTCCTACAAACCCTTTGAAGTGCCCCCTCCACCCCCACCCCCTCCCCCTACACAGTCTTAATCGTAATCTTACATTTTCTCAAATAGCTCTTGTTACTGTTCACTTATATTCTTGAATGCTGTTTACTTCGTTGAAAGAATCGCTGCGCCATTTTCTTTTCTCAGTTTCACTTTCCTTTCCTGGTATATCCGTGTGTTCTTGAAATTTGGTTTATAAATGGAAACAGAAAGCTTTTGCTAATGAAATTGTGAAACTGCCGTAAATCTTGACGTCATTTTTGGACAGTTGACACAAAACACCTAGGTTTGATTTCAGTATAACGCTTCCTTTTCAATAATTCATAATTTCTATGTCTTATGATTGATGATATTTAAAGATATGATAAAAAAACGATAATTCCGAAAACACCTGTTAGCATAGATTTGAAGAACACTGTATCTCAGGGTCTGCGCCACGAATTTGAAAGTTGGGGGGCAAGGCTAAAAAAGTAGGGGGCCAAGGCTTCTTACCCGTAATACTACAGCTTTAAAACTACTTGCTTCGCAAACAAGTGAGGAGGGGGCATGGCCACTCTGGCCTTCCGGCGGCGCGGGATCTCTTTATTTTTTGCCATTTCCATGCGATTTTTGTCCCTTAATCATCCACCTTTACTGGTTTGACGCAAAGTAAATAGTGGCTACCATTCAATTATGAAACCGCTTAGTAGTACACTGTTGCTCGGTCCCTTGAGTGTCCCATTTAACGAGAGTATACTGTATTAACCAAATTTTCTGTCGGCATGATATTGTACGTAGTCGGCGCCAGTGTTCCTGTACGAATATCGACATTTTGTACAATAACGCTACTTCTGGAGAGATAATAAGAAACGAAATAAGTTAATCTATACAAGCAGAAAATGTTTGCATGTCTACGACACGCACACGACGGTTTTGCCCGTAAGGAAAGTTTGTGGTCTGCTGTCATCTGAAGCCTTTCTCAGAATTGGCTTCAGAATTTGTTTCAACAATGTCATGTGTCAGCAATTGGTTTCGAAATAGGCCTTTTAAACGTGGTATGAAAATACCGAGTTTTAGACAGGGTACATCAGTCGTTGATGAAGTTTTCTCCAACTTCCCATCAAATATTCTCGTTTCACCTGCCGAATATGATTTTTTTACTTGCGTATTGGGTGTACTGGAAATATAAACATAATTTTGCGACCAATCGGTGATGACTTTTGGGGCCAACAGTAGCAAGAATTTCAAAGGTGCAATACTTAAACCAGAACCGCGGAGTGTTGTTCTCTAAACAGATTGATAAAAATGCTCAAGTTTCTTTTTCACCCTACTTTAAAATGGTACTACATCACGTCCTTTAATGACTCCAGATGTTACTGTACAGTAGCAATATGCATTTGAGCGTAAACATCAAAAACACTTCAATTCCATCCATGAACGCCGGAGCAGCGGGGCACGAGGGGGCAGCGCCCCCTTGCCTTCACCAGGAGGGGCAGAGGGTGCAAATGTGCCCTTTTTAAGAAAATAACAATTTTAAATACAGTCATTTTTTTAAAGATCTAACGTTAACCATAATTCCCAACGACTCTTATGCTTCTATTATTCTTTTTGCTCAAAAATAATAGACGACAAAACAATTATTAGAATTAACGAAAAATCAAGCATTACGTTGATAGTTACTTCCGTGAAATTATCGTAGGCCTCTCACTGCTAATTACTGTAACCTATTGCTATTGTCGCATGCTTTTACTCTCTCGCAAAGTTAAAGTTCAAATCCCTTCAAATGAAATAAAAGAATGGAATTATTTCTATTTCCACGATGCCAAGAGCGGATAGAAGGGTAACCTTACGGCGCACAAATGCGCGCATCTAGCCACTGAAGATTCCCTTTCTGAATTGCTGCCCCCTTGCCCTTTATTGGCTCCGGCGTCCCTGATTCCATCTACATTGTTTTCCATACAGTGTTTAAACTGCCATATAATGAAATAAACTTATGTTTCTTTGATTTCTTGTACACCTCTTCTTGCCTTCCACTCAAGAACATAGGAAGCTTTGTCCGAGCAGTTTTTGAAGGAGAACTCCCATTAGCCCCCGTAGGCGGCAACCTCTGAATTCAACAGCTGATTGATTGAAACTGTGTTCCGTTGGTTTATTTCATATCTCATTTCAGCTTAGATAAAGCATTCTTTTGAGTTTGCATAATAGCCGCTCAGCTGCAGCTAATTTTTAATCAAGATGTAATATACCGTCAGCAAGATCGCAAAAACTGTTATTGTAAGATAAATGCAGAGGCCTTCTGCAAACAAACGAATTTCTCCGAGGAGAAAACACCTGGAGTTTACTCCCAAGTTAATTGCTTTCAGCCCGCTCAAAAACATTGATACAACATAAAGCTGCTATCTAGGAAGCCAGGTTTTAGGCCACAAATATTGTGGCATTTGTACCAGGGTCACAGTGGGAGAGTGGAGTCGAGCAGTAGAGAACCGGAGGAAGATAGGGGAGGCTTTTCACACCCCCCCCTCCTGCTCTAGAAATTTCCACTCAGCCTCCGGCCTGGTGAAAAAAGAATATTGGCTTGCCCTGTACTTGCTATTACTTTCTTTTTTATTGGCTACATAGCTGACGTCATAAAGGAACAGACAAGACAGCACAAACTTGTCCTACTATTACTGGCTGTTTCTAGCTACTAACGAACTTGTACCTGTACGTGCGACGTTTATATGCACACAGAAAACAAACGATGTCTCGTAGAGATGAAAACTAGAAATGTTTGTTTAGGAACTAATACTCACCATGAACGGAAACCAACACAGAACAAAAAGGAATGAAATTGAACCAACTGACTTGAACAACTGTATTTCAAACCTGCTACGTGTTTCGTCATTCGATCCCATTCCATGAAGAGTACCCTGTTTCGCTTTCGATGTCAGCAACGAATGCACTATTTTCGCGTTGCAGAATACAACAATACCGATCAAAGATACGCCGAGTATCGCGTAAAACACAGCGTAAATCTGATTCGCCGTCTGTTTCGCAAACCAATTAATGGTGCAATAAGTCCCAGTCAGATTCCGCACGAAAAACCCTTGACCTGCTAAGGGTAGGATTGCAATGGCGAAAGCTGATAACCACGTAGCTGTGATTGTGATAAGAGTTTTCTTCAAGTTGACGTATTTCTTGTAAACGAAGGGTTTCCAGATTGCAATAAGTCGATCTGTTGACATGACTGTTGCAAGGATTCCTGACGCCAGGCTGGCAAACATCGTTGAAACGCTCTGGAAATTGCACATCGCATTGCCTCCAATCCAGCGTTTGTAACGATAGCAAATCAGTGTTGGTAGGGTGCAGAATGTGATGCCGTAGAAGTCTGTGAAAGTTAATGCCAGAATAAGATAATTTGGTGCTGCATTCTTTTGTTGCCTCGTAAGCTTTAGTGTAGCGAGGAAGGCAATAATATTCGCAACTGTACCAGGAAGCGTAATTAAAAACAGTATAAGCCCTTGCTTTGGATCAAGAGCAACGTATGGCCATGGGTTTTCTGTCGTTGCATTTTGTGTTGTATTTATCGTCATTTCGTCTTGCAGCCTCGTTGATATCTGTCAATGATGACATAAAATGCGTTTCGTCAGGTCCGTTGTCCAAAGCTGTTTGTCGATAACAGTTCCAGCTGTGACTATTTGCAGCTTTTTGCTCTCACAATGATGAACGGGGGTATACTCGTCCTTCTTTGTAGAACCCGTGTAGTCAAATGCCAATCAAATGCTGGATTTGTGGTGCCGCAAGTCTAGTTGAGCAGGGGAAATAATTACAGAGGGGGTGGGGAGGGGGCGTGCCATTAAAAAAAGGTTATTTTTGAAAACTGTTTTTTGTCACCTAAAAATCTTCTTAAAGTCTCTTAGAAATTGCTTGTCGCAAGGTTTTTATTTATTTCATGATGATCATTCTAAAAATAAATTTTGTCGCAAAAGCATCCCTACATGGCAAAAAGCTCTTCGCTTTTGCAATCAATTTTTTCCCAGCGGGTGCCAGTCAACCCACACCAGTCAATTCGCCTATTGAAAATTAATACTCAAATGTTTCAGTATTCTCCAATGTTTGCTTTTTTCAAAGCCATTTTCAAGTTTTGTACCATTAAACAGGGCCCACTCCACCGGTGGGCAGGGGCCATGCCCCCCCAAGCTGCAGTAAAAGGGGAAAAGCCTTGGCCCCTTCCTTTTGCTAACCTCCCCCCCCCCCACTTTCAAATTCGTGGCGTAGGCCCTGCAAAAAGATTGTATGAAAAATGCTTGAAAAGCCTACGAAAGTAACTGAAGGGAGCATTCTATTATTTTGTTCTGTATGTACTCTGTGTTCTATGTGATAACAACCAGCTACTGTGTTATGAACAGCTGTCTATCCAACAACAGAAAGTAATTGATTTGCACTTATCTATGTACATTAGCATCTACCTTATTTTGAATTGTCGTTGTTATTCGACTTGATTGATGTCTTTTAATTACGATGTGTAAAACCATTTTGTAAACTCTCTAAGTTTCGCTTCTAGGCCCTTCTAATCAATCCCTAATTTTGTTGACCTAACAGGCTTCAGCCTTATGTTGATTTTGTTGACATAGGGTTGAAGTACAAGATAAATATTGATTGCTTCGTGTAGCTGCCTGGATGCTTCTTGAACAATCCCCCGTGTTTCAATTTATTATTGAGCCTAAAACAGGTTTTTCATTATCTACCCTTAACTTGCCAGCTTCTCGTCCTTCCGTCAGGAATATGCACTTTAAATTTATGTAAACAGAAAATATTCCGATCTTATTCAGCGAAATTTGCTTTCGTTTCTCAATTGAGCGTGGAACGAGGAAGTTTTTGTCTTCATGAGTATTCATGACGCTCTCTTAGCGTACAATGCCGTCGGAACAAAATTCATATTGGGGGGGGGGGGCTGCCCATTGTTTTCCTTCTCATTCAGTACACTGTTATAAAGGAAACATACTACAGTTTGACAATTATTGGGGGGCTCCAGCCCCCAGCCCCCAGCCCCCCCCCGGTTCCGACGGGCGAGTGCTACAATACTTTAAAAAGGCAATTGGAGCACTTAAGCAGTTTCAGTCATTTCTCAATCTGCATTTAATTCACGCCTAAAGAAATAGCTGAGTTCCCTGTTTCTCACATACAGATCGCGTTCGAATATTGTGTGCATTTATATTGAGAAAAATGCAAAGTTGTTTGAAAGGGTATTGGGGAAACAGTGAATGTACTTGACAAAATGGCTGTTGTTGTTGCTCAAAAGCCATTGGCAGGTATTGTGTGCAATTGTAGATGCAAAAATGCTGCTCCAGATATTAGACCACATAATGTTGCTGGTTTTGTCGCAACTATGCAGTTTTTTGTACGGATTGAGCGGTATCTCAGTTCTTGTAACGGTATCTTTTTTGAACAAATAGAACGGCATCTTTTCAATGTAATGATGGAAACATTGGTAGAGCATTATCACAGGAACGGCGCTTCCAATTAAAAAAATATATAGAGATGTGAGAATAAGAACCTTCCTTTCTATTGCATGCATTTATTTGTCTTTAACAGCCATATTTAGCATTTGTACGAATAAATTGATTATTTCGATTCGATCGTACTAAAAATTACATTTAGCTAAGATACGAATACATTTTGTCGTGGTTGAGAGCAAGAGAATGGAGTTTTTATTTCTCACTTTGTGATAAAGCCAGGCACTGGCGTATTGAGTTTAGGGGCAAGGAGGGAAGACTGCCCCCCCCGATGTGCCCTAAAGAGGAACGGCTGCCAACCCTATTTTCGAATGTTAGTATCTTATAGAGACTTTAGTCAGCAATAAGTTAATGCTCATTTCCAATTATTTTTCCATAAGGATCCTTTTCAAGGCCCTAGAAAAGGTTATTCCCTGGAAAGGTCCCTAGACGTACACCGCTTCGCTCGCCATTACCCCTCTGGTCCTCTCCCAAATCTTGACACCCTGACTACGCCACTGAAAGCTAGTGAGGTTGGTGTTGATTAAAAAAGCTTATCTCTGGTGAATTGTTTTATCATGGGGTTGAACGATACAGCAGATATAACGAGGGGGCGTTGAAAACATCTGGAATGCTATCATGTCTAAAATAATGGCGTTATATCCAAAGGTTCTGAGAACTGAGGGTTTTCCAGAGAATTGGGAGGTTCATTTTCTGGTGCTCCCTACCCCCTCAGCCCCTAAAGCTTACCTCTCTGTTATAGTGGATGCCAAACATTGAATTTCTAGAATCCAGAGTCTAAAAGTGCAGCCGCTTAGCAGTTGAATTGTGCATTTTATGATGCAAGCATGAAATTTGGTACAAGTACACAGTTTGACACGCTAATTAAGATGAGATGCAGACCCCACTTGAAAAATGCCCCCAAATGCTATTTTTAGACTGGGGTACCTGTACCCAGTCCTTTTTTGGTCTTCCTCCATATCTTCTAAATAATGCAAGTTATAAACTCGAAATTTAGTTTTCTGGCGTAATTTGACATGCTGATTAAGATGGGATGCAGACCCCACTTCAAAACGCCCCAAGAATCTATTTTTAGTCTGGGGTACCTGTACCCAGTCCTTTTTGCCTTCCTCCGTATCTTTTAAACTATGCACGTTATAAACCCGATAATTAGTTTCCTGGCGTAATTTGACATGCTGATTAAGATGAGATGCAGACCCAACTTCAAAAATGCCCCCAAAAACTATTTTTAGACTGGGGTACCTGTACCCAGTCCTTTTTGCCTTCCTCCGTATCTTTTAAACTATGCACGTTATAAACCCGATATTTAGTTTCCTGGCGTAATTTGACATGCTGATTAAGATGGGATGCAGACCCCACTTCAAAACGCCCCAAGAATCTATTTTTAGACTGGGGTACCTGTACCCAGTCCTTTTTGCCTTCCTCCGTATCTTTTAAACTATGCACGTTATAAACCCGATATTTAGTTTCCTGGCGTAATTTGACATGCTGATTAAGATGGGATGCAGACCCCACTTCAAAACGCCCCAAGAATCTATTTTTAGACTGGGGTACCTGTACCCAGTCCTTTTTGCCTTCCTCCGTATCTTTTAAACTATGCACGTTATAAACCCGATATTTAGTTTCCTGGCGTAATTTGACATGCTGATTAAGATGAGATGCAGACCCTACTTCAAGAATGCCCCCAAAACTATTTTTAGACTGGGGTACCTGTACCCAGTCCTTTTTGGCCTCTCTCCATATCTTTTAAACTATACAAGATATAAATATGAAATTTAGTTTTCTGGCGTAAGTTTAAATGCTGATTAAGATGGGATGCAGACCCCATTTGAAAAACCCTCAAAAGTTATTTTTAGACTAGGGTACCTGTACCCAGTCCCCCATTAGGTTACCAAGTTACAATACGAGAAAGGATTTCGTCTTGGCTTTACTCTACATCTCTTCAATCCTACAAGAAATAAACGAGAAAGGTTCGTTTTAACACATAAAATTAAATACTGAATACAACATAAAATCTCAATTTCTGTATGGTTTTAGTTCTGTTTCATGATCCGGACCTGCGCAGGTGCTTGGGTCCACCCAAAGCAAGTTTCTGGATTCTAGTTTCTCATTATATTCAAAAGTCAGCGAGTCAAGATAAAGGAGAGGGTTTACTAAATATTGGCTGAATTATCATTTTTGCATTGCACAACTGTTGGTAAGCTGGTAACAGTTTCCGTCAATGACCAGTTGTACACAATGGCTCCTTAACTCATGCTGAAAGCAGATGCTCCCAACACGATATAAATACTCGAATGTTTTCAAATACTCTTTGAAAAAGTGCTATTTGTGTCCCATTGTTTGATCTTTGTCGATTTTTTTGGGTCCTTTCTCGGTGGGCCTGGTGATACGCATCAAAAATAAATGTTCTAACCTTATTTGACCATAATACGGCGTTTAACGTGATTCCAAATTTTACACTTTTGAATTCTGTTCATGTAAAACATTTAATTAGGAAGCCAACAAATAACTCTGCATTTTGCGTGTACAAGTCATCGTACCCACTCAGCTTTGCTGTTTCATTCGCTGATTCAAAACACGTGTAACGAAGAAAGAGGTTTTTGGCGAGAAGGTGGAAACAGAGGTACTGCTGACTTAAACAAAGTATGTCTTTAATGTATGCATTATTATATTTTTTCTATCAAAATTCTTTTCTAAGCACGACGAATGCATTTATATTTTTAATGTACGTGACATCTTCATAAATTTATTTTGCTGTTTTAGGATGAAGTAGCATGATGTCAAAGCGAAGGTTTGAGTTGGTGAAAGCTTCCACTTCTTTTGCCCAACGAGAAATAGATTGGGATCTGTGTTTGATTTGTCAGCTCAGCACTGAAGAAAAACTGCTATGCCCTTTTAACAACAAGAAAAAAGACAAAGATGCTGGCTATATAACTTTAGCTGGAGATCTTCGAAAGTTATCAGAGGCACTTCTATTACCAAATGGCCTCAAAATAGAAAGGCTTCAAGCAACATGCCAGTCCCTTGAAGAGTCGTTTATTTCACATGCTGCTAAGTTTCATAAATCATGTAGAAATAGTTGTGACAAGTATCACTTCGAAAGAGCAGTAAAGAGAAGACAGCTTTCTGAAACTGAAAAGGACAATATAAACTCATCCAGAGGAACAAGATCATTATACCAAAGCGCTAACTTTTTGGAATCAACGTGCTTCTTTTGTGATGAAGTTGACAAGGATAAGAATCTCAGAACTGCTAGCACATTGGGGCTAGATCAGCGAATACGTGCTGCTGCGACTCAGCTTCGTGATGAAAAACTACTAGCAAAGCTAAGTCAAGGGGATATAGTTGCACTCGAGTCGAAATACCACAGTAAATGCCTGGTAAGGTTTTATAACAGATTGAGAGAATTTAAGAATAGCGAGAGCGAAACTGACAAGTCAAAGGCGTTAGTTTTCGGTATAGCATTATCCGAGATCGTTCATTACATAATTCAATGTAAAGAACTACCAGGAAGATCGCCAGTATTCAAGCTAAGTGACATCAAAAGCCGCTATATTCAGACGATTGTACATTATGGCGGTGATCCAGAGAGTGTTCATAGCACTAGACTTAAGGAGAAGCTCGTGAATCACATTCCAGGACTTCAAGCTTTAAAAAAAGGCAGAGATGTTTTGTTAACCTTTGAAGAAAATAGTGGCGAAGCTCTTTTTGATGCTTGCTCAAAGGACTTAGAAAATGATGGCATGGTTCTTGCTAAGGCAGCAGATATAGTAAGGAAAGATATTTTCTCCAGCTTTCCAGAATTTGAAGGAAGTTTTGATGCAGATTATGTGAAATCGTCGGTACCATCTAGTCTAGTGTACCTTGTTCGAATGTTGCTTGAAGGGACAAACTGTCCTGCAGATAATGAAACGGTAGAAGACGCAGATATCTTCGCTCAGGATATTGCTCAGCTAATACGATACAACGCAACAAAACAGAAACGCGATGGAGGAAACAGAAGGCACAAATTGGAGCGTGAAACCCCGCTGCCAGTGTATGTTGGCTTAATGCTGCATTCAAAAACTCGAAAAGCTGGTGTTATTGATAAGCTAGCTAGTTTTGGCTTGAGTATTTCCTCTGACAGGATAGAAAACATTCAGACATCGATAACAGAAGTACTATGCGATAGATACAAGAGGCATGATTTAGTGTGCCCACCTTGCTTGCAACATGGCTTTTTTACCACAGCAGCGATAGATAATATTGACCATAATGCGACATCAGCAACTGCAAGACGGCATTTCCACGGTACCGGGATCTCACTTTTCCAGCATCCAGATGAAGCAGCTCAGTGCAAACTTTCTCAGTATAACCTTGAAAGTAGAGGTCGTCATTCACAAAATGCTGAACTGCCAGAGTACTACACTGACATATCTCCAGTAGCCGAGGTGAAACAAAGCTGTCCAGTAGCCCTAATCAATTCGACTGTAGGAAATGTATCGCACATGCCGATCAAAGAAAGTAATAGTTGGCTTCAGAGAATTGAATTGCTTTCAAAAGAAGAGCAGTCATTAGATTTTTCAGCGAAAGTTTCCTGGTCAGCATTCAATGAAGAGACCACAAATGCGAAGCCACGTCCAAAATGCTTGTCAGCACTAATGCCTCTGATCGATGAAAATATCAATTCTTTTGCTATGGTTAAGCATACCATGAAGATAATAAGGAAGGCAGTCGATCATCTCAACCCTGGCCAGAAACCAGTGATAACTGCAGATCAACCTGTCTATGCACTTGGGAAACAGATCCAATGGCAGTTTCCAGAGTTATTTGGCGAGGACAAGTTTATATTCATGATGGGAGGCCTACATATAGAGATGGCAACACTTAACATGATTGGAGACTGGCTTGAAGGAAGTGAGTGGAGTGAGCTACTTGTATCGGCACAGATACACACGTCTGGTACTGCAGATGCTCTCTTATCAGCGGGACATGTAAAAAAGTCAAGGTATGCTCATCAAGTGTCGTTAGCAGCCCTGCATATTCTTTTGAAAAAGGCATTCAATAAGGAAATCGAAGAAAGAATCGACCTCGATTATGACAAATGGGTTATGTACAAAAGAGATCAGTCAGTGCATTTTGAGTATTGGTATACAGTCCTCTATCTACAAAGCTTGCTTTTACTGCTAGTCAAAAGTATTCGGATTGCTAATTTTGACATGTTCGTTGATGCACTAGAGCAAGTCACACCTTGGATGTTTGCTTTGGACCATGTCCACTATTCCCGTTGGCTTCCAGTTTTTATCCAGAGCTTGAAAGACCTACCCTTTAGACACCCAGAAGTGCACAAGCAATTCTTGAAAGGAAAATTCACCGTACAAAAATCAAAGAGAAAATTCTCTTGCATCGCAGATGACCACGCCCACGAGCAAAACAATAAATTGATAAAAGATGATGGCGGTGCAATTGGTATATTGAATAGCCCTAAGGCTCTTATGAGGTGGATGGTTGCAGGACCAGAAGTCGCTAGAATGATCTCAGAATATAATGAGTCAGCTGAGAATAATTCAGAGTTTAAAAGTCATCACGAAAATACGGCAGCCTTTGAAAAGAGATTTAGAAAGGATGTTGTAGCCCTAGCAGAAGCATTTGAACGAGAAGGCAACCCCTTTGATGAAGAAAATGATATACTTATGATGGTTATCAGTAAGACAGTAATGAATGAAACGTCGATTCAGTCAGTCCGGGATGCAAAAAAGAAAGGTGAAAACCAGTACAAAGATTTCGTAAAAGAGAGAATAATAAAAACAGAGAAATCCATACATGACGTAATAAAGAGAAACAAGCTGCCTCTTTTCAGACAAAAGAACTCAGTTGTTACTAGTAACAGCAAGCTACAAGTCACGTCACTTAAGCAGGACTGTAGTCTCTATGCTTCCCTTTATGTCGCATGTCAGACGAGAGAATGTGATCTTGATGAGTTCTTTTCACACGAGAACCATTCGTATCCACCTTCGTTGTCACAATATGGCAGAGTACGTCAAACAGCAAAATCAGACTGCATCAAAATTTTTTCAAAATACGCAGAGGTTCGGTACCAGGAGCCTGACATAACTGCCCTTGTTATCGATGGAGCTGCATTAGTGCAAATGTTACCTCCCAGAGAATCAACTACTTTTGGGGATTATTGCAGACATGAATTCTTTTCAAAATTGCATTCTAAAATAAACCAAAGCTCATTAGAACGCATTGACGTGGTCTTCGACGTCTACAGAGAGAAAAGCATCAAGGCACTTACCAGAGAAAAGAGGGGAACGGGAGCAAGGATACGCGTCTCAGACAAAACACCCATCACTCGTAAATGGCAAAACTTCCTGCGAGTAAACGAGAACAAATTAGAGTTGTTCCGACTTATTGCCGGTATATGCTCGGCAGAAGCTGCACTGTATAACTTACAGCTTGTCTTTGCAAACGACGATGATGCTACTATAAACTGTAAAGATGTTAACAAGGAGCAGCTTTCCCCGTGTAATCACGAAGAAGCTGACACTAGAATGTTTGTCCACTTGAAGAGCATGTCCAGTTCCGGACATGAAAGAGTCGCCATCAAAACAGTGGACACTGATGTTGTTATAATAGCTATTGCATTGTTCCGGCAGCTCAGTTTAGTACATCTTTGGATCGAGTTTGGGACAGGAAAAGACAGAAGGTGGTTACCCATCCACGATTACGCAAATGCGCTAGAAGAAAGAGTTTGTTCTGGCCTCTTATTTTGGTACGCTTTTACTGGTTGCGACACAGCTTCTTCATTTTGTGGAAGAGGCAAACTCACTGCCTGGGACGTTTGGAAGGCTTTTCCTGAGGTAACAGAAACTTTCGTTTCTCTTTCAAATGCTCCTGATACAGTTACCAATGAACATATGTCGTTGCTTCAGAGGTACGTGGTTTTGCTGTACGATCGGTCTTCTCAGTGTCTTGCAGTGAATGAAGCAAGGAGGTTTCTCTTTACAAAGAAATCGAGGACAGTTGAAGGCATACCACCAACTGAGGATGCTTTGCATCAGCATGCACTTCGGTCAGCTTTTCAAGGAGGGTAAGATTAGATCACACTAGTGACCAATTGCTACGTACATGCCTATACAATGAAATTTTAGATTTTCATGTTGTTTATTGTTGAAGTCACTTATTCTAAAATAGGTCTACTAGAACTTTTTTCTCTTGATACTGCCCATTGCTACAGCATGATACATACTTGATAACTAATCACTGGGCTTTGATTTTCAGCCATGTCTGGAGACAGTCCTTACAATGTATCCAAAACCTACCAGATATAACTGCATGGGGATGGAAAGAAGTGAATGGCTCCATTTTGCCAGTATGGATGATAACCCCAGAGGCCTCAAAGTCCTTGAAAGAACTGAAGCATTGTGCGTGCAAAAAGAACTGCCGTGGAAAATGTATGTGTCGAAAATATGACATCCCTTGCTCCCCGTTATGCAGTTGTGATGGTCAGTGTTCAGAGAACTAAACGAACAGTTTACTGTAAAAGGTATCCCCATCATAAATCTACGGTATATGCTGAAAATAGTTTAAGAGTTGCAGAGTTTGACCTGTGGTAGGTTAGGAATAATCCTAATACAGGACAATTACTTTCTTTATGTTTTTACCGTATAGAACGAGTCCAGGCCTGAGAACCGTTCAGGTTTGTTATAAGATATTTTGTTTTAAACGTCCAATTACTCCCGTTTTACAACTTGCATGTTTCCACATTTAAGAATAGGATCCAATGGAAGACTGGGTAAAAATACCCCAGTCTAAGGAAATATTTTTTGGGGGTTTTCAATATTTTATCGCATCTCATCTTATTCAGCATGTCAAATCACGTCAGAAAACTGAGTTTCAGGTTAATGACTTGCATAGTTTAAAAGATATGGAGGAAGACCAAAAAAGGACTGGGTACAGGTACCCCAGTCTAAAAATAGCTTTTGGGGGCATTTTTGAAGTGGGCTCTTAATTTCAACTTATTTAGCATGTGAAAGTACTTCAGAAAACTAAATTTCGAGTTTATGACCTGCATTGTTTAAAAGATATGGAGAGAGGCCAAAAAAGGACTGGGTACAGGTACCCCAGTCTAAAAATAGTTTTGGGGGGCATTTTTGAAGTTGGGTCTGTATTTCATCTTAATCAGCATGTCAAATTACGCCAGGAAACTAAATATCGGGTTTCTAACGGGCATAGTTTAAAAGATACGGAGGAAGGCAAAAAGGACTGGGTACAGGTACCCCAGTCTAAAAATAGATTCTTGGGGCGTCTTTGAAGTGAGGTATGCATCTCATCTTAATCAGCATGTCAAATTAAGCCAGAACACTAAATTTCAGATTTATATCTTGCATAGTTTAAAAGATATGGAAGAAGACCAAAAAAGGACTGGGTACAGGTACCCCAGTCTAAAAATAGTATTTGGGGGCATTTTTGAAGTGGGGTCTGCATCTCATCTTAATCAGCATGTCAAATTGTGTACTTGTACCAAATTTCATGCTTGTATCATAAAATGCACAATTCGTCCATTTTTTGAGGTTAAGCGGCTGCACTATATGTAGAAATTTATTAAAAAGAGTGTTTTTGAGCTCTTCCATAAAGGTTTTGTTTTTTATAGTTAAACACAGCATGGCCTCATCCACCCCTGCAGAGAAAACATAAAAATATCCAAAGTCAACACCAGCTAGCTCCATCTGTAATTGAATTTGATAGTAGTAGCGATGATTTTCCCTCATTTTGTACTCAGGATCAATAGGAAACTTATTATCTTCAGCCCATCCTTCAAAGCTGTCCTTATAATTGTAAGGGCATTTTATTTCCAGCACTCCCCTTCCATGACAATCACAGCTCACAATTCCATCAGGAGAAGCACCTAAATATGGTATTTCAGCATTAATCAACAGTCCAGCTTGCTCAACTTTGAAATTTGTATGCTTCATACCTTCCTCTTTTTCAAATTTTTCTCGTGCAACAGGTTCCATCTGCTTTCCATGGGCTGTGTATTTTGAGGAAAAGCCTGGCCTGTATTGCATAATCGTTTCAATAAGGGATTGACTGTCCCTCATTCTGGCAACATTCTTCACTGTTGAGCCTGTTATTCTTCCAGCTCTATGCAACATCCATTCTTTATTTGCACTCTGATCTTTGGTTTTCCAAAAAAGATTGTCATAGGACTTCTGAAAGTTCCTTTCACGATATTCAGTATACAACTTTCTTCCATGCACTTGTAGGTCCTCATCTGTCATATTAATAGCTGTAGGGTCAAAAAGACTTGTTAGTGGTTCCGGTAATGTGTAAGCGCTGTTTTCTATATCAGTGTCTGTCTCACTACCAGAACCAGATATCATTTGTGCATCTTTTTCAGAAGACTGAGCCTCATTGTCCAGAATGTCATACAATGGCAAACTAGTAAACACAGCTGCTTTTGGGTATATTTTATGAAGTTTTTTTAGCATATGCACAGAAATGGCATCTTCTCCAACTGTTGGGTCCAAACAGCTATAGTTCTTGTATTCTGTAATATTTGTCTGAGGCTTTGGCAATGTCTTCTTTCTTGGTTGGCTAAAGTCAATAGAAGAGAGAGGAGCAGGTATGACATGTTTCTTTGAAGATTTCCATGCACATAACAGGCTTGTTGATGCTGTTGGCTGGTTCAAACGGAAATGGGCTGCAGCTTCAAGTTTAAACAAAAGAGCAGCTATAAGACTGCAAGCTGATCCTAGCCCAGCCATACATGTGCAATTTGCTGTTAAGATCCAGCCATGCAACTTGTTTAGACAAACCCAGACATTGTACATTGATGTCTTTTTGCCTTGCCTCTGGCTAGGTAATACCTAAAATAAAAGCCATTTCATAATGGGTGATGTGCACCAAACAGTTTCAAGATATCAAAGAATAAATGTATCTTTAAACAGGAGTTTGAGACTAAAATTAATACCAAACTTGAAAATGCAGATTTGTGTATTTCTTTACTGAAGATGTTTACAAAGTTTGGTTTTTGTGTGTTTTATAATCAAGTAGTTTATAATCATTTATTGCCATCTTTTGTAGATTCGCTGCACATAGACCTACCAATAGTTTCAATTTCCTAATCATTAATTATCACAATAAACAAGCTGAGAAAATTAAAATAAGAACATACCTCAGATTTAACGAAACAGAACTCTGAAGCATCTGATATTTTGTGGTAAAAACAGTCCTGTACATGTTTGCACACAAAGTAGTCATAGGCTTCAAGTGATTTGTAGGCTTTCATTGACTCTTTGCTGAAGTTGCTGGGTGTATCAATTAGGTACTCAGTAACATCTCTCCAAGAGAGCTCCGGTAGGTTAGCGATATCGTTGTTCCATTCACTTTGAAGTATGTATGGATCTGGAATTGCTTCACCGCTGCTGAGAGTGAGTTTCGCTCTGTAGTTAGCCTTCTCAGTTGCATCTAAACTTTCGTAATAATTCGAAGTCATTTTCATTCGATATCGAATTTCTTCTTAAACTTCAAAGATGCTGTATCAATTTATAGGATTGAAACCGCATGGTACCTAGTGAAAACAGCCGGCAAACACTGCGTGGATAGGGAAAACAGCTGTCCTATACAATGCGGACGCCATGCTTCAATTTTTTTGCAGCACAGGATGCGCGCGCATTTTGTTAACATCTTTGTTCTACGTCACGGTGCAAGGGGTCTATATGTTGCTTCTTCTCAAGGTGCAAACAATCCATTTACAGCCCCAGGACATTATTGTTCGATAAAGACATCCCCATTTTTGCAACTGGAAAAGAACCAATACAGTATCCTGGCCATTACAACAGCACCAATGAACAGGAGAATGAAATGATTGAATGTGGGTGGGGATACTTAAATTTTCACTGACAAATTGAGGAAAGAGACAGAAGAGTAATTTCTAAATGCAAACGCTGCTTTGCAGAACTGTTAATGCTTGGCTCAGATACCTAGAAACTGTCAAGCAACTCTTTGAAAGTTGATAACTTTCAATTGGTTATTCCTTAACTTAGTTAGTAGGTATTGATTACTTTCTAACTTTTTTATATTGAATACTTTCATACATGAAAATTTAAATGATAATACCATTACATAGATAGGCTATGATTAATATTTCGAGTTTCACTTATAGTTGTTTGTTCATTGGCACATTCCCATTGAGTATTGCAGGCCCATGTTAAATTAAAATGCGTGTGTCACTTGTGTTTGGTGACGGTTCTTAACGTAACAAAAAAATTTGGTTAACCATCTGTGAATCGCTGGTGAACCATTAATGAAGCGTTGGTAGTTTCTCTTTTATTTGTGAGACACGCAACTTCCACCTTATTTTGGGTAAAACTTGATTATCTTTTGCAAAGCAGCCATTTATGAAGTTTGGTTTTGAACAGAGGCAGTTTAATTTCAGACAGAATAATAATTTCATACAATAAACTGTTACAGATCAAAATATACACTTTATATACATTTAATGCCCTTAACAGTTGTCAATCCTCTATCATTGTTCAGAAATTTTATTCTGAACAAAAGCAGAGTAAAACCAAGTTCATCACTTTTTTCACAGGCGCCAACAAATTCTTACGTCACATAGGAAAAAACGTGAATTGTTCTCAGAAACATAATTATTAGCAGAAAATGAATATGAATAATGATTTGGAGTATATTGAAGTGCAGCACATTACAGAAAAATAAATGCAGTTTAATAAAATACTCTCATCTTTTATAAGAAACCATCTTAGACAGTGTGTACCCCCAGTTCCTTAAGGTTTACAAAATGTTAGAACATTTAGAAAGTTTTTAGAATATTTCTATTTTATTTTCAAAAACAAGAGCCCTCAATACTTTAAATTTGGTTTGCTAATCACTGTGTATTTTTATTCTTTTTGTAATTTTGTAGTGCAGGTAAGTTTAGTCAAAATTAGCAATAGAAAAATCACGAAATCTTGATTTTCGGTTATTCTCAATCTAAATAAGTTGTTTTTAGCTAGAGTATTGGGGTTTCTTAACCTTTTCTCATTTTCGAGTACTGGTTTCATACAGATGCTTTCTTATAAAAAAGAGTTCAGTGGAAAATAATGTTGCTATTAGGAAAAAATTAAATTTGTTATCATCAAAGTATCCAAATAGTTTTTGTTTATCTAAAACAGTAAAGGACTTTTTAGAGCATTTGTCCTGTTCAGATTCAAACGAAATATTTGAATGTGTTCTGGAATTTGTTCTTTGGCCAGGCGAGGAAGAAGGGCTGCCACGTGAATTGTATTCATTGCTTGATTGTTGTAGTTGAAATGGTTGCAATGGAGGATAGGCAACAGTTGGCTGTTGTATCTGTGTTTGTTGACCATGTTTCAACTGCACAAGCTGACGTTGTATAGCCATGTCTTTTGCAAAGCCTTCTAGGATTTCTGACAATAGTTTCCACACCATTTCCCCGAATATTTGATCTGCTGTTCTCTTGTGCTGTTTTACGGTTGGCCTTGGTTTTTTCAGTGCATCTATTGCTGTCTCTATTAGCACATTGGTTCACTTAGCTTCTGTCTTTTTTGAGATCTTTGACGAAGGTTTATTTTCGACTTGATATGCATATTGACTGTTTCATCCGCCAGGAAACTGAGAGACTGGAAAAATTGCCATTTGCTTCGGTACATTTCTTCTGCACCTGCACCACTGACTCTGCTCTGGTGGGTCTTGTTTTTCTCTGCCACAAAATAGCTTCTTAGAGAGTTCATCTTTTTTTCCACCTCTTCATATGTTGGCACAGGAAATTTATCTTGCTCTTGTAGGACATCAATTACTTTCTGTATGGTTTTGCATCTCCTGTCTTACAAATGGTACTGAGGATTTTAAATATCGTACAGCACGGGGTGACAGAATAGGAAATATGCAGAAGGAGAACTCTCGGTCAGGACCTTTGAAGTTTGCATGCACAAACCTCAAGTGGTAAGAGTACGTAGAAACAATAGGTTTGCACAATAAACTTGTTTTGATACAGAGCTTTGGGCGAGGGATGGCGACAGTCTTCTTTAGTTGCTGCAAGGAAAAAATTGTAGAAGCCTGGCTCCACTTTAAACATAGGCTACAATATTAAGAAAACTTGTATACTCCTGTGAGGTCA